TATTATGCCAGATTTGATGTTTTGTCAGTTTATAAGTTCTCGGTGAAATATCGTCGGCTGACGAATGAATAGGAAATTTCACTTGGAGTTTGAACAATTTCAAGTGTCGTATTTTATTTCATTTAATAAACAAAAAATTTGGAATCGTGAAAAAAAAATTCTTTTACTCATACACCAAATTGTTCTAAATGGTATGTTTTTCACAATATATCGTAAAATATATAACTTTTCGAAGACGGGTCACTTGACGCTGTAGTAGAAATACGTATACGTGAAGTTTAGTGTTAAAAAGCCTTTGCCGTCGTTCGGGGCGGGTTTCAGAGGTCCCTAATAAGAGGAATAAAGCGTTCTTCGACTACCAGGACATTCCCCAGGAGTCGTGGAACCCTCCTTCCTTCCCGGCTCGTTAAATGGCCGAGGAAATAAACCCCTAGGGGAGGACGTGCAATGGAAAAGCGCGAGAATTCCCTAGAGTGGCGAAACTGGCTTGCGACCGGAGGAGGCTCCCCTCGGTGAATTTTCGAATATTTTCGAGGAAAACACCCGCGAAGCATCCCCAACGTGGGCTAGACCCTCGCCCATAGGACACCCTAATCTGACGGTGTCGCAGGAGATTTTTTTTTCCATAGAACCGAGTAGGGTACCTGCCCCATGACTGTCCCCTAGAGTGTCCTTCCGGGCGAACGCGTTCGAAGAATGAGGTTATGCGCGAGAGAATATGCGGAAATAATCTCTCCTAAGATTATGGCTTCAAATGGAACTAGGTGCTAACTAGATTGTAATACGTGCACGTTAAATGATATTTACGGTACGACAATGTGCGCAAGGGTAATCAGGAACAAGTGTGCACCGGGTTGGAAATTCCAGTTAGTTAATGAGCTTTAAGGGTGGCCTGATCCAATTTGTATTTGCATGGATGATGTGCACGTTGTTTCGGAAGACTTATTTTCCATTAAATGTATAGTAACCAAAATTTGGTCATTTGAACGTGTCAATTATGTTTCTGTGGCCATAATAATGTACGCGAGGGTAATTAGGAACAAGTGTGCACCGGGTTGGAAATGTGGAGCGGCATGTTCGAGCTTCCTAAACTGTCAGGGGTTTACGGGATTACACGTCGATTACCAGGCTTAATTTCAAACTCTGGGTACGTCGTGCCAACAACTTACAAAGTAAAATTTTTTAAGTAAAACTTAAAAGAATAAATCGATGCAGGGTTCCCACCGACGAAAATTCAACATGGTTGTCCAATCCAAGTGTGGAGCGGCATGTTCGAGCTTCCTAAACTGTCAGGGGTTTACGGGATTACACGTCGATTACCAGGCTTAATTTCAAACTCTGGGTACGTCGTGCCAACAACTTACAAAGTAAAATTTTTTAAGTAAAACTTAAAAGAATAAATCGATGCAGGGTTCCCACCGACGAAAATTCAACATGGTTGTCCAATCCAAGTGTGGAGCGGCATGTTCGAGCTTCCTAAACTGTCAGGGGTTTACGGGATTACACGTCGATTACCAGGCTTAATTTCAAACTCCGGGCACGTCGTGCCAACCCTTTGCGGGTTAGTCTATGGTTTTACAATCAGTCACCCGTGCTGTGACATGGCGAAGGGGGTGCCGGTCTATTCGAAAAATCGGATTAAACATTTTAAATTTCGCTTCGCCGATGCGATGGCTATAGGTAGGGTCTCGTGATCAATGGACCAGCTTTGACCGCGTCCTCCTTCGAGCACCAAGTACAATGCATTTTGCCAAACAAGCGCATACTCATACTTCTTCCTGTCTGACGTTGCCCGCGAAAGCGCTGCGGTTTCATGCCTCTTTCACGGATTCTTTCACCCCTTTCATACGAATTTTGCCTGTCATTGTTTGGATAAATTTCTGACCCTCCCAAGGCGTATGGGCGTGCCTTGATGAATGAGAGGGACATGGACCACTTTTTTTTTTTTAACTGCACCTAAAGAAAAACTGCCATCTGTTTTTGCGACCTAGCCCATCTACTTCCGGGTTCTGTTGGAGAAAATACAATATTTTTTAGTATTATTGTATGGTACGACATGGGTAAGTGTATGTTACATTCATGTCGTTGATAGTATAATATTCCGAAGTTCATTGGTTACTCGAATATCCATAAAGTAACGATAAATCCTAAATAAACCAAGCACCATTACATTACCATTGGATATTCTATCAATATTTCCCGCTGAAAGATGAATACAACTTTTCACAGTTTTGCTTTTATTTTATACAGAGAATGTTTACCTAATTTCTTCCCTGAAATCGTGTAATTCTTAATTATATTTCTCCACGTAACATTACCGCTAACACAAGAAATTAAAAGATACAGAAATTAATATCGTCGGACAGTTCACCCTTTCTTAACGAACCCTTGCCTTTTTCAAATGATTTTATACAGAGATTATTTATCCAATTTAATCCGAAACCGTGTAAATATTAATTACATTTCTCCACGTAACATTGCCGCTAACACAAGAAATTAAAAGATACAGAAATTGATATCGTCGGACAGTTCACCCTTTCTTAACGAACCCTTGCCTCTCTCCAATGATTTTGTACAAAGTATATTAACCAATTTAACCCGAAACCCTGTAACTCTTAATTACATTTCTCCACGTAACATTACCGCTAACACAACAAAGAAATTAAAAGATACAGAAATTGATATCGTCGGACAGTTCACCCTTTCTCAACGAACCCTTGCCTCTCTCCAATGAGCCGGAATTGCGTAACACGTAACCACCGAGGCGAGGTCTTTGCGGAACTCGGTAAGTACTCGGTACTCGGTACTCGGCACTTGGAAACTTAGAAGTCCCCTCCAACGTCCTGGAAAGGTGCCCCTAGCTTTTTTTTACTATGAATGATGATGTATGGATGTTGGCTGGGTGCTGGGGGCTCGGTAAAGGGTTCCATTGTTGCACCCCCCGGGAACACCGACCCTCTCCCCTGCGGGTAGACCTACGTGAAATATTACCGGCGAGCAACAAACTGCATTCTGCAGCCAGTACACTGTTAATTTTATGCCCGATTTTTTGCCACTCCATCTAGCCCCCTCTTCCACGAGGGGGGGGGGGGGGGCAAACAACCCTTACGACGCGAGGAAAGTTTTTTAGCGTCAATATCTTCCTTATATATAAGTGTATAAATATTTTAATATTACATACAGTGTATATCGATAAAGCGCTGAAAACTATTAACAAGAACTATTGCCAAAAAATATATCCTAGCGTCATCAATGGCATAATTGCTTCACATTGAAAGAAATTTTTTATAACGTCTGACCGCCTTAATTTTTTAGCGAGGTGTTTAATTTTTACGTGCCAACTGCGTACAAATATGGATATTAGTGAAAATGGAATAAAGTGGGTTTTAAAGGTTTTAAATAAATCTATTAACACATTCCAGGCCACAGTTGGTTTATAACAATGTATTCGTTATTTGTTTCAGCACTGAGTGTGTTAAATAAATACTTTTGCAATGATACAGTCAGTAATAACTGTTATAGAATACTTTTAGAGAAGAAACGCGCGAGATAATCGTGAACGTGTCACTTTCGCATTAATCTCGTTTAATTTTTCAAAGAATGGCACGTATCGATTTCTTATTTAGTAAACACTTTTTGGAATGTAGTGATTTTTAATTCAAAGTCGCATACTTCGATCTTGGAATGAATTTCCGTCTACATTGGCTTTGCACTTCTTCGACATAAATTCTAAAAAAATATTTGATAATGGTAACTAATCCATACAAATTACGGGAAATTAAATACTAAAAGCGTATTAATTTTGCCTATGTATTTTTCTGTAAAACAAAACCATCGTAATATTCTAATTTTTACTTTCTGCAGGTATTTTATCAGCGCATTAAATCCTCCACGACGAGCAGAAACTTCAAACAAGTAATGTAAACAAGAGACATGTCTCCGCCATTTTTCGATTATTAATTACGTACGTCCAACGGAGAAAATGCTTTTATCGAAAGACAAAGCTTTTAGTGCACGAGTCTTCAGTATTTTAATAGTAAATCGCGGATTTCGTAGGAGCGAAAGACGACCGGCAATTAATAATGGAGCCAGTAATAGGACACCGGACAGGGCATAATATGCAAATCCGATCGGACACGGTTTTAGAAATTTGCCGCAGGCCCCCACTCGGCTTCCAACAATGCGTGACTCCGCCAACAATGGGAAATAATAAACCGTGATAAATAGCCCAGCAAATACACGACAATCGAACTCCGGCTTGCTCCAGGTGCACGATTCAGATTCTTGAATAAATACGCTCGACAAATAACGAAGGACAGGGAGGGGGCGTTACGCCCAGGAATACCCGGTATTAATTTCCCCGTTTGCATGTTTACCCGGTCTTAATTCCCCCGAAGCGGAGGAAGGGTGAAAGGAGAATCACCGAACCGATTGCTCGGGTTTCGCGAACAGAAAAGAAATTGTCGACAAAACGAACTACCGAGGCAATCAGCTGATTCACTAATAAGTCGATTAACTTTTGCAAGTTCGTCCTTCAACGTGTGGTTGTCACGTTTGGTTCCCCCGTTTACGGGAAACAATGTATAAAGTATTACGAAAACGTTGCAGAATGCACCTTGTATTACGTTTCCCGTAATTAATTTTATTTACAAACTTCCCATTTCTTATAAACATTCACTGTAGCCTTCTCACCGATTCAAACTTGCCGCTACTACGGCAATTGGTACCTGACCCCGCCACCTGGCGGCGCCATATACATGAGGAAAATATTCAGAGTTCTAAACGCTGTAATTTACATCAGGACCGATGAGAAATTCCCGGGAACTTATCGGTAATATCTCCAAATCTTTTTTTTTCCCAGTGAAATTATGAGAATTTAAATATTTCCGCCGGAGTGAATGAGAGGTTCTGATTGATCGTAGAGATTATTCTTTAACTTGAACTCCGAAGTGCATTGAAAAGAAATGTTATTTAAACGAAAAAGCCTAAAGTGTAAATACCAGAAATTAAGGTTCTTGTAAATTCTCGGTATTCTCGGCAACTTATCTCCCTGATATTTACACATATGGACTTCGAAAGGATAATTACACATACATGAACAGGAAAGTACTCACATGCGTCATATAGTGAGCATGTTAGACTATATAAGAGAAGCGAACGAATCTTTTCCTCATATTACGTCAGTGCACCGTCTCAGCCATCATCATGAAGTGTTTATTCTACATTGCGCTCTTGCTCGTCCTTGTGTGCCAAATTTTTGGACAACTAGATGACATACAGAAACAGCTCGAAAACTGCCAAAAGAATAAACTATGTGCAAATGGAGAGGAATGCTCTATAAGACGGTATTTCTGCATCAGAGCTCCGTGCCCACCACCGGAAGTGATCTGTCAACCGATTCGTAACGACTGATTGAAAGTAAATCTCAAAATATGCATTGTCTTACCCACACTCACCCTCTCGCTTTTCAGAGGCGGGATTCTCGATACTAATTCGACAGCTATCTGAGCTGTTTGATTATCAAATTCATCAGTTTTCTTTGCTTGACAAAGGATTAAAACCCACGTTCCAGCAAAGTGCGCTGTTTTAATGACCGCGAAATAGAACCTAACTTTACTCGTCTCGAAGACTTTAGTCGTTGTGTTTTAAAGTTAAAAAGGAGCGTTAAAAAGTAGTCAAATAAATAATAATATTATTATTCTTCCAGATATTATTCCAAACCGAAACTGGATGAGGACACCATGAACATGAAAGTGCTACAATGTGCTGTTTATAATTTTTCGGTGTATCTACGTGTTTATTTCTTCATTCATTTACACTCTCAATATCTGAAATGATCAGTCAGTTAAATTGTTTGTTAATCAACGGCTGTTTTCCATTTTTATTGTTTCTGAAACGTGAATTTCTAAGCGCCCGGTATTGTTATCAATAAACGCACACCTGGTACCGCAAAGAGCGTTCTCTTTAAGAGATTGAAGTCTTGAAAAAGGGTGCTAATAAAAAGTGGTCCATGGAGACAGATTGAAGGGCGTACTGAAATAAATCAGTCTTTTGTTTTACAACCCTAAATCGGCCGCTGGGGATTTAACACGAAGTAACGTCCATTCATTCCAACACCCTAACTGCTGTGCAAAAGAATTAAGAGCATGTACCGTCTTAACCGTACATAAGCACAACCGTTGTAAATTAATACCTCGTAGAATTTACTCAGTGAAAATATATTCAATTATATATTACTTGGCGTGATAAAAGAAATGTAGAATATTTATCTTACTTAAATGCAGACTCGAGAAAATCTCATGAAAACGATAGTTCACCGTCTCTCCCCGTCAATCCTGACAAAGAAACAAACAAAAAATGGGAGGGACAACGTGGTAAAAAAAAATAGTTGCCCTCTTCTTAAGGGACCGCTTCGGTATATAGCCTCTTCGATTCTTGCAGTCTCTTCCGGCAGAGCCCCCTATGTCCGAACGCTTGGCAATCCTCTGATTTTTCGAATTAAACAAAAAATCATTCTGCGAGCAGATTCAAAAGCTAACAAAACGACGACCTACGACAGCTTTGCCAAATCCAGGAGTCGGGTCGCGGCTAGGGGTCGCAGCGCAGAGAGCAGAGAGTTGGGAGCAGAAATGAGGAGGATCCCTGAGTTGGGCCACCACTGGGGTGTATCAGATGGCAAGTGCGCGAACCGCCCACATTCTTCACCGAGGGCAGCACAGAACGCGATCGTTCAACCTAGCCCATAAACTGCGAATTCATTTCTATTTATACTTTGTCCCCCTATTTAGTCTGATTTAGTCTCCGGCAATGCTTCATATACCTGAAAATGAATCTTTCCCTGTCCAGACGCGTTCTGCAACGAGTTGAAGCCAGTGAGTAGTTCCGAGGAAAGGCAGTAGAGGTCTCACGAGTTCAGTAGGTCGAAAAAGAATTATTTTTGATTATATGCAAATCTGGTTTCATTCTGTGTTTTTAGTCTGTAATTTTTTATGTCTTTATTCTATGTTTTTACACAAATTGGATACTTATCTTGCAATTACAGTGTTCGTGACAGGTGGAACCATGACTTGATATAATATTTAGTGAATCTTCTTGGTGCCATGTTTATGTTAGCAGAAACTGTTTCCAACCTTCTCTCCTATCAAATGTGCAATCTATAAACTTTTTATTGTTCGGAAGGTAATGGATATTTGAACGATTATAATGAATGGTGATTAACTCGATGAACAATCCATAATTTAATTAGTCCCTATGTAATTGCTAATGCAAATGGATACGACAGGATATGTGCTATCCTATTGGCTAATAAACGTTGGAATGCATTTGGAATACAATCATATGTCAGTCTCTTCGTTTCTCTACCATGGCTCATGCGAACCGTCCTTAACTTTGTCTCATTTGATTTTTTAGCGATTTTTAGTTATCCAACCCTATTATTTCAAACATCAAAGGTCGAATACATGTTTCGCTCCAATCAGCAGCCGAAGCATCATTCTGCTAATGGAAATTTAACGAGTATTATCATACCTCTGTTGTATCGTGTATTTAGACATCTACGTTTGACAGCCTTTTAAATCTCTTACTACATATATTTGGGTAATAAGTAGGAATATTCATGAACATACTGCACTGTAAGCATATTAATTTACTCACTTTTATAAGACATTTGTCAAAACTGTCAAAAATTACAGAATAACGAATTTGCAAAACGGTTACATGATAATTACCCTTTGTTGCACACGTTTTATTCCATACATGTACCGATTTTGATTTCTATTTCAGATTCAACACAAATCCGTTAGAAAGCTCAATAATTACAATGACTTTAGGACGAATAGTCACTTCCATCTGTCTGCAGCGATTTGTCTGCAGAGCCACCTCTTCCAACACATTCCGATACCAACAGAACTTGGTAATTGATATGAAACGATAGCACGAATACATGACTTTTTAGTGGATGTTAACATATTATACAAAAGGTTTGTTCAATAGGTATTTAAAGTGACAAATGTTCGATTTCTATCCGAGCATCGGATTACCAAAAATATCGAGTTCATATCGAACGATCGACAGGTTGTCGTAAATAACAATACGGTGCAATGCATGAAGGAATCATCAAATCGTCCACTAATAGTATTACTGAGTTGGCTTTTGTGCAAACGCAAACATATCATGAAATTTGCGAAGCTATACATGGAACGTGATTTTGATGTCTTAACTGTATCAATCAGCCCTTGGCAACTTATGTGGCCAGTTCAAGGTTCACGGGTAAGCTATTTTTCTGAATACTATAGTTGTTCATACAATGAGTTGCAACAACTAGTGTTTCTTTCTCCGTGCATGAGATAACATTTTATTTAATGTCGAATGGCTGTTTTAGATAACTGCAGCTGATCTTTTAACATTTTTACATAAGAATACCAATTATCAACATGTGGTATTGCACGGATTCTCAGTGGGAGGATACATGTGGGGCGAAGTGTTAGATTTAATACACTCAGACCAGAAAAAATATAATCATGTGATAGATCGTATTGCGGGACAAGTCTGGGACAGCGCTGTGGATGTTAACGAATTGTCAATTGGAACTCCACGTGCTGTCTTCCCAACCAATGCTATGCTGCAATCAGTGCTTCAAAAATATTTAGAGTATGTTGATGGAAAGTCAAATAATATATGAAAAGATATAAAAAGATATAAAAAGATATAAAAATTTGCCATTGTTTCCTTTTTAGGTACCATATGAAAGCTTTCTATAAACAATCGACTCAGTACTACGTTCGCTCCAGCCAATTGTTTCATACAACTCCTGTGCGAGCACCAGCATTACTTTTATTAAGTGATACCGATCCAATCGGCACGGTAACAAGTAATACTAGAGCGCATGACTCTTGGCAATCTCTAGGTATAAAGGTAAATGTTATATGTTCAAAACTATACCTTCTGGTTTGATGTTCATTTATGCATATTTTACAGTACTATAATAATATAGTGATAAAATGTATTTTTCAGTATTTTAATGCCATTTATATTTGCAGACATACCAGAAGGTATTTAAAGGATCGCCACATGTAGGACATTTTCAGATGTATCCTAAGGAGTATGTTGCTGAACTCTACGCATTCCTCGACAAGTTACAATTCGTGCAAAATAAAGAAAAAATAAGAGCTCGCCTCTGATTTTAAATACAAGTAAACACACGAATGAATTTGTGAAAGCACTTCTCGTCGTCTCATTGCTCATCAATTTATTTTGTCCATAATGACACTTAATGACCGAAAAGTAATTACATCGATGCAATCTGTGTTACTGTTTGACTGACTGAATATGATAGGGTTATAAAGTATTAAGTAATAACTTTTTTGTTTCTAAAAAAATATGGATGTAGTACCTTGGTTATTTTGTGATACTTTGAAAAATCAATAGTAATATGAAAATCTCTCTCTCTGATGTTCAGAGGTTTGTAAGATTTGGGACGCTATGTGTTCGTTATAAAATTACATGAACTTGAGAAGACAAGATGTTTTTCTTGAATTATCAAATGCTACATATATGTATACCGATGACGATTACGTATTAAATATGCATATATAATACAATAGGAAATAAAGTTATAATAAGTGAAGGCCCTATAAACATAGCATGTTTAAGCAGACAACTCACAATAAACATTTTTCAATTTTATAAAGAGGCGAGCCCTAGTACCGATAACATGAAAATTAAGATAAAAGGCCATTTTAGGTTTTCAACTAGCGAACGGTCAGCTTATACCAAAGATGACTAGAATAGAATATTTTTCTATTTTCTTACTTATGTTTTTATTTTTCCAATGCCTGTAAGAAGTGTACGCATGCTTTTTTTTTTTTTTTCTAGAAAGTGATCAGCTTATACCAATATTGATAATCTTGTACTTTCCCATTTTCATTCTGATAATCAAATGAATGAGATAGTTGAATAAATACTTTACTTCAAAAATTACTCTGATGTACCGAAGCCGAAATTACGACGTCCTTCCTCTATCCTGAATCTTACATTGTACATGTAAAAGATCGTAATTACTTTTCCTCGAATATCAAGTAATTATGATATTATGATCATAGATCACGTTAAAAATACGTCAAAAAAAATCAGACAATGTACCATTTCAAACAACTTTCTCAGGACTTTGTTTTTTATCATTTGTTACATCATAAAAACTAATGTATATTTCGAGTTCAGTAGATGCAACACTTTGTTATTAAGCCAAAATTCGTTTTCCGTCGTAACTATGCATTGTATACAAAAATGTTTCAAACAAATGTTGTACAGCACGTTCCACTGAACACCTTTTGTAAGAAACATTTTCTCCTGAAGGGCTTCCTTAAACCGAGAAATGATACTTTTCTACGGAGTCCTTGGACCACCGAACGCAGGGCAGCCTATCGATTCTCGGCGCGCCTTCCCTCTCTCCGCGAATATGCCGCATGCCACGAGTTCGCGCAAGCGTAGTTACGATGCAATTTCATATGCAATTATCTTGAAAAATTTCGTTCGAGGTTGCGCCACGAATATCAGCCAGTACGACAACGTCCAGGTATCGGTTTGGACTTGCGCAGAGAATTTGTTGCCGGATAAGCAACGTAATTCCTATGTACACGCGTATACACAATCGCAGTGTTTGGAGTACATCGGTCAAACTCTCTAGTGTATTCTTCAAGGGAAGTACCAACAGAATCGGTCAGTCAGTGCCAGTCTGCCGAGTCGAGCAGACAATTTCTCCCAATTTTCTGCTCCAGATAGTACATTATTATCACAGAGACCTTCAGAAATCGTTCGCCATGAGTCTAGCAAGGCAGAAATTTCACGAAGAGTGCGAAGCGGCGCTTAATAAGCAAATCAATTTGGAGTTGTACTCGAGCTACGTTTATCTCTCCATGGTCGGTGTACTTAGTATTTTTACACTTTCTTTCAAAAGAATCTTCGTAGAATTTATGTTTCATGTGCAAAAAATTTAGTTACTCAAAAGCTTCGTTGCCTGTTTTAATCCTCGGCCTTAAAATGCTGCTTGAAATTAAATCAACAATAGCCAGCGTGTCGTTTAATTTTTTGCATATTCGAAAAATGTTCTGCGAATCAGTTTTTAAATTCTGATTTCACGTAAGTGGTCACAAATGTTAATCACGGTATTTATTAAAGATCTAACGGCATAACCAGCATTTTCAAACAATGTTCTTTTTTTTTTTTCTTAAGATGAAAGAAAGAAGAATAATTGTGTTTACGGAGTTACTCTGAAATTTCAGTTTTGATTCTCTTGAGGTTTCAAAATGACTGTCTTTATCATTCTTCTTTTCGTTCCATTGAGGCATTGTAACAAGATATTGTTTGGTCTAACGCCTTATCATTCCTTTCGAAGAACTAATCTGCGAAACAAATTTTCCTGCGCCGCCATTTTATTATGGAAAGTCACGTTTTTTTTCAATAATAGGAAATACCTAGGCAAAGTGTCTGTTTACTGTGAAGAAAAGTTTACATCGAGTGACTACATTTACTTGAAATTCATATAAAGACCGTTTCATAATCACCTATGATATATGATCGTTTTTTAATAAACGGTTATGAAGGAAAATAATAGTCGGATTCCATTCTTGAGACATGGAAAATACTGTTACTCATTTAATGTACCTATCTCTGTAAGGCGAATAATATCTTCCCCATATTATTTGGAACTGCTAGACATTTTTTTCTTCCATTTGTCATCGATAAGGTACTTAGTATTAGGATTAATATTTAATATTAATAAAGTCCTGCTTTTCTTTGGAATATAGGCATATCACTTCGACCGATGTGACGTAGCTCTTCAAGGTCTCCACAAATACTTCAAAAGTGCGTCCGATGAAGAACGCGAACACGCAATGAAGTTTATGACGTACCAAAATAAAAGGGGCGGATCTATTGTACTAACGGATATAAAGGCTCCTGAAAAAGATAACTGGGGCACTGCCAAGGAAGCGATGGTGGAAGCATTGAATTTGGAAAAGAAAGTCAATGACGTGAGTTATAATATTTTCTCGATATTTCAAGTTTCATGCTCCATCATGCCCCAGAAATATTTTAAATAATTGCAAATTTGTTGCGCAAAACATTGCTGAACTTCCTACGAGATGATATCTATCCAGGAAGCGTTTTATTTTCAATCCACCGTCATTCGTCATCAAACTCTCATCTACGGTCATTTCATGGAAGAGAACTGTCGTCACGGAAATATAGATAAACATCACACGCAATACAATGCAGTAAACAAATTTACGAATATTATAACGTCATTTCATGTTAGCATTCCCAGCGAAATTCATATGAACTTTGATTCGAGGCACTTTAGATTAATCCACATTTGCTTTATTGCAATTTTGAGAAGCAGTTTCAGATGTTAGAATATTAAAATTGCAAAAAGTTATCGAGGAAAGTAAAACAGATTCGTCATAGATAACAGCTGGAAATTGATTAACGCGTCATGATTATATTGACATAATGAGACAAAACAGATACCGCTGTAGTGAAGGTAAATCCTCAAAGCAATGATCTATTGTTCAGTTATTAAATCGGACAGATTTGTGACAGTAATACTAAAATAAGAACAGTACTTTCAGGTGGGGGTGTAACTCAGTGGTAGAGTGTCCGCTTCGCATGCGGAAAGTCCTGGGTTCAAATCCCAGCTCCTCCAGGTTTTTTTTTTTCTTATTAAATTATTTATATTAAGCTAACTTACTTACAAGATGTATAGGATTTTTTTGTATGATTGTATTTATGTACTTTTACCGCAGAGTGTACTTGTTAACGACCAGGCGATAATCAGCGCTCTTTAGCACTCAACGCCGACATACACGTAATGTGCTCAGCATAAATGGCACCTCACGTTTGTAAACCGACTTTTTTTATTTAAACACCGAAAAACTGATTAAACTCGAAGCTAAGTACATGTTTATGTACATACTGTAAAATCATGTGTACTGAGTAAAGGTAGTAATTCAAACAATCACTTAAAGTAAATCTTGTATCGTTTGAAGACTTATCGAAACGATTAATGTGATTCTTTTAAACATATAATTTACACTTGCAAAACTAAATTCTAACGAGGTAAAATGTATTCTAATATACATTATGACATGTTTTATAAATAATTTAGATATTTAAAAGCACCATACAATCGTACGTTATTAAAATCTTTAGGAGAATACAATTAAGAAGAACTGTACTTACATTTGAAGAAATCAGAGTATCTGTTGTGGTAAACATTTTTTTTGTATCGCTTGATAAAAATTATAACTCGAATGTTGTTAATGATACCGACGATTAGGGAATGAATACATTATTTTAAGCTCTTGTTCATTTCAAGTAAATTAAATTAAGATTTACTCCATTTCTTTTACAGAGCCTGTTAGAGTTGCATGCCTTGGCGTCAGGACACAACGATCCGAATTTCGTGGACTTTTTGGAAACGGAGTTTTTGCAAGAGCAGGTCGACGCGATAAAAGAAATCGCCGATCATGTGACAAATCTAGAAAGAGTTGGAGAAGGCCTCGGCGTTTTCGTTTTCGATAAAGAACTCCACGAATCTTCATCATGAATCTAAATAAACGTCATCGAACGGCGACAAAAGGATTTAAAAGGCGATCGAAATAGTAATTTGAAATGAATTTTTTTCACGAGGGTCATTATCGAAGAAAAGAGTAAACACAACACTAATAAACAAAAAAGATAAGGAGTATTATGTTGGAGAACGTGATTTGATTTGTGTCATTGACGAGCTGAAGATTTGTACTACAAAAACCGAGTATTACCTGTCAATTATATAGATCGCACAAATAGGATTGTATGTGTCTTATTGTTCTTACTGAAACGCAGAATAATTATCAACACACCTCCATACACATGTGTACTTTCCATTGATCATTTTAGTGTAACAGTGTTGTTAAAAATTGTACAATTACAGCGTTCTTGTAATAGCTGCAAATGTCAGTCAATGCGGGAAAACTTTTTTTCTTCCTATTGTAGTTATTGTAATATCTTTAATATTCAATATACCAAATTGAGCATATACAAAGTTGTTGCAGTGTTTTTATTTTAACATGTATGTAACGTTTACCGTGACTAATATTATCTAGCTCACGATAAATATGAATGTCATACCTATTATGAATCAATTAAAAATGTTTAACGAAGCGGTACAAGGATTTGCATGAATATACAAACAATTTGTAATTTCAAATGGATTATAAAATAAAGAGGTTGTAAAGCTCTGAAGGTTGACAAGTCATAATCGATTATTGAAATGATCTCAAGTGAACAAATTGAGGAACGCAGTTATAAACATATCTGATGGACATGTCATCTTGTTGACATGCAGATTTGATCATTTTTGAAAATTATAAGTCCGGAAAGTATGATAAAACCTAATGATATTTTTATCATTCTGGTAACGATAGATAATCTTCGGGAAATTAATTTCATAGACGATTTATTTATTGAACAAAGTATACAAACTTAAGGTGATGGGGTTAGAGTCTCATTTAAAAAGTTTTCTGAAAACAATACTACACCAAACTTTCGGTAAATCCCGTATTCAGTAAGTAAACGTTATATTAATACCGTATATAATATAACCGTAACTTGAATATAATTTTCATTACGTCTTTAAACTCATATCTTATATCCCTAACATTTGCTTTTAGTTCACTCATCTTCGGTTAACAATAATTGCGTTAAAAAATGCATGCCATTGAGTAAATAATAAAAGGAAACAATTATATTCATTGCTGCTACAAACGTACTCGATAATGTAATTTTTATCATGCCGAAAACCTACTATTTATTCAATTTTCTTAAACATGTACGGATTGAAGAAGGCAATCCAAGCATATATAAAAAGAGCAATTGATTTCATCTTTTTCCAGAAATTCTCAGTTGCATCGACGAAACTTTTGCACGCATCTTATTTTTATGAAAGCAGTACCTGAACATTATTGCCCAACTAAATTCCAATCGGTGTTCAAGCTACAATATCGTTTCTTTTCATCTGGATGCAAAGATAAGGGATCAAAGTCTTGTCCCGAGATAACGAAATCAAATGCAGGAAATCAACCAGCTTGGCCTTCGGGTCATCGAATTTCTTTTCAATTTCATCCAGAGACAGAGGCTATATTAAACGAGCAACTTAATGTTGAACTAAAAGCATTCTACTACTATCTATCCATGGTTTGTATCAAATTCAAATTCTATAATTTATATAAAAACACTGGACCATTTAATTAATATCCATTTAAGTAAAGACCCATTCGACGAGACATATCGAGTCCCTGGAATTTGTTTTAACAATTATTAATCGCTCCTAAGAGCAAGCTGGCTTCGCCACCGTTTTCAAAAAATTATAAAAGCCTCCATTTTTTTTTTCTTGTGCAATGAAATAGCAATCCATTGGCAATCAATTTTGCAAAAAATTGTACTGGACAGCCAGCAAGCCAACAAGGAAGAAAGCAAAGAAAAAAAAGAATCGTGTGCGCCGGGCGTATTTTTGTGCAATCTAATACTATATGATAAAATACGCGGTAAATGTGTTAAATTATGTTAAAAGGCAGCGTACTTTGGAAGGGTCGATGTAGCATTGCCCGGATGTGAATCGTACTTCATCCAAATGCATAATGAAGAACACGAACATGCTTTGAGATTTTTGAACTTCATCAAAATGCGCGGCGGTTTGGTGAATCTCTGTCCCATCTGTTCCCCTCAGGATCAAGACTGGAAAAGCCCTCTCAATGCTTTCAAAGTGATTACTTATTTAATATTACAATGCATAAGATAGTTTTGAAATATGTAAGAAAACAAACATAGAATATTTGAGCCCCTAAATGTGATTTACATAAATCTGCATTAACGTAGGGGAAAAGCCGGGCAAAGTGGTTATTCTATAAGATGTTATTCATTCAGAGACGATTATCAGAAAACTGAACAATGAAATTGTTTAGGCTATTATTCTTAAGGCCATGAACATTTTAAATGACAGGAACAGACACTGTGTACTTCAAATTCTTTTTATATCCGTTTAAAACGGAAGTACACGCGCGGACTAGAATTAAAAGATGGCCGCCAGTTCTTTCCTCTTAGATCTTGAATCCACCCGTTTAAATCTTAAAACATACCCTTCAAGCAAGGTATTCATAAACAGGCGCTGTCTAAACCATTTTTAAATATATTTAACAATCTTAGGCACTTACCCTAAGTCAACTGCTACGCAAACCAAGAGATTCTTTCAAAAACATCGGTCACTTATTACTGCAAACTTACATAAGAAACAATTCAAAACTACACTCCGGGTTAATCCCAAGAGCCGCGTCTAGATTCAACAAAATTGCAGCAAAAACTAAACCTATGAGCGCCAATGAGCACTTTATCCTATCCGAAGAACTTATAAAAATGTAGGGGATGTATACTGGGAGACATCAATGCCCTCCCATCCTGCACAGGCGATGCCGTATCTGCAGGGGAGGCATTTATGTCCGCCATTGTACACTGGGAGACATCAATGCCCTCCCATCCTGCACAGGCGATGCCGTATCTGCAGGGAGGCATTCATGTCCGCCATTGTACACTTGCGTTTCATCATTTAAGTTTTTAAAATCATCATTCCTATTATAGGCTTTATTATTAAATATATTTTTTTTTTAGAATCACTACGTATTTATTTATCATTATAGGCAGCGCTTCAACTTGAAATTGACGTTGCAAGCAGACTCGTAGCTGTTAATGAAGTTGCTGAAAGACACAACGATCTTAATACCAGCGACTTTATCGTAACTGGCTTTATGGAAGATCAGATGAAAAGTGTCAACGAAATGGCTAAACTTGTTACAGTTTTGTCCGGAATAGGAGACCATGGTTTGGCGCGTTTTATATTCGACCGAGATATGTTGGAGCATTACGTGAATTCCGAGTTTAACGTCTTCGAAAATGGAACGCGAGAAGCTCCGACGAAAAAGTAGTAAACCAACTGTCCCTATTCTCTATATATAATCCTTTACCTGTTTTTCTCACGTTTTATAACACATGATTATTAAAATGTACAAACCATTTCACGTAGAATCTTTTTAAATAAAAGGATTTTAACTGTTCGCAATGTGTCTACTTTTAAGTAACGACAGAAACAAAAAAGAACTACGTACGGCATAGAGTACTTGTAAACTCAGGGCAGGGGGAGAGACAAAGGTGTATTTACGAAAAGAATTTAATTTTTATTACACAGGTACAAGAGTTACAATTATGAGGTATGTAAAATATGCAACGAATATCCGTCGCAATGGCCTGTGGGTCTTCGACATCCGAATTTGGAGTTCCTCGAGGTCTCCCTTGAGCGATTGGTCAACAATCTCTCCTTCTCTTTGTACATATCGTAAACACTCGAGAAATACACGGCACTTTATATACATTCATGTTAAATAAAACCTGGTAAAACGATCTCAAAAGCTGTCGAGGATACCGGAAATAAAATATAAGCGGTAACAAAACTTTAATCGAACTTAGCTACGTAACGACGGGTCTCAAAAAAGAGCTTCTAACTTTCTCCGGAATAAAGTCCTCGGTTTGGGAAACTGACTTACCATCTTCGGTAGCAGTTGGCCCTCCAATGCGTGGCCGTCCCATCAGCGGCTCTCTCGCTTTTCGGAAGAAATGTACCTGCAAATTTTAGAGAAGTATTTCAGATCGAGGAATCAACATTAGAGCGGATTTCCTTGGTACTGATCGATGGTCGATGATATCAGAAATCGCATCGGACGAGTGGTAGACCCAAATTATTCAATATCTACTCACTATATTTAATATTACTCGTTGGCGACGGACTCGAATAAGGGGAACAAATACAAATTATTCACAAATAATTCGACAGACCAGGGTACGTGTGGCTTAAAAGCTTGATCACACTATTTAAAATAGAAAATTGCCTTTACAAGCTACTTCATTCATTAGATAAGTCAACGGAGAAGTAAGAAAAAAATAAGGAAGATATACGGATAAGTTAAGTTTGAGATAGAAAATTATGTTGAATAAAATGGAACCGATTGGAGGTCGGTGAAATTTCAATGTTTCAACGTACCCTAGTTCCTGAATCAATACTTCACGTATCTGTATTTTGTTAATAAATATTGGGGTACGTGTTATATCGGGTAACATCGCATCGTCCATGTTAAAAATTCTTATCATAAACTCGGTTTTGTAAAAGAGAGAATATGGAGCATTGTTTCCACACGGTACAGTAATGATCACCTTCATCCTTTGCATTCTTTCTAAAAACTTTATATCATTTAATGACTTTATGATCAGACAACCCGACCGATCTGGAAAACATAGCATCGTCATATATATTCTTTTACAATTGTGCTTGATTTCATTAGGAGTTAGTTCATAATATAAAATCAAAGTAAAGAATCCACAAGAAAACGCCAAAAACTCCAATCAAATTATCAGACCTTGATGTCACTTAAGAGGCATTATAGGAATCACAATGGTCTCATTAATCTAATAACATAATATACAAATAAATTATTGGTTTTTGTCTCCGTGAAGAGAGATTACTAGAAGAGATCTGGTACTCTCGACTTGACCTCGTATTTCATCGGATGAAATATAAGTCACCTAGAACATAATTAGGATAAGTATAAAAGAAAGTGCTTAACAAAATTCATCGATTTTGTGGCATTTCCAAAAAATTGGTGAAGTGATCTTGTAAAAAACTGATGGAGAGTAGAGCTTATAAAGTTAATACCTACGATAGAAAAGCAAACCGTGTTGCAAAGATTAAAATTTAAATACGGTACGGTGCGGTGCGAACAACGTTACTAAAGGTAGTTTCGTAACATTGTAGAAGAATCCGAATCCCAGATTAAAAGACAGATTCGACGATCCGTTCAGTTTTACCCATCTCCATCTGTTGCGGCAAACGTTTAAAAAAGTATTCCTCCGGAGTATTTCCCAGCTGTCAACCGTATTTAATCTCGTCCTGTCATTTGGCACGTTTCTTTTCAAATTTCATTCCATTGGTAACGTAAAAGTGACCCTGTAACGCTTGTATAAAATTACAAAGATTTTCCTGTGCATCCTTCGGTTATAACACATCCGCACATCTGCATATCACAAACGTGACGTGCACATGGAGAAATGAGCTTAAAGGAAAGAAAATTAATCGACACACTAAGCATATTCTTATAATTAAGTCGCGAAGGAGCTTACTGAAGCTCCAGACTAAAGATTAGGACCACCTTACGTATACAAAGTTTGTTGTGTGCATGTCAGCAGCTAAATTGCTACTGGCCGTGACTGACATTGTGATGAACAAACGGGCAATCTCCGTCGCGGCAAGTGCCCATCAATTCGTACGGGCAGAGAATCCCGTCGGGAAGAGGTTTCCTGAATTTAACATCAAAAAGCACAACCACTAAATCCTACTTTAACCATTGATATCATATCGGAAGAGTTTTACTACGGCTCCACGGAATTTTAACCGACTATTATCAATTTCAAAGCCATACCAACATTTCGCCATTATACAGAATTCCCCTAACGCAGTGGTGTGTTATACAAATATACAAAGGAAAATAATATGCAAATGTAATGAATGTAAAATTAAATATTTCTCATTTTTCTTCTGTGGAGACGTAGTTATAAATCATGTCTGTAATAGCAGCACATTCGTGTCTAGGTGCTTAGCGTTAATGGAAGTCGACCCACCTTGTCTCCCTAAACGATGTTAACAGCGACTTATAAGGCTCGAAACTCTTTTTGTGATTGCACGAACGATCCGGCATATCTTGGCTTGGTTCAAGAAGGCGTACATGGCGATTTTTATGGTGATATCGAGGAGCACTCGTTGGCGGTCCTACTATTTGTACGGAGGCGTTTTGTGTAAGACTATCAGTAGGAAGACTATTTACGCTCTCATGGGAATTTAATTGCACGGCAGAATTTGATTCCTTGGAACAATTTTCTCCCACGATAGAGTTGCGTCTCTTCGCTAAACTCATTCGTTTCATAGACCTGGATTTCCTCACAGGAATAGATTGCTTGACAATTGTTTGTTGACTCTCGGCACAACTTTGTTCGGCTGAAATCGACTCCATAGCAGCATGTGGCCGTTCTTCAGGATTCAAAACTTCAACGGAATCGGATATTTCAAGAGTTTCAGAGTTTGGCTGTTCCGTAGAACTTGGATTATCGACAGAACTCCTTTCGTTAGGAATATCGGTTTGTTTTTGAGAGTTCATTTCACTCGAAGGACATGTTTCTTCGGCAGAATCAATTCTATTGACTGCCTGTAAATGTGACTCTTTAGTACAAGTTGGCTCTTTAAGGGAATTAATTTCGTGTGCAAGTGTGCTCGTTTCATTCGAGGGATTTATCTCTATTACAGAATTCGACTCTCTATCCGCTTCAATATCTTGCCGTATCTCAGAACTTACTTCCTGAAGGGAATTCGTTTTGTCGAAGACATTTACTTGCTTCAGAGGGGTCTTTTCATTTGAGGAACTCGTTCCATTATGAGATTTCTCTTGTACGGAACTTACAATAAACTGCACAGACGTGTCTGTAGTAACTTGTTCTAATTCGGTTCTATGGTCCTCGGAGTTACCTTGAATGGTACTTTCCTTATTTTTCGAAATATTGTTCTCATTTAGCTTTTCGTTTACATCTGTAGGCACATTTGTTGCTACATTTTGTGATACATTCTCATTCGGACTGTTCCGTGACTCAATATTTATATTACTTTGTACATTTTTACTTGAGTTTCTTTCTACACCTGAAATTAAGTTCTTTTCTGCCGTTGTTATTTGTACATTATCGCTCAAATTCTTTCTTACACTTGCATTTGAATTGTTTTTCACACTTATAGCTGAGAGCTTTTCCTGAACACTCTTACAAGAAATATTTCTTTGCACATTAGTGTTCACGCTTTGCTTTTGTACCTCCGAACTCTTTCCCTGTGCACTTGCAACTGAGCTCTTTTGTTCGTTAGTACTAGACATTATCTTCTGCCCAGTGTTTCCATTACTTTTGGATTCCTTTGGTATAGACTTTTCAGGTCTGCGAACTTCATTACTTAGCAATGTCTGGGACACTGAATTGGAAGTACTAGGTGGAATTCTTTTCCTTGATAATGGACGTGTATGACTCGCAACTTCCTTTAATTTATCATTTAACAAACTTGCGCCCGCAGTTGGTACCCTGAAATACACCTGTGTTTGTATCTGCTGCGTCACTATACGCAAAAGAGTACATCGTTTTAGTGAAATTTAATATAATTAATTTAAACAATTTTTAGGTTTATTTTAATTGTTAATTATTAAAATGGATAGGACCCAACAATTGTTGGGTCCTACCAAAATAAATACGTATAAGCACATATATTGTAAATAACTGAGATATGTATGTACACGGTGAGATTTATAAAATCTTCACGATGGATTAGACTCAACTATCGATCTCAACTATAAATCTTTACTGCAAATACAAAAGCACGCTCATGACTATTTACTCTGTTTGGACTAGTTGAAGCAAAAATTATTTGAGGTGAAAGATTAAAAGTCCTCCGCTGAAGATTTAATATTTCGACAATTTTTCAACGCAAAGTTTTCTTTCGCTCTTAAACAAGAAATTTATTCTTGTTAAAATGGCTGGTCCTCAGCGCGTTTCCTAAAGGATAATTTCGAGAAAGTATATGACTTCTGATAAAGGAATATATAAAATGAAACATCTATTACAAATTTAGTCCTTCGTTCTAAAAAATTGCCGAACATACTTCCTTAATGCGTGAAATGTTAAAATTTAGAAAAACTCAACAGCTGCATAAGTCTCTTGCATTAATGTCATACTTGTAGGTTTCGCCGCAAACTCGTTGGCCCAGCCCGGCACACAATCTTGACAATCTGAAGCATTCCTTTCGACCAGAATTTATTTTCTCATGAGCCTCTGCAACTTTAGGTCCCATACTGGAGACGCGTTTCTTTTGCATCTGCAGCCTTTCCTCGACAACTTTAAGCTGTTCGCGAAGTTTATTCACTTCTGCCAGCAAATCCAATTGAATGTCTCTCTCCATCTCCCACAGGCGAAGATTCCCAGACATTTCAGTCAAGTCATCCAGGACCATGTACCTATATTTGCACATGTACATATAAGCTTTAATCGCATTACACTAAAAAGTATCAAGGACCATATCTATAACTCTTTTAAAGGATCGTTAATTTTGGCATGAAACGTCAATCAAGATAATCATACACACAGGGAAGATAAAGCGTAATTATGCCTAATTCCAATGGCTATATTTCCATTTTTTCACTTGAATATCCTGCTTATGATCTTTACTGCAAGACAATAAATGAGACTTACCTTTTCTTCAGCAATTGGTGCTCAGCCTCTAATAGTTGCCGCTCTTGGTCAGCAAATGGAAGCTGACTAATACCTTTAATCTCCTTCTCGACATCCGCTTTGATTTTCTCCAAAATATCTTCCATTTTCGCTCTGCTGTTGGTTTTAGACCCGCCCGGTGAAGAATTGCAACTAGCGCTCCTAGAACTGCGAGGGCTTTCGGTACTATTAGTCCTCGAATTTCGCGACAGTACAAGTGTAGAAGCAGTAGAATCCATAGTTTCGTTGCTTCCAGGAAGATTGCCGTCCTTTGGCAAGAGTAATGTAGACGCCTCATCGTCTACCGACGCATTACTCGACAAATCCTTATTAACAATTTCCACGCTATTATTTACAGGTTCATTATTATTTACTATCATCCAAACACTTCGCGTTTTCGATTTATTAGCGGTATTTACAGGCTCCGAAGTCGTGACGTTACGGCAGTTCTTGCTCCCCAAAACAGGGTCTTCTTCGAGGTTGACAACGCTCGTTTCCATATCTTCTAACGTTACGACTCTGCCTTCACAACCGTGTTTTAACTGAATCTGTACAAATTTCCGGTTAACTTGATCTTTAGTTAAAATCGATAAGCCCTTTCCCATTTTAGGTGTCTCAGCTCGAGGTACTTGAACAGCGGTCATATCTGCAACCCGCGATTCAGTTTCCGGGACATCTAACGTTGTTAATTTATTCTTGTTGGTTATCTTGGTAGAGGTCTCTGGAGGCGTTTTAGGCAACTCTGGAGGCGGTTTAGGCGATTCTGAAGACGTAGAACGTAACGTTTCATCAACAGTTTTCGATATAGAAATCTTCTCTGATGTTACAGAGACAGACTGCATCGGGATGAGTAACGAATTATTCGGTTTATCGACAAGTTTTTCGGTTGATTCTTGAATGACTGTATCATTCAATTCTTTATCGTTGGACTTAGTAGTCAAGGATTTGGAATTAACAATTATGTTTGTTGTTTCAGACTGCATTGAAATATCAGTATCACCACATGTATCCGTTGTCGCAACTGTCTCTTGAGGAAGTTTATTATTTAGAATTTCGGTATTAGATGTTGCAACTCCTGGACTAGGATTAATTGTTTTCGATAATTCAGCCACTGGATTTATTGACGGTCTCGGAAGATTATTGGACTTATCCAGAGGGTTTGACTTATCAACTGGTATTTCAGGAGTGCTTGAAACAGCACCACTTACTTCAGGTTCTTGTCGTTTACCGATATTGATTGCAGTACTGGTGACTTTTATACTACGATCTTTCATTAATGTAGAGTTAGTCAACACAGTTGATGGCGGAATTTGCTTAGAAGGTGGACTTATCCCAGGACTTGCTGGAGACAATGGTCCCGTCGGACTGTTGTTATTCTTGTTATTTTGTTGGGCGGAAGTTGTACTGCTACTAGTGTCCAGTATCCGTTGCAGCTTTTGTTTTTCACGCTCTAATATTTGTTGTTTTAAACGTCGATATTCCTCTTGTTGCGATGCAGGGAGGTGACGGACCGCCTGTAAAATTGAAATAATAACAGAATTTTCCTAAATTAACTAGCTGGTAAATCAACATATCAACGCGACATTTATTAACTAGATCTCCTACTTATCACATAAATATCTGTATTATATAACGATGCACAATATAGAAAAATACTCTACAGAAAAATTGTTTGGAATAATGTACCAAACAAGTTTCCTATAAAACATTGTTCTTCATATTATTTATTATTGAGTTAGAGAATTCTAGACTATAGAAGACATACATGGGGTAGATTTAAATAATTGCAATTGCTCACTACCCGATAAACTTACCTGAAAAATTTGGAAATTAAACACTGAAAGCACTGTTCTGTCGCGTCAAAATTTAGCAAAGACGAAATAATATAAACAATATGTATATATATCTCAAACTTAGGAGGAAAACACCTAAACTGGTTTTCAAGTGAGCAAGTGCAATTATATAGACCTATGAACAAAGTGTTTCGTTTAATGAAATCGAAGGAAATGGTAAATAGTAGTCGAACTTGTCCTTTGCTCTGTATATGAACACATAAAAAAAAAGGAATTATGTGTTCCACTATACTAAATCAATAATCTTGAACTCTAAAAACCCAATACTAATCTATTCTAATCGAACAAAGTGTTCTTAAATCTTGAGACATCTTTTAAGACTCCAACGACATTCTTTCGCACGCAAAAAGTAATGAAGATACTTAAGATGATAACGTTAAGTGAAACACAATGTATGTTAAGAGTAATCCAGAAGTGGTAGATGAAATTGCAATATCACATGCCTTACATTCAAATTTAACCAGAAATATTAAGACGAATAGACGATTATCGGAATTATTGTTAAATAATATGCAATTACTGTTACAAAATCAAAGCGCCACTGCAATTTTAATGCAGCGATGTCAACGGTAAACAAAAGAATAGTTTAAAAAGCGACCCCAGAGTGCACACTGGGAATGAATTTAATTTCTACAAGAAGATTTGAGAAGACTGAACTGTTATGGTTTGAGCGTATCATGTTTGCTTTTAAGAAACGTTAGTAGTTCCGTACGAAAATCATAACATCGGCGTAATTTCTTGGAAAGCTTCACCAAGTACATAGTACCTTCTCGCGATGTCTTCAAAACTCAATGCCGCTTACAATAATTTACCAGATTAACTTGTCTTAAGGTGATATGAAAGGCTCATTCCATATATCAAAATATAAGAATATTTATAATATACTTTTCTCCAAACTGAGTGCATCGAATGATAAGAAACTGCAGCCCGTGATTAGGAAGACCCTAAGGAAGAACGCGATGCTCATGAAATATATTAATATTCCCCTCTTTCGGTAAAAACATCCCTGAACCAACGACACCATTACACTTTGATCTAGTAACATCAATCGCATTATATTTCAACATGATCGTTCACTTGGAACATTTGAATATGACCATATCTCTGGTTCAGGTTTGGATGATAACATTAATATCAGAAGCTTGTCCGCCTTTTCTGGATTAATCCACGTAATGGGGTGAGACGTCTTGTATGGTGTTGAAAATTAGGCTAGGATTACCAGCCTCGCATTATCTTATCGAAACAATTGATAAAGTAGCGTCTCACCAAAGGTGTAACAGAAATCGCGGGTAATTTCGCACTTGCTGATGGCGTGGGAGGCTGAGGCTTTTGTGCAGTCGTGTTCAACGAAGGTTGTTTCTGGCTGGCTACAGAATTTCCCTGTGACGGAGATTTGCTAGCAGCAGCGGATTCCTGCTTCTTCCTCACGTCTCTGAGAAATTGGTCGACGCTCTTCTCGAATTCCGAGGTAGGGATGTTCAAAGGCGGTCGTTTCGTCGTCCCACCGGCATCCGAGTTGACAGCGACATTGGACATCGGTACATTAGTTTCCGTCTCGCTTTCCGAGTCAGAATTCAAGCATATAATAAATCTGTTAGTCTCCGAGAAAACCGTCTTTGGACTGATGGAACGAGTGCTCTCATACTTGACGTTCTGCAGGGTAGCGTTAACCAATGGTTTCTGCGCCCTGAAAGCACCTCCAGCGTCTAGCAGATTCATCTTTTTCTGGTTCAAAACGTTCTGGTACCTTTTAGCGTTGTTCACCACTCTAGTGCTGGCAGGGATAGGAGTTTTCTTTACGATTTTCCTCGCAGTTGCCTTAGGAACAAAGACCGATGGTTTCCTCCTCGCAGAAATCAGACCTTCGCTCTTTGTTGTCGGTACCACCGATCCAGGGACAGAATTACCTATGCTCAATGCACCCAATGGTGCATTTGCTACTGCACCTTGTGGCGCAGTATTAGCCGTTGCAGGACAATTTACACGTTTTCCAGGCTGTGAGTTAAATCTAACTTCTGATGCTACTCGACTCGCCGAGGAGTTCGCAGGAAGCTTTTGTCCTTTGCCATCACCACGGTCACCCTGTTTAGTGGCAACTGCAGTTTTGGAATATGCACCAGCTGCATAATTCATTTCCTTGGTGATAATTTCAGGCGCGGAAGACACCGTAGCTCGTGCTGCTACATTTGTTGTTCCTGTAGATGCTGCAGTCGTTGGAAATGTAGTTACGGACTGCGTACTTACCCTCGCAGCTCCTGAAACTGTCGACACAGTAGCTACAGGAATCGTAACAGTCGTCGTAGTTACTGCATTTCTCGAAATAGCCGTAGAACTTGTTGTTGCCGTGCTCTTTGTTGTTGCTGACGTTGAAACTTCTGTTTTTGCCCGCTTGGCCATGGATGCTAACAAGAGCGCTCGAAGTTCTTCTTCGTCTTCATCGATGCTAGGACGTCTTGCCCGTTCATCTGGCTTCTCATCGATTAGGTTCTTTCCAGAATTTCCGCTCTTATCAATAGTCTTCCTATTATTTAGAACAACTTTGTCTGTTTGAGCAAAAGTACTTACACTGTCGGCCATTTTTTCACTACTTTTCTCGAACGACGGCATATTCTGACTTGGCTGATTTGCGGCGTTTCCTTCCCTCGTTTCTCCTTTCTCATTGATACTTTCCTTTATTTGTTTCGCAACACTTTTAACATTATCTGTAGTAGATTTGATAGCAAGCTCTTGTTCCTTAGGATTTCTATCCGAGTCGCCTTTCCGTTTCCCAACGTCGTCATTAAGCTTGTTATTGTCACTAATCTGTAAACTTACTTTGTTATTTTCTTTTTCCGATGGAACATCACGTAATTCTTTATTATCTTCTGTTCGATCGTCAGGCTTTGATTGTCTCCCCGCAATCTCCCGAACCTGGCAATAATTGTGAAAGGAAGAAACATCCGAAGAAAGTCCCTTTTCATTACAGTTTACATTATTCCTAGTCACTTCATCGGGACTGTTTTGTCTAGACCTTTCGGAATGCTTTTTACTGCGTTCCTCTTCAGTTGAGCGTTTCCTTTTCTTCTTATCGTTCAAATTCTTCGTCTTTTCTCCTTCTTCGATTCGCTCATGTATAGCAACATTGCTTTGAGCATCCAACAAGCGATGTACGTCCTTTTCACTACTTTCCTGAGTTCTATTCTTGTTTCTAGGCGATTCCGGATCGCCTTCAGTGGGAGGAACATTAAGGGCAACGGAAGCGGACTTCTGAAATTGTTGCTTCTTTGCAAAGGAACACAGTTTGATCGGCTTAAAGTTCCCGTTGCTTTTCGACAAGTCTGCATCAATTTCCACCGGCTGCATATCGGCACTCTTGAATGCCGGCTCGATTCGCTTTTGCTCCTCCAACTTTTTAGGAGGAAGAGGTTGTTGCAACTGTTTATTGTTCTTCAATATAGAGACAGGAACCAGCGTTCTGTTAACCAAGGTAGGAATCTTATTAGGATCTTTAGTTATGTGTATACCTTTTAAATAAAGCGGCTCCTGGACAATCCTTTCTATGTCACGGGCGATTTCATCGAGGGACTCCGAGCTTTGAACATTCTGGGAAGATTGTCCTTTAGACAGACTGCCAGGGTCAATATCTGGATCAAAGTCAAAGCTAGCTACGGAGCTGGTTAATGACACGGTACTTCCCCTGGGTGATAAGGAAGCATACTGCAGAGATGGAGATACTTCCGATTTATCGGCTTTATCGCAAGCTCCACAAACATTGTTTCGATCGAGATTACTTTCTGAACAATTCGCCATCATGTTGCTCGTCACCGAGCAACTAGTTGCGGTATCATTTGTAGGAAGTACATTGTTTTCAGATTCATTTACTAAGCTTCGCTGGAAAGAATCCGGATCATATGACTTGGACGGAGACAATATCGCTTCAGACTCCACATTGTACATGTCAGAATGGGAGAGAGCCAATTCTGGATCGTACAATTCGGACCTAGTGGATTGATTGTTGGATTTTGTTTGAAATCCCGCATTCTGTAAGGCGCATTGTTCAAGTACTAATCGCTTCGAGCACATTGTCACTTCGGGAACGTAGCTAGACTTTGGCGTGCTTAGATCAGGCTCGTGTGGTTTCAATTTAGAAAGATCTAGTTCCGGATCATAAATCGGAGTATCTGTAGGAGAGTAAGGTCTTTCCTGACTGGGGATAACTAGATTCGTTCCTAGGGATATCCTTTCCGTTTGGACAGTTGTAACGCATTGAATGACGTTTCTGGAATAATAATCAATCCGCGGAGTGTCCGTAGGATGCGATGGGGAGTAAGGCCCATCCATCGGTGGTAAATAAGAAAGGTTTTTCATGGAGTTAAAGTACTCCAAAGATAATTCATCTTTACTGCTAAGCGTCTCTTTCCTTGGGAGGCGAATTCGGTCATTATTGATGCTACTGTACACGGGACTGCAATTGTTGGATGCAGCTGGTGTTCGATCAGCTCCCATGAAGGAAACATCTGATCTTTGAATGCCTAGTAATTCCGTTTCCACCATAATTTCATTAGAAACGTCATCGGTCGGAGAATATGGTAGCCTCTCCTTTTCGCGCTCTACATCAGTGTCAAGATCCATGTCTTCGGTATAATTATTCTCATTGGTAGTTATCACAGGCGGTGGTGGTGTTTCCGGTTTGTCTTCTTCCCCAGGAATTGGAATACTGTCTAAAAAGCTTTGACTACAAGGATGTTTGGAAAGATTTGTTAATTCTACGAGATAAGACTTCTCCGTTTGGACTCCATCTTCCCTTTTCCTAAGAACCGCTGACTTCAGGGCAATTCTTCTCAACTCTAAGTCTTCGTAATCGCTATCTTCCAGATCGATTACACAGGAAGGCTGGATTTCAGCCTCACTTTTTGAAGGAATTGCATTCCTCTTAGTTCTCCTCTGCGACTTCGTTTCTAAAGCGATTTTTCTGAGCAAAGCTATATCTTCCTCGTCATCGGCATCATTATTAGTATTATTATTTGAACTATTTTTCTCGCTTGCTTTTGTTTCACTACCTGCAGCACTTGATTCCTTCACTATGTTTAATTTCTGCTTCAAAGATGGCCCATACTTTTTACCTCCTTTAAACTTACTCAAAGGTTGAGACCCAACCGTTTCCAAATGTCGTACCTTTTTTAGAAGCTTTGCCACTGTTCCGTGACTTCTGTTACTGTAACCTCGAGAAGGTGATGTATTTCTGGCCACTTTTCGAGGAGGTGATCTTACTGGGGATCGACGATGTTGTGATCTTATGGGAGATCGCCGATGAGGTGATCTTATAGGAGATCGCCGATGAGGTGACCTTATGGGAGATCTTCGAGGAGATCTTCTCGTGCCCCTGAGCGATCGAGTAATTCTTCTAGGATCTGGTGACCTTGTAGTCAAAGAAATAGGTGATCTTGGTCTACGAATAGGTGATTGGTATCTAATTGGAGATTTATACTTTCTCGGTGGAGACCTGGAAACTTTGGGTTTACTAAGGCATTCATTTAGATGTGGAGGACTTGATTCTACGGGTATTAGTAGCGATTCGGTGTCGTCTTGTGCAGGTATTGGTGAACATGCAGCAGAGACAAAGCATCCCGATGATGTGACAAAGGAGGATGGTGGTACGTGTTCATTCTGAGCACCGATGGAGCCATGGATACGTTTCCGTTTCTTTTTTTTGCGCTTTTTACTTAGTCTTAAGAGCAGGCTTTCTCGCGTTTGTTTCATGCGCTCCAAATCGGTGGAATCGTCGCAGTCCCCGAGGTCCATGTCGCTGTCACTCGAGATTGGTACGAGACCCTCGTTTTTCTCTTGCAACGTCGAACCCGCATGCTTGCTTCCAGGGTAGCCAGATTCCCTGGTATGATGGCGGTTCTCCTTCTCTTGCACAGCATCTTAGAGAATAAGATGAACTTCTACTTGATTAGAGTTAAGTAAAACTCTACATGGTAATTTCACAGTTGAATCACATGATCTAACATACTTGACAACTACAGTTTGCGGGGACTAATTTAAGGGGATTGGAAAGTAACGCTATTTGCATTATGGAGTAGAAAATCAAACATGATATCATAGTAACCGTTATATGGCATGTTCGATACCGAATTATCATATATAAAAATACTGAAACTCTCCGTTCGGGACAAAGAAATTAACTCCAAGTATTTTCATACGATGCCAATCGTCATTCAATTCAGATCTGTGTCAAGAAAATTGTTTATCTCCTGTATATGTTTACAAAAAGATCCAAAATGGTTCTCGTAATAGCAAATATTATGCAGTGATCGAACGCAAAAGGTTAACGCGAATATGATGACACATCGAAATATGACATCAAAGGAAGTAGCGTAAACTTTACCTCTCCTCTTTCGCCTCTTAAATTTCTTTGAATTGCCAGTTAACGTGCACCAAGGTGCACAATGTTGCCACGAAAGGCAGCAGGGACACTGTCCAGCTTTTTGAAGATTGTATGCATAATTAAGCTGCGACTCTTCCCAGGAGCTGACGTCGTCCAGCGAGATCTCGCCCTCTTCCTTCTCGTCCAATATCTCGATGGCCTCTGTGCAACCACTGGACAGATCACTGGCCATTTTCTCCGGAATTATCCCGAAGACGTTCAGCTACCCGAAGGACCGATTTCAGCCCTCGAGAAGGAACTCCCGTTAGGGACGCCTTCTTGAAAAAATCAAAGTTAATTACACGTTACAGGAACTTCGTTGTACTCGAAATTGTGTTCGAACTGATGAAGGAGGAATCTTCTGGAATTGAAGTGGTCTTCTAAAGGCATCGAAGGGTCGCAAAATCAAGTCGATCCCTCCGAAGAGACACGAATGGATCAGAAGGAAACGCTCGTTGCGCACTTTGACTTCTACAGCACTCACAAATAAGCAGGCGCCATAACTTTATCCTCAGTACCCACGCATACATACATCAATGCATATGATGCACTACGTTTCTACAAAGATGAGACAAGAAATTGTCTATAGGTAGGTTTGCACGATTGGCTCTCGTGCTGCCCCCTGGTGGTGAATTTTGTCAACATATGTACAAAATCCCTCTACTGGCCAAATCGAGAAAATGGGAAAATGGTCCCAATTAGACTTATTCTGGACTTATTCACTATGTACATCTCCATCGTACTCACAATTCGGAATTTATCATATTATATTATATTATGGATTGAGCATATAATAACTCTAAGCATATAACATTGATCATAATTGATGAGGTGACCAATCAGAAAAGAGTAGAGAGAGAAAGAGAGTGACGCATTCTGCAATAATTAATTATTCACATCAATTCATATTATGTATCTTTGTATATACAGGTTTCACAAAAGTACAGACTTTTAAATTTATATCAACATTTGCTGAGGTTTATCATTTTAAAGCATTAACTTACTTCTTACTATTCCACAGAATGTCAATCTACTTTGCAATGCCGTACAATAGTACAATTTATTACAAATATGTAATAAACATTGTTCACTTATAGTTCAGAAATATTGTCGAGATATGCGATGCTCAATTCATTATAGCTATGACAATACCTAAATAAGTATGAGTATAATATACTTTTTATAAGAATATAATAGTTCTCATTTCCGTTTATCGTGGGCGGTGTGTAATGGGAAATTACGGTTAACCGTGATTTCACGGAACCAAGGCCAAACTGACATTCCTTTCACTTTTAAGGAAGCATGAACACTACGGCCTCGATGTACGTCATTCTATCACAAAGTTTCAAAGATTTCTGTATATTAAAATTCCAGTGCCGGACTGCATTCCTAAAACGCCATAAATCATTGGACGACACTTTGGTGAATCAAGAAAATTAACACGTAACTATCTCGTGACAACTTATACAATACAATTTGTTACTTTCAAAAACATTCTATTTAGCTTTAGATAAGCCTTTTAACTATATTCGTTAAGTATCTGTTCACGTATTTCGCGATAATAAATTCAACTCGTTCATTCTTGACATATGTTTATGTAATTCGAAGTCTTATCTCAGTATACGATGGCATCGTATCATCCCAAAGTACAATATTCGACATACGATTACTAAGATCGTTAACAATGTAGTAGATAGTGTCTATATTATCCGTAAGAAATGCGCAAAACTCTTTTACCTGTATTTGTTTCACCCGTTGACTTTTAGATGACTCACTACTGAGTCATATTTCCAGAATTGTGTTATCTACTCTCACTTCCTCCTAAACATAAGCCAGAGAGAATAGAGTTCGTCATCTCGAATTTTTCTGGAATTGACGCTGCATTATGTAGGATAATGGAAGCAATGCAATTATAGATAAATAATCATAGTCCATTTAAATTGAGAAACCGTTCGACAAAGTTCATCTAATTGAATAAATTGGAGTTCAACAGTCTTGGTAAAACTAGGTTAAAAGATTATCGAAGCCAATTTAATTATCACGCGATATAAAAGTTAATTTATTCTGTTTTTATTTTTAACCCTTTGTGCTCTCAATTATTGATATGTCTAGTCAAACTCGACAAAGGAGCGCAAAGGATTAAACTAAGTTTATTCATTTCAAAAATGGCGGCTAACACTATCACGTGACGTCACGGTTTTTTTTATCGGGCCAATGAAAATTTTACCGACCGATTGGTGGATTGTGTTTGTTCAATAGTTGAATAAGCAGCCTAGATCTTTCTCTCTCTCTTTCTCTGTCTTTCTATACATTTGATAAGGATAAAATGGAATCAGCTGATTGATCTTCATTAACATTTTGGATTCAATTTGAAAACGGTCTTGCGCAGTTTCGGATCGATCGTTAGAAGTGGTACGAAGACAATATGTACGAATTATGGGCAGTTTAAAATTGTTGAGTCTTTATTTTTTAATTGTAATGTTTACAGTGAACTCCAGCATTACATTTATATTGGTCACGTAATGCGTTATCTGGCATTCGCAGATATTGCGCGTGTCAAGGCGTAATTCTTGATCTAACATCAGTACTGGTCAGTACGTCGCCGTACCGGATTTGTGTCAAACAGCAGAAAATTAACGAGCAATGGGCGGAAGAAATAGCAGAAGTTTTTCTCCTACTCACACTAGCAACGAAAAAGTTAAACCTTCCGTAGCGACAGGTATAACCCTTTGTATGGTGTGTTTATTTATAAGATATTATATTTAAGAAATGAACTCAGGTACGTACAAAGTGCTGCTCGATTCTCTAGGCGTTTTCTTTTCCATAGAAACGCGGACAAGGTTACGCACTTTGTAATTAGTCTAAGACAATGCCATAAGGGGATTGGTTGACGTTATTCACTTAAGCACAGTCCGTTGATCGCTTGTCGGCTGTTTTTTCCTTGGTCAGCCATTAGTACAGATTCGACGGTTTCCTCGATACAATTAGTAGCATTTACGGATCGTCCTTAAAGCAACATAGCTACACCTGCAATTTTTATTTTCTACATTGGATTCGTTTATTATATTAATTTTTGATAGAATTGGGGAAAAGGATTTATAGAAGACAAGGAAAGATCGTCGAGATGTTAGGTAACGAGAAGAGGCATGGAAGTCACTCTTGTGAAAGATGTAGAGGCATGGTGGATTTACGTAAAAGTTACAATGTTGCAAACTGTTGTTGCTCTTGTGAGATCATACTTCCCCACTTGGCGTCGTTCTTTAACTTCAAAATAAATTATTTCGTCATATGTGATAAAAATTCTGAAACGATTTGACTGTTTTTAATATTTAAATATTAACCATTTGCGGATGAGCTTTAGCGTTACTCCTGACAAAACACCTAAGAAGTTTCTACTTCTGTCTGCAAAAGGTTAATAACGTGAATGATATTTAATTTATTCTAATTTGTTCTAAAATCTGACTTAGGTAAACCTGAAAAGCTTGACTATGTCGAAGGTGTAGTTTGCAATGAGAAAGACATTGGTGAAAATGAAATGAAGCTGTTGCCACTTGGCGAGGATGGAGGAAAAATTTTGTTGATCAAGCAGAAAGGAGAATTACATGCAATTGGAACAAAATGTACACATTATGGTGCTCTTCTAAATACAGGAGCATTAGGTGACGGTAGAGTAAGGTGCCCATGGCATGGTGCATGCTTTAATATTAAAACTGGGGACATAGAAGATTACCCTGGATTAGATTCACTACCTTGTTATCAGGTATTGTGTTATATTTTATATATTAATTTATTGAAATATTCAGTGACCGGTATTATTGAACATTTCTCAAATGTTGCTTTCACAAGTATATTTATACTTTTTGTATTAGGTTACAGTCACTGAAAAGGGATTGGTGAACGTAAAGGCTAAACGAGTGGACTTAGAAACAAATAAACGCATTAAGCAAATGTGCCCGCTTCAATCTGCCAATGAAAAAGTAGCCGTTATAGTAGGCGGTGGTCCCGCTGGTGCTACGTGTGCAGAAACCCTTCGCCAAGAAGGATTTTCAGGGCGTGTGATTATGCTTTGCAAAGAACCAATTTTACCTTATGATCGTGTTAAGTTGTCTAAATCTTTGGACATTGATATTTCAAAGAACACCTTAAGATCGCAACTCTTCTATGATGAAAGTAACATCGAAGTTAGACTGGGCATCGAAGCTACAGGTAGGACATATTTATACACCTTTAAAAATTCTTACTTTCCATTTTACTTGCTCCACCATAATTATTGGGGAACGATTCCATATGACTGATGTAGTTTAATTTATGTTGTATTAAAAACTACTCATTTTATGATTTAGATTTACGGTTTTTATAAATATTCACATTTTTTGTAGGTTTGGATACAAATGAACGAATTGTCAAAGCAAACAATAATGAAAATATTAAATACGACTACTTGTTTATTGCTACGGGATGTCAAGCAAGGAAACCTAATATGCCTGGTTCTAACTTAGCAAATGTCTTTACTTTACGAAATTCGATGGACGCGCTTGCAATACATTCACAGATATCTCCAGAAAAACATATCGTGATACTTGGGCTTGGTTTTATTGGCATGGAAGTAGCTGCATACTGTGTAGGGAAGTGTGCATCAGTCACAGTTATAGGAACTGAAACGGTGCCTTTGAAAGCAATCTTTGGAAATGAGATAGGAGAAAAAATTCGAAGTATTCACGAGGAAAAAGGTAAAATACTAATTTTTACATATACATGGACGTTGATTCATTCTGATTTTGTCAATAGTATTTTGTATCATTCGAATAAATTTTTCATAGGCGTGCGATTCGTATTCAAGAATAGTATCGCCAAATTCATTCCAAAAGAGGATGACGATAAAACGTTGAAAGAAGTTGAACTTCAAGATGGAGTAATCCTTCCAGCTGATATAGCAATTGTGGGAATTGGAACTACATTTAGCACGGAATGGCTCAAAGACTCCTTGGTGCAGTTATCGGAAAATGGTAGCATCGTAACAGATGAGGTAATATATATTTTATATCAAACAGGTTTTAAGTAGAACTAAAGTATTGTTTTAGATTGCCAAGTTACTGATAATTTTTTTATTTTATCAATGTCCAGCATTTACGAACAAATGTTGAAAATGTTTACGCTGGTGGAGATGTTGCTTATGCACCAGTGTTCGTATCTGATAACAATCCGGCAGCTATAGGCCATTATGGTCTGGCACATTATCATGGAAAAATTGCAGCTTGTAACATAGCTGGAAAAGAAACACCTTTACGAGCTGTACCATTCTTTTGGACGTCCCTGTTTGGCAAGAGTTATAGATATGCAGGTGAATATTGATAAAAAATTACATGATTATTTGTCTTTGTACACATGCGTAAAGTCTCAATCCATTTTCGTAACAGACATGTATAACATAGATAATTGAAGTGGATCCAGTAATTATTTTGTACTTTAATTTATGATTATCAAAGGAAGTATTGAATAACTTATTGAAATCATTGCTACTATATGTATATGTTTTTACACTCCATGGGAAATTATTTACGTGTTTTATACTCCATAAATTAATTTAAATTCCGAAATTCTAAAAAGACTGCATAATTAAAAATTTACAATTTAATATTGGTAGTTTTCCAAAGAAGTGAGATTTGTGCACTAATTAGCAAATACGTTTTTGTTTAATGATATATGTTGTCAATAGGCCATGGAAGACCAACCAGCATGAAGATTTATGGCTCTTTAGATGAATTAAAATTCTTCGCCTACTATTTCAAAGATGGCAAAGTAATATCTATGAGCAGTATTGGAAGAGACCCGATTGTGTCTGATTTTGCAAATCTACTCTACGAAGGTAGAAGATTAACACAAGAAGAGGTTGAACAAAATCCTACTGGTTGGATGCGCAATAAGCCGAAAGATATGTTGGAAGATCCGCAGTCTGAAAAATTTGTTCCAGTGGCTGGAGTCAAGTCGTAAGAAATACGCAATAAAGTATTCTTACAATCCATAGATTTCCTATTATATGCAAAAATGTGTGTTTAAAAAACCTATTACTGCTCTATTGAAATGCCTTGAACAGTGAAACATCAACATTAATTCTCAAAGAAAATTGAGGAGAAATTTGAAATACTCATCGCCTAAAGTATTATACAGTTTGATTTTTAATTGTCACCTGTATTTGAACCGAAATTACTTATCATCTTTCAGTATTTTGTTATACACAATGAAACGTGTATATTTAACCATGTATTATTAAGGCAACTGGTACTATTACGATAAAACCAAATTCTTATTAATTTTATGCGATGTGATACCAACAACACCTATTCTGTAAGCACAATCATGAAAATGCACAATTCTATTGATTTTATGAATCATTGATATGCTGCATATATGATGTTTGATAACAATCTCGTTGTATATATTAAAAGGGGACTACATTTGACAATAGGAACTTTATACATGTACTTACCGAAAGTAGGAATTATGCGCATGCACATAGACTATTGTTATCTTTTAATTTACTTTCTGCTTCTGGACTACAAGTTTTGTAATTAAGTGAGATAATGTATCCTGTTACTTTTATTGTATTATATATCACATATAGCAACAATAATTGTGTATATTTTAATATTTTTAAATTACATATTATTTTCTAGGATTGGCGCAACTTTTGGGAATCAGTCAAAGCGGTTATATCATACATTAACAATAGTACGACCACCCATGACTGTGAAACGATTAAAAACGCGAGTATTAACGTTTAGACAATTCCTAAATTGTGATACATTCTTTCGAACTATTAGATTATTGCGCTTTTGATACTTTGAAACAAAGTGCTAAGAGGGGTTTCTTATTTGTGCTTTGCTGCATATTTAACAGCAGATTCAAGGCTTCTATTGTTAAAAATATTTATTTCATTATTGTATAAGTATTGTAATAAATATTTCAAAATATTGTGATAAAGAATTATTCATGTATGAGGAACATAAATTGGGACTGTAACCAATAATTTTTTATGAACTTTGCTATATGTATACATTAGTCCACTAATGAAAAATATTATTTCCAGAGAAACTAAACAGTATGTGAAAGATACCCTAAATAAATTCAGAGAAGATTCAGATTCAGATGATTAACGATATGAAACAGAATATTACCTCAAAAGCCTGAACAATAATCGAAAAATAGACAAACATGATTTAATGGACGAGATCAACTGATTATTAAGTAAAATGTCAAAAAACAGAATACCTATAACTGATTATATTTGCTTGATCGCTACATAAATTACAAGTTCTTATATTACAACGATCTTAGTCCCAGTTTTCCTTAGTCTTTACATGATTCAATCGCTCTGCAATGGTGATTTGCTTATTATATTTGTTGTTCCTGTATGCATAATAGAAATCCATAACATTGATTTTGGGCCTAATGTCAGACATATGACCATATGATTGAGATGATGTAAGATATGGATGGCGCAGAAGGAGCATGTTTCTCTCTTGCCTTTCGTAGTCGAAACGTAGCCTCAGGAGATCAAGTAGCGTTACCTTCTTAACAATGCGATATTTCCTATTTTACAAACGATATATTAATTATTAAAAATAAAACTCACGATTACTTTAAATTCTGAATTGAATTCATGTAATCGAAGTACTCAAACTGGAAAATGTTACAGTCCAAATATATATAGCGGTGTTTGTATTTTGCGGTTATATCGTCAAATAGATATTCTTACCCTCGATATAGATATCCATGAGGCCTTGTTCTCAACAAAATATCCGTCAAACGCATCGTTCTAATTAATATGAATTTAAGTTAAAAAGTCAGACAGTTAGACCTTTATAAAGTAAAATCGACAATTAGCACCGATTAGAATATACATTTAGGTCCGGTTCATGGACAGAGAGGAATATAGGGAAATATAGGGACCGGGCATCAGTGTTGCCACGTCGCATTCAGAGGGTAGTAGAAATGGCGTTACCGCCACCATAGGGAAAATAACCAAACTAAAATTTAACATGTCGGACACGGCGGAATATTTGAAACGTTCTTTTTCATTCTGAAATTTTCCGTCATCGGATGGATTTAACCATGGACGTAAGAATAAATGTACGTTTTTCCACCTGCCCAATTCGATAAAACTTCGCCAAATAATGAATTTTTCTTTCACCCTTAGCATGACTCGCGCCGATCCTATCGTTTCCCTCCATACCGACGAAACGAACTTCCCCTTCGCAAAGAATCCCCCTCGACAGCGCCAGATGGCGCCACCGAGGCGGCGAACCTCTAATCTCGTAACAGTCGACGGGCGACTAGGCCGACGCGAGCAGGCCGCCCTTACGTTGGTGACCCTGAACGATTGGCTACGCACTTCTATGCCGTCGTCTGCATCGAGGGGCAAGTGACAGCTCGCGAGCCGGATTGTTGACACTTGTCCGCGGCCGCGGGTGGAATCGGCGTGGGCCGCGATGCGCTCGGGATAGCGGCGACGGGCGCGCTCGGACGCCTTCGGGGAAATTCGGGGAAACCCTCAGTTTTCCGAGGTCCGGCGGACACGGTGCGGGTCACTAGGTGCCGCTTGCCGTTACTCGCGTCGCTGCTTCGGTGCCGAGGCACCGCCGAGCGAGCAAGAGGGAGCGAGAGGTGCGGCTCCTCTTCCATATCGATCAATATCGCTCTTCACCGGCTGTAACGGACGATTTGGTCGGGCCGAGAGCCCACGAGAGCACGGAATCGGCCGCTCGAGCCGCGGTAAGTGGTTTGCGCCTCGAGCCCGAACACGCACTCGGGCGCGAGTCCTCTCCTGGAACCGAGTGGAGCCGATCTTGCCCGAATCCCTCCGAACCCCCGTCCTGCCGATCGCGTCGCGTGCGAATTCGAGATGCCGATTTCTCGCCGCATCCTCGGTACCGGGGTCTTGTCGAAATATGGGGGAAACTCGCGGTTAAGTAGGACTTTTCCTTACGGAGAAAAATAGCTTGGTCGTTGGATTTACTCGTGCGTTCGCTTAATCACGGTTTACTCGGTCATGTGGAAGAGAAATGCTGTTCGTTATTTTTCTTCGAAAGGATGCGCGGTGCTAGGTCGAAGGAATATTTCCCGGGGGTTTTAATCCGGTATCTGTTAGATAATTCCAACCCGAGATGTCGAAAATCAGGGGAAGCGATGTTTTGGAGGAGGGTCGTTTTAACTCCTTATAAGGGAAGTTTCGTTTGATCGGGTAGGTCTTGGCTCGTTCGATTATGTCAGTGCGTCACGTGCGGACTAGGTGAAATATCGGAATGACATTTCGGGTAGGCAATATGTACGGGGATTTAATTCTACGCGGTAGAGTATCGCTTGACGTAAATAGTTCGTTGCGAAATTGGTACCGAGGCGGTTCTCCACATTTTCCTGGTACCGGGTAACGTGCTTTGTGGAAGAATCGGTGGAAGGTGCCGTGGGTTCTATTAAGGTTCCCTTTTTCTTCTTTTTCCTTTCTTCTTGGGGAAATTGTTTCGAGCTAACTAGTCATCTTTTCTAATCCTGGCTGCATACGTGCTTTCCCTTCTCGTATAGAAACGCAATGTGGTAGACAAGACGATTTTGTTTATGAAGAAACCTGACTTCTTTTTAAGAAAACGGAAATCGAGTCGAGTACTATTGTATCCTATTTTTATTTTCTTCATTTGCTCTGAACGCTTTCAATTTTGTTTGTGAAAAAACCTGATTTCTTTTTAAGAAAACGGAAATCTTGAATCAAGTACTATTGTATCCTATTTTTATTTTTTTCATTTGCTCTGAACGCTCTTAATTTTGTTTATGAAAAAACCTGACTTCTTTCCAAGAAAACGGAAATCTTGAATCAAGTGCTATTGTATCATATATTAATTTTTTTCATTTGCTCCGAACGCTCTGAATTTTGTTTATGAAGAAACCTGACTTCTTTAATAGACAATCTGAACGCGAACTGGCAGAATCGGCGAAGTAACGATAACAAAAACGTAATGAAAAATCCATATTGGATTCAGAATTGAATTTAGATCCAAAAACAGTAAGCAAAAAAGTCTCATGCAAAATCATAAGTGGACCTTAAAACAAGAAAAAAATTCATTTGAAAGTGAGACTTGAGTCTCATTTCAAGATAATGAATGTTTGTACCGGTATTGTTCGGCAACTAATCTTGCTTAGTGGATTAGCCAACTTTAAACCACTGTAGTTTCGGAACTACAATTCGGATTCAAGTTTGCATTGGATTTTTTTTTTTAGAATTAAATAGAGAGTATCGTCACGTATTTCTTGTTAGCGAGCTCTTGGAAAAGAGTGCAAGACCGAGGCATCGTTGTATTACAATTTGAAGGAATAATCTTTGTGCAGAAGTCACGCGGAAGATGTGTGGGGAAATTAATATTCCTAGATATCGGCACTTCCGAGTTTGACAATATAACCAAGGTCTACTGTCCGATGACGCTTCAACACCATCAACGGAGATCTAATGCGAACTTCTAACTCGTTGACTGCCAGTTAACCCAATTATGGGTGACGCTCTGTGGTAGAACGTACACGGGCGAATATACCGCAGCAACGTGTTAATAATATTACTGAAACTTTCGCGTTACATTAAACCACCTCTCAAATCGTATTAAAGACTTGGGAAGTACATACTTACACCTAATGTCCATAATGCACTTGCCACTTTAGCAGAATTAAATAAAATTTATTGCCAATTTATAGCCATTTTATCGCGCAAGAAAAGAATTTTTTGCTTTTATACTTTTTCGAAATACGGTGGCGATGTCAGCCTTATTTTATTATATTAAGCATTGCCACGTGATAAAAACGATAACAAAGCAAACGTTCATGGTTGACGTATACGCCAGAATTTATTGCTAATTAATTTCTCGCAGAGAGACCAAACTTCGACTCTTTTATTCACCACCCCCAGAGCCGGTGGGTATTTTAAAAATAGTATATAAAAAATGAAATCTCGCGAGGTTCAGGACCTACCTTTCACGGTTTAACCCTTTCAACACGGAGCCATTTCGACATATGGGCGAAATTCGTCTGACCGTGCAGGCAATATTGGACCAAACGTCGGGCGACTTTAGGCGCTCTTAGTAGCCAAAGGGTCAAAGTGTGAAACGATTTCAGACCCCCAGTTCGAAGGAAAGTTTTATGAACTTTTCCCTGATTTTCAGGAGAGATGGTTACAGCCAGACCTACTACAGCAAACGAAAAAAGAAAAGTTTTATGAAAGCTTTAGGATGCCACTTTCACATCCCCTTAACGTTACTTAAATACGGCCCTAACTTATAACGTTAACATTTTACTCTTACGTCCCTTGGTACGAAGTCACTAGTAAAGAGCACATGATTGCGATATGAATGAATAAATTGGGGAGGTGGGATTAGAGCCCTGAAAAAGGTCAGGGACCGAATTAAGAAGTATCGGCCATTGAAGCGTTCGATATCTGCTCCTGTCACGCTCAGGTACGAAACGCGAATCTCTTTCGCGACAAAACGTCATTTACTGTTGTGCACCTCTTGGTTGTACAATGCCATCTTGGTATCGTCGCAGTAGTCGCGTGACTCCGGTTCCTATCGTTAGTTCCATTGCGATCGAAACGGTCGACTTGTCCGGAGAGTAAGACCAAGGGAAGAACTCGTAAAATTCGGGATTACCAGATTTCAACGATGACATCGTTCTACACGTTATCTTGGAGAAGTCGTAGGAGAAACGGTATGCCTTCGTTGTCTTGAAATTAATTACCGTAATTAAATAAGCGCAGAATATACCATTTATTGGGTCAATCTACCGACACTTTAGTTTTTTACTATTTTCCGAGGCATGACTCCGATTCCTATCGTTAAAGTCGTAGGAGAACCGGTATGCTTTCGTTGTCTTGAAATTAATTAGAGTAATTAAATAAGCGCAGAATTGACTATTTATTGGGTCAATCTACCGACACTTTAGTTTTTTACTATTTTCCGAGGCATGACTCCGATTCCTATCGTTAAAGTCGTAGGAGAACCGGTATGCCTTCGTTGTCTTGAAATTAATTACCGTAATTAAATAAGCGCAGAATATACCATTTATTGGGTTACTCTACCTGCACTTTAGTTTCTTACGATTTTCTGAGGCATTACTAGGCGTGCCAGAAATGTTCATGATTGAATGTCTAAATCCGAAGAAATTGACAAAAATTGTATTTAATTGGACATTTGCTAAAGTCGTCATTTTTTGGCTCCTCCGTTCTCGTGTACCATCTTAACCCATTTGCATAATTAGCGTATATATGCGCTCAGTTTTCCTGGTCACTATCACTGAAGCGCATATATGCGCTCAATTTTACTGGTCATTATCATCCAGGCTGAAATTTCGGTGATAAGGACCCTTTTTTCATACTTCCTTATGATGCAAATGGGTTAAGAAGCGTATGTTGGATTTAAATTTCTGTGAAAGTGGTTATCTCTTCGGTAGGCAAATTGTCGTGATAATTTAGATATTCGTCGATAAAAATCTCTGTTACTTGCTTTTACTAAATAAAAAACGATAATGTTTATGAAGTTACGTGATATATGTTCGTTCACCTGCTTTATCATTATTAATAATCAGAGTTCTGATGACATTTGAAATTGGGCTCTACAATCGGTTGTATTGAATTCTCGAGGACGTAACAAATTTCCTTATTTACCTATTATTTTATAGATTTCCATGTATAGTAATATGGAAAACTTAGTGTATGCATGAGTTACTTATCACGTGTACTTAGGAAACCAAGTAGGTCTGGCTAAAATCATCTCTCCTGAAAATCAGGGAAAAGTGTACCTCTGCTCGTTACAATACTCGAGGTTCGTTTCCTATTCGTTTGTGAGCAATTTCCAGACTGCTTCGAAACCTCCTGCCGGTAGTATAATTCAGGAAAAGAATACTACCGAAGTAACCTCTTGCTAATTCCGTCGATATTCTCGACCCATCCGCCGAATCACTAGACAGCCAGGCCAACCAAGATTGCTTTCAATAAATATACTCGTCCTGGAATATTTTCCGCAAAACAACTTCTGGAAAAACCAACCCAAGTTTACGGGGGGTGACTATGTTAAGAACATGGCAGTATTTGATAACTGCCTTATCACCTCGAAACTCCACCTTCAACTCATGAGATTCGTCCAAATAAATTCCATCCATGATAATATCCCATCATCCCGAAACCAAATCCGTGATAATTATTAATTCCGATAGCAAATCTTCCTACTGATCCTCGCATGGAATATTTTCCGAAAATTAAGAACATGGCAATATTTGGTAACTGCCTTATCACCTCGAAACTCCATCTTCAACTCATGAGATTCGTCCAAATAAATTCCATCCATGATAATATCCCATCATCCCAAAACCAAGTCCGTGACAATTATTAATTTCGATAGCAAATCTTCCTCCTGATCCTCGCATGGAATATTTTCCGCAAATTAAGAACATGGCAATATTTGGTAACTGCCTTATCACCTCGAAACTCCACCTTCAACCCACGCGATTCGTCCAAATAAATTCCATCCATGATAATATCCCATCATCCCGAAACCAAATCCGTGATAATTATTAATTCCGATAGCAAATCTTCCTCCTGATCCACGCATGGAATATTTTCCGGAAATTAAGAACATGGCAATATTTGGTAACTGCCTTATCACCTCGAAACTCCATCTTCAACTCATGAGATTCGTCTAAATAAATTCCATCCATGATAATATCCCATCATCCCAAAACCAAGTCTGTGACAATTATTAATTCCGATAGCAAATCTTCCTCCTGATCCTCGCATGGAATATTTTCCGGAAATTAAGAACATGGCAATATTTGGTAACTGCCTCATCGCCTCGAAACTCCATCTTCGACTCACGAGATTCGTCCAAATAAATTCCATCCATGATAATATCCCATCATCCCAAAACCAAGTCCGTGACAATTATTAATTCCGATAGCAAATCTTCCTACCGATCCTCGCATAATCCGAAGAAGACTCGGATGTCCTCGTGCAAACATCGAAATGCCATGGCAAACAAATCAGCCAGAAATCCGCGGCTTCGCCCTTTCTTGCATTATGCCCTCGAGGCTAGATCCTCTAAGAAGCTCAGCCTCCTCTGCACGTCCCGAATCTCTAATCTCCCGGGTCTTGTCGATTCCAGGTCGCCTGGGGCCGTTCTCAGGGATCTATCTAGGAGAAGGCGCCTCCACGGAATGCCTTTGCACGATTCGGACGAGACCTGGGACTCCTGGTGGTACCTCGACGCGCTCATCTGCTGGTCTGCTTGAAGGGCGGATCGATTCCTGCCCGGACCTTCCCCAAGGAGGGAATTGTTGCTGTCCTAAGGTGCGCGCCTCCTGGTTCCGGGACCGGGGAATACATCGCATCCCTGCCCTTCTTCGGGGCTGTTGGACTCCTCGGAGTGGTCGGACTTGCCGGGTCTGCTGGATCAGTCGATCGGGACGGATCTGTCGAGTTTGCCGATTCGGCGAGATCTGCCGGGTTTGTCGGCGCCCTCGAGTGGACGGTTTACAGCGACTAGGCCTGACCGGTGAGGCCAAACGGAGTCGGCATGATCCGTGGAGGAGACAAGGGCGAGCCGGGGACATTCTCCGGGGAGGCATGGAAGCCGAGGCTGGTCGAGGACACGCGGCGCATCACCAGCTCGCCCTACCAGCCTCGGAGATACCTGGACTCGATGTCGTGAGAGCCTTGCACCAGGTAATTCGTCTATCTGGAAATGATATCGCGAAGGTCTTGCACCAGGAAATTCGTCTATCGGGGAATGATGTCGCGAAGGTCTTGCACCAGGTAATTCGTCTATCTGGGAACGATGTCGCGAAGGTCTTGCACCAGGTAATTCGTCTATCCGGAAACCACGTCGCGAAGGTCTTGCACCAGGTAATTTGTCTATCCGTAAACGACATGCACTAAGTAATTCGTCTATCTGGGAATGATGTTACGAAAATCTTGCACCAGGTAATTCGTCTATCCGTAAACGATGTTGCGAAGGTCTTGCACCAGGTAATTCGTATATCCGGAAACGATGTTGCGAAGGTCTTGCACCAGGTAATTCGTCTATCTCGGAACGATGTCGCGAAGGTCTTGCACCAGGAAATTCGTCTATCTGGGAATGATGTCGCGAAGGTCTTGTACCAGGAAATTCGTCTATATGGGAACGATGTCGTGAAGGTCATGCACCAGGTAATTTGTATATCAGGAAACCACGTCGCGAAGGTCTTGCACCAGGTATTTCGTATATCTGGAAACGATGTCGCGAAGGTCTTACACCAGGTATTTCGTATATCTGGAAACGATGTTGCGAAGGTCTTGCACCAGGTAATTTGTCTATCCGGAAACGATGTCGCGAAGGTCTTGCACCAGGAATTTGTCTATCCGTAAACGATGTCGCGAAGGTCTTGCACCAGGTAATTCGTCTATCCGTAAACGATGTGCACCAGGTAATTCGTCTATCTGGAAACGATGTCGCGAAGGTCTTGCACCAGGAATTTGTCTATCCGTAAACGATGTCGCGAAGGTCTTGCACCAGGTAATTCGTCTATCCGTAAACGATGTGCACCAGGTAATTCGTCTATCTGGAAACGATGTCGCGAAGGTCTTGCACCAGGTGTTCCGGACCCCGTTCCCGGTGGGCCGGCGGGTACCAAGGTGTCTTAGAACCCTGAAATCCATCAAGCCAAATGATGGATTGGTTTGCGGTTCACGGAACGGCAGGGTAGCGTCCTTACAATGCGCTTAACATGAGATGGAGTACATGGGGCATTTGCCCGCAGTACTATAGAAGACACGTTTCCGCTGCTCGAATTCATCGGATGGGTAGTTCACTTCCCTTAAGTAAAGTGGAACAGATTGGTTTGGATGTTACGGAACATCGACGCCTGTTCGGTGCATTTAGCGTAGGTTAATGTCTTGTAGATACTGCTGGTACATGGGCACTGTACCCTCGAGTAACCAAGAACACATTGTGGTAACAAAGTAACGCACGAAAAAATTTCGGAAAGGAAATCATATAGAAAGCACAAAATGTTGGTATAAAAATTTTTATTCTTTCGTGTAAGCGCCGCGATAACCACATACACCTTCCTACGTGTCTAGATTAATTGAATGCCTACGTCGACGACATAAATCGCTTAAGTGATCGATTTGACCAAAAGTAAGAATTCCACTGGAAAACATGTACGAGGTAGAAAAAATCTGGGACTAGCTCTGAAACGACATTTCCCGAAATATCGTTGCCACGCCTCGGGAAGCATTTCCTGCAGATTCACAATTTATGAGTTAACATTTTCTCACCGAGAGTCAGAAGTGTCCCTCATTACCCCCAATTACTCTCGAAGCCTCCACCTCCCGCGATGTACGCACGTCGTTAGCGCCTTTATCGCGCCGACCGTTCCAGACTTCAATGCAAAAAGTACTTTAAATCCCGTCACGTACAAAGTCGCACTTCGCGTGGGAGGTGGAGGTAGAGAAGGTAATTCTCCGCGTTGGACGAGTCCCTCTTTTTTTCTCTCTTCTTTTTTTCCCCACCTTTTTTCTTCGGACAACGAGATCGTTTCCTTGGCTTGTCAACAGACCGTCGTCTCGCTGCGCTCCGCCCTGGACTCATCCCGAGAGGAGCTCCGACGACTCAAGGAATCCATCGGCGAGTTTTCCGGCGAAGCCTACGCGGATACCGTCGAACGCCTTGCCCTGGAGAACCACGTCCTGCGCCGCAGGATCCTCAGCAAGGGCAACGGGTTTCTCAGCGATGCTGCCACCAGTCCACCTCCTCTTCAGCTCCCCGCTTCAGTAGCCAAAGAAGAGTGAGTCTAATTGGAGATGATGGTACATTCTGGTTTTATGCTCCTTTTTCTAAGTGATCCGATGAAAATACTGTAGTGGCGAAATCATTTTTATAAGCCCGCGCCTGATGAGGAACTACGGTGGCGCCCCCACGGAACAACGAGAGAAGGACTCTGTCACGCGATCCGCGCCGATTCGGATTGTAACTGTGATTTATAATAGATCATCTTGTATTTTTGTCCTGAGAGTATAATACTCATTTCCAGGACATGTGATATGCACAATTGGTACTTTTCATTAGGATGGAATTAACGAAAAACGTCCGTAATATGTAGATATGTTGGTCCTTAAGGGGGTGTTGAAGTGACGTCAAGGAGGTCCTGTATATGAAACTTTTCTCCTAAGTGTACCGAATCGTTTCAAACTTTACAATGTTAATATAGAGGCTGGAAGGAAGGTCCTGAAACCTATAAAATTTAAATTTCTTTTTTTTTAATTTGTTTATTGATATTTTCGCTGTCACGCGATCCGCGCCGATTCGGATTGTAACTGTGATTTACAATAGATCATCTTGTATTTTTGCCCTGAGACTATAATACTCATTTCCGGGACATGTGATATGCGCAATTGATACTTTTCATTAGAACGGAATGAACGAAAAATGTCTGTAATATGTAGATATGTTGGTCCTTAAGGGGATGTAGAAATGACGTCAAGGAGGTCCTGTTTATGAAGCTTTTCTCCTAAGTGTACCGAATCGTTTCAAACTTTCCAATATTAATATAGAGGCTGGAAGGAAGGTTCTGAAACCCATAAAATTTTAATTTTTTTTTTTACATTAGTTTATTGATATTTTCGCTGTCACGCAATCTACGCCGATTCGGATTGTAACTGTGATTTATGATAGATCATCCTGTGTTATTGCCCTGAGACTACAATACTTATTTCCGGGACATGTGATATGCGCAATTGGAATTTTTCATTAAGACGGAATGAACGAAAAATGTCCGTAATATGTTCCTTTTTAAATATTCTCTAGATTGAATAATTCCTAGAACATAAATTTGCAGAATAAGGTGGAGCACTCCCATGTTAATTATTTATATTCTATTCTGCCCCAACACCCGTAAGTGGTTCCGTGATGAATCGAACAGACAGCTAGAGCCTAATTTTTCTAGTTTCTCTTTAGAAAAAATAGAATATAAAATCCAGTTTAATTCGATCGTTCACTCTTTTGTGGTATTGTTGGGTAAGTTGTAGATTTTCGTAGTATATTGTCGAGAGCATCCGGTTGGCCTGATCTCTGCCAATTACCCCAGGAAAGAGACGCAATTAAAAGAACGCTGCGTTTTGCGGGTACATCTATTAATAACCGCGTAGTTCCGCAGCCTCCAGCTGACTCACAATCAGTCCGGTCTGCTCCGTAGGTCGAGCAGTCTGTCACAGCCAGTTCTACCAACGATCATTATGGAGGGGAAAAAAGACAAAGTCGATTCCACCATGGACGAAACTGACGACGGAACGGCTGTAACATCGATATCGGCGATCTCGAGGAGGCCGTCAACGACAGATCCACGAGGGACTTCTCCTGGAGGATCATCAGGTTCCCCGAAGACATCCGTAAAAAGCGGCTCCTCTGTCCCGAAGACCTCTGGTCAACGGACACAGGACGAGGGGACTACCAAACAGCCGAGCGGTCCTATCTCCTCCGATTCTGGAGCTGCAGGAACTGGATCAGCCGGTTCAATCGGTCCCACGAGTTCCAACAATAAGGACTCCCAGAGCACGGAAGCCATTAACGTCGATCTCCTCGAAGTCCCGGAAAAGGACGCGGAAGACGTCAGTCTGAAGTCTGTCTCCGATGGAGACAACTCCGTCTTCAGCGACAACCCCGAGAACCAGGCAGAAGTTAAGCCTCCGGAGTCCGAGAACGAGTCGGAGGAGCTCGACGACATCGAGCTCATCTTCACGACGGAGGAGACCAGGGATGTTGGCCTTCAAGAGGACCTGGTGTCCATCATGGAGAACGAGACCTGGCAGCAGTCCGGGCAGCCGGTCTTGCTGAAGTACACAAAGTCCCAGGATGGCGAGGTCCTCGTCTGCAACGGGGACAAAACTGGCTTCGTCGAGGAAGCGGCATCCTCCCAGGGCTCCAGCATCGACAGGGAAGAGAGCGTTGATAGGTTCGACGAAGGATCCACCACCAGGCTCAACAAACTATGGTCTCAGTGCTCGGTTTTGGTCGAGACGGACATCAGCAAGTGCGGAGTCGTCGAGGAGCCTGATCCTACAGCTAGGCATGCAGTCAGGAGGAATACCCTCGCTGCCCCACCTACAGCTTACAGGTGAGTCTATGACGTCTATAACCATACATCCCATTAATGCGCCTTCCTGTTACAGTCCATTGGTACTTTTCCCAATCTCGGCCACTCTTGACAGTCAATCACCCCAAGGGTGGTAACAATATCCGTTCTGCATGATCTTGACAACTATTAGCCACTCTTGACAGTCAATAACCCCAAGGGTGGTAACGTTCTGCATGATCTTGACAACTATTAGCCACTCTTGACAGTCAATAACCCCAAGGGTGGTAACAATATCGGTTCTGCATGATCTTGACAACTATTAGCCACTCTTGACAGTCAATAACCCCAAGGGTGGTAACAATATCCGTTCTGCATGATCTTGACAACTATTAGCCAATCTTCAAACCTAGACTTCTATAACCATACATCCCATTAATACGCCTTCCTGTTCCAGTCTATTGGTACTTTTCCCAATCCCAGCCACTCTTGACAGTCAATAACCTCAAGGGTGGTAACAATATCCGTTCTGCATGATCTTGACAACTATTAGCCAATCTTCAAACCTAGATTTCTACCCCTTCGGTTCACGCGTCAACCTCGTTACTATTATTCGCAGCTTCTCTCCCATGTTAGATCTAAAACCATTAATGTTCTCCGTGTCTCCTCTTGTTCCAGGCCGATTATTCATCGTGAAGCTTTGGCTGCTGGTCGCAGAAAAAGCACAACCCCGTTGCGTCCAGTGATGGATCGTAGTAGTGGAGCTAGACGCGAATCTGGGGCGCAGACCGACATCTCCGCTCTTCCTGCCCACTGGAGGTCCGAAAGTTACCTGGCCCACAAGGTGGCTCACACCTTTACGACGTTACCCAGTAAATTCGCGCTTCCTGCCGGGGTACCAGGGAGGCTCAGGTTGTCCGACAAGACCCGCGAGGCCAGGAGAGTCATGCTCTCGGACATCAGCTTCACCAGCATGGTCCCGGAGCTCTCCAGGAGTGCCGATCACCTATGCCAGGATCCGCACGTCCAGGTGAGCTTAACCGCTCTTCACCTGCCCCTGCTTGCACTTTTGACGCCTTCCCAAGTCGCTGCGGGTTACTTTTAATGAGGTCGTTGCACGACTTCCGGATGAAATGAAGGGTTGCCCGCGAAAGCGCCGCAAGTGCGAGATACCCAACGCACGGGAAATGCGATGTAGCGTGACGAATCCCGGGGCGATAACACGCAATGGTACAATTTCTCTAACGTGACGTTAGATTAGGGACTATACTTGCAATTACGTAGTGATTAAAGTTAGCGGTGAATTTAATACTTGCGGTTTTCATGTAGGGATTTAATTGCGGTTTACCCGCCGCTGGAAATGTCAGAACGGAAGTCAGTAGAATCTCTTTAGCCATGTCGGTACTCCTTATGTTGGATTCATTGATTGGAATTTTTTTGAATGCTTGTTACGTGTGGGAATTCAATTACGTCTGCTTATACTGGGCGAAAGGAATTCCATGATTTCTAATGACATTTAAAATGTGGAATTGGGCTCGACAGAGTTAGAGGGAGTTTCGTTAAATAATTGTAAGGTTTAAAAATTCAAAATGGGATATTATTCTCAATTTAATACAGTATAAACGGTATAAACCGTATTAATACAGTATAAAGAGTAAATAATATAATATAAACGGTGCCGTTTCTTTGGAAAAGTTAAATTAACATTCAATACAACTCCATCGACTGCGGTGATATCCTTGGAGCTTTTATTGGAATCGTTGATTGCGGCTCTTTCATCGGCATCGTGCAGCACGAATGGTCGAGGGACTCCGCATTGTACCTTGCGGAATAGGTTATGTCAGCAGAAAGTTACTGCTACGAGACGAAACTAAACGAATTGCAAGTTTGGCGAGTCGCAAGGTCGAGGGCATGCTACGGCATGATATACAAGATACCGAAGCGTTTGAAGCATCCACTATGATGTACACTTGCGTAGTACAGTTAAGGTGAAGTGAAACCCCCCTCAAATCACTCAATTCGAGTACAACACTTTTTTTAAGGGTTTGGACCAAACTGTCCGAAACTTTGACACATCGTGATCATCTAAGAATTGTCCTGACATATTGAAAATTACTACAAAATACCGAAGCGTTCGGAACATCCACTATGATGTACACTTGCGTAGTACAGTTAAGGTGAAGTGAAACCCCCCTCAAATCCCTCGATTCGAGTACAACACATTTTTTAAGGGAATTGGGTCAACCTATCCGAAACTTTGACACATCGTGATCATCTAAGAATTGTCCTGACACGTTGAAAATTTGGATTTTTAGCAAAAAATCTTTTAGCCTAGCCCAGACCAGAACCAAAATGGCGGCGGGCTCACGTATTTCGATCAATATACAATTATCGAAGGCTCTGATATGAGAAACGAAAGCATCATTAGCGTATATATACGCTCAGTTTTCCTGGTCACTATCACCGGAGCGTATATGTGCCCATACTTATGAAAGTGGTCCAAGTCATATATTTTTTGTTTCGAAATTACATTGAATTAATTTAGTTTGAAATAATGTGGCGTGAAATAACTGATAAACTCATTTTTTTTTTTCAATTTTGACTTAGACCACTTTCATAATTATGGGCACATATATGCGCTCAATTTTGCTGGTCGCTATCATTCAGCCTGAAATTTCGGTGATAAGGACCCTTTTTTCATACTTCCTTATCATGCAAATGGGTTAAGACCCACTGCATCGCCGCCATCTGTAGATAGCTCGGCTTTTGACATTTCAGGCCTGCATCAACTCTCGCGGATGCGGTCTCCGGACTCCTGAGGTCCATCGTCGAGAGTCCCTGGGGTCTCCTGCGGGATATTGGCCACGCTGCAACCCCGGAGCTGGACTTCCCAGCCCCTGCGATTGCAGACTCTCCACCGACTTGTACACCTCACGGTACCGAGGGTCCCTGAGTTCCATCCCTTCACCTGGACTGGAGATCGTAAGCGGTCCCCCCAGAAGACATTCCTGGCGGGCAACTGCGGCATCCTTCGATACCTGGAGGGTTCCTGTGGCTACCTCCACCCCGAGACCAACCTGGTCCTCCATGCCATCCTCGCCGACACACGTCCACCCTCCGCCGGCCTGCTCGAGGACCTCGAAGACCATCCCCAAGAGGACGCGATCAAAGGTCACGTTCCAGGGTAAATATTCATCAGCTCCTGGAGATGAACTTCAACGTGAATCCTGGTTTAAGGGGATTTGGGAGAGGTTACTCTCGGGAGAAATCCTCCAATTCGTTGTATTTGGTTGTCTCATAAGTTCCTTCCACATCGTGTATTCATGTCCTATGAAAAAGTGGAAGAAACTTATGGGACAACCTAATATCATCGAGTCGGCGCTTCCTTGAAGTTCGAAAAGCTCCCTGCTCGGTGCATCGCGATTCAAACGATTTCTGCACTTTTGGGATGATATATTGTAGGAATATTGAAATATATATGAAGAGTGTATTGTAAACGGGAATTATTGAGCAGGGAAGACGGGACTTGAAGTAATGGGAGGAAGAATTAATGAGCGATTAAAGAAAATGTCATAGCAGTATTACCTATCCTAATTTTTTGTTATTGCCATTTGTATCGGTACTTGTTCCGATACGTCGGTATCTCTTACGTCGTCTTAAATGACGCTTCTGTGCGTGAGGTTAATGTTTTCCATGCAACGTACAATTTATGATACGCGTATTTTTAGTTCATTGTTGGTGATATCGATCTCCTTTTAGCCTTAGCGTGCGTGTTGGGCATTGCCCATGAAATCCATTATAAGGCTACGTACATACTTTTTGCTATTACATTATAATGGTTTCTCCGACCTGATAATTTTTACTCCGAAGAAGTGAAATGTTACTTAATAACTTTTTCGCTGAAGTTCATTTCGTAAAAGTTCAATTTTTTTTTTTTCTCACCCACACTTAAGTTGAATGGGTGAATTAATGCTCGAGAGAAGATAATTATTTATAGGATTGTGGTGCACTTAACAAGAGTTTTTAATTAAGCCCCTAGTTACCCTGATATGGCATTTTCTTGATAACGTTTATACGCTTTAAAAACTTATGTTTACATATACTCATGACCCATGTCGAGCAGATATGATTAATTTAAATATTGTCTAAAATCTTTTTATACGGTCAACTTTATTTCCCCCCGTTTAAATGTCACCTAGATTTTATCCATTACTCTACTTTGATTTGTTTTACTTTTTTAGAGTGTCCCATGACTCGGGGAAGCTTGCCTAATCTGCGGTCCGATTTGGTCACCGGGGACAATAGTGGCGACTCGACCGAATCGTTGATCGACGAAGCCGAGGATTACTTAAGAAGAAGCATTGATTCTATGCTGACCATTTCCACTGCGGATTATTGGACCCGACAGTCAGCCAGGCGGAGAAGGACGCGACGACATTCTGAACCCGATCTCTTCCGGGATTGGAATCCTCCTCAAGATGCCAGGCCATATCTGCCAAAGGTATGTTCTAGGATTAATCTATCATAAGTCTTAGAGGTCATAAATCTACCATGATCATGAATCTTATAGAGCATAAAACAGTCTGCGACACGGTATCCACGCATTATCATCCTTCGCACTATCTATTTGAAGAACATAAGGAGCGGCCTCTCTGAACATCAAGCAATTGTTAGTATTTCATAAAGATAATCGGTTGTATAAGTTAATTATGAGTTATTTCTTGGGCAAAATTAACTGGTGTCTGGTTTTTAGCGGCTTAATGTCAAGCTTCTCATCGATTATTATAAATTAAACGCTAGGGGGAACCTGACAAATACAATTGACTTGGATACATGTACTTAAATACTTCTTTACACTTTTTCTTCTTTTTCATGTCGTATTTTATTGTGGGAATTACGTATTCAGATCTGTCTGAAAATCATAAGGAACGGCCCCTCTGAACATCAAGCAATTGTTAGTATTTCATAAAGACAATCGGTTGTATAAGTTATTTATGAGTTATTTCTTGGACAAAATTAACTGGCGTCTGGTTTTTAGCGGCTTAATGTCAAGCTTCTCATCGATTATCATAAATTAAACGCTAGGGGGAACCTGACGAATACAATTGACTTGGATACATGTACTTAAATACTTCTTTACGCTTTTTCTTCTTTTTCATGTCGTATTTTATCGTGGGAATTACGTATTCAGCGGTCTGTTTTCGCTTTGATGGAAGATTATGAGATTCGTGTCGCTTCGTGGCGGGTGAATATGAGAAATTGTTAATCTTTGGGATATTTGATTGTTGCCAGATACCACGCGATCTCAAACTGGACCATCTCGTGAAGATTATTTCTCCCGAGGGCCGAGTTCTTCAGGGTAGAGTGAGATATGTCGGCGCGGTTCCAGGAAGAGAAGAGGCTCACGTTGGCGTGGAACTTCCAAACGAGAATGGGTCCTCCGACGGCACCTTTCATGGAAGAAGGTTCTTCGACTGGTAAGTCGACTTTGGTCACACAATGTACTCCTGCCAAGCAACCTGAATTTCGTGCCGAACGAGCTTTTTCCCTTTTTCCGAAACTAATTGCGGCTCGTCCTTCCAGTTTTTCGAACCAATAATTTCCCACAGCTCCCAGATTTCTCGTTGCTTCCTGCCATTGTCGTCGTGATTACAAAATGCTATAGAATCGTTCAATGTGCAGAACATGGTCTGTAGAAATTCTTCTTCTTATGCGACCTCAGCGCCATGGAGAGGAACTAAAAGGAAATGATGCGTTACATCGTTCCTTTCCTAACATCTGCGAAAGAAACAAAATATCATTCATATTCCTGCTACGAAAAACATTTTCAAGTTTCCATTGTTTTCTTTTTATTTATTTTCCTATAAAGTAGCTCACGATATACTTTTTATGCGACCTCAGCGCCATGGAGAGGAACTAAAAGGAAATGATGCGTTAACAAAATGGACTCCAATTTGCGTAACAATGACAGGAATTCCAGGTGGTAAGATCATATATATGAAATAATATAAATTATGAGAATGTAACACTTGATAACCCTATTACGTTAAAATGGACTCCAATTTGCGTAACAATGACAGGAATTTCAGGCGATAAGGGTTAATAAATCTACGACAGTCAACTTCGGTTACGATAGCATGCTCGAGGAAACTCGGGCAATTTCTGGAATTGTCGCACGCCTCGTGGGAACTCTTGGGGTCTCTTTGCATTGAGGATTGTTCGGTTTCGCATCAGTCGCGTGACAAGACGCCCTTGAAAGTTCGTTCATTCCCCAGGTCTCGAAGGCAAGGGTGCTCCATCGTAATTGGATCCCCCTGTTATTGCATCCGTAACCTGATGTCAAGGGGAGGTTCTTTCTCGCTTTAAGGCGGTCGTATCGTGTGATAGGTCCAAAAAATTGAAAAATATTTTATTTCATAATTTAATATGCGTTATCGTTATTCAGTTGATATCATGATTTCATTCATTGATACGTACCTTTAATTTGCTTTTAAATTCTTGGTAGTGCTTGTCGCAGTCGTACCGTGTGAAGGTCCAAAAAATTGAAAAATACTTTATTTCATAATTTAATATGCGTTACCATTATTCAGTTGATATCATAATTTCATTCATTGATATGTACCTTTAATTTGCTTTTAAATTCTTGGTAGTACTTGTCGCGGTCGTACCGTGTGAAGGTCCAAAAAATTGAAAAATACTTTATTTCATAATTTAATATGCGTTATCGTTATTCAGTTGATATCATGATTTCATTCATTGATACGTACCTTTAATTTTCTTTTAAATTCTTGGTAGTGCTCGTCGCGCTACGAAGTGTTCTTAAATGATAATTCATTTAAAAACATTCACAAGAATTCGAAGAGTCCCTCATCTCTGTTGTTGCTCGCAGAACCTGAAGTCAAGAAATGATTTTGCCCGTTTGTTGATACGCGGTGGAAATGTCATTTTAAAAAGAACTCGGCACTGCAGAATAAAACATGTGCATTATTTCAAAGATTTTTAGATGTTTGTTATTCCACGTATGTGCATAAATTTCAAATTCAAAACGGAGTTTGTCGCGTGACGAAGCGCTCTCGAACGTTTGTTTATTCCCCGAGGACTGGAAAGTACAGAGTGCTTTATAAATATTGGATCTTTGGTATTAAAAAAACTCGGTAGAGTTTCGCACCAAGTATATATGTAGAGGCGCCAAACTTGTTAGAAAAATTAAGAAAAAAAGTGAAAAAAATAAAGTCGTCACACGGTACGACTGCTTCAGAACGTATCCTGGAAAATTCATGTTAACGTCACAAAATCTATAAATCGTCATTTATTCATAGAGATACGTTGAAGACATTTGCAAAGTAAAATTGCAAATCGTAGCGAATGATAATACGTAGTTAACTGAAATTAACTTCTAATTTACGCAGATTTGGTAACGTGCGTAGTTTCAATACGGCACAGGAGTTACTTGAGCAGGCAAGACAACTCGTAAAAAACGCGCGAGATATCTTCCATGATGTATTTAATGACTGTAATCATGGCCAGATGTGACCAACGTATTTATCACATGCCTGTTAGATAGCGGTGGGCGTTTAATTGGATAAGTATCTCAACTTTAAAGCGTTCCATGTTCCAGCGATTTTCAAGGCGATTCGAAATTGACGACAAATCATTCGCAATAGCACCATTATTGTAGCTGAATTACAGCTAACTATTCAGGTTTTTATTAATGAAAGAAAAACTGCGGAAAGGGGAATCACCGGTACCGTGATTACCGCCTTTAGATTACCCTGCTAATTCGATTGTAATTTAAAATCTTGTTCCATTTTGATATTTAATGTGATGTAAAAGTGGCATCAGAGAAGTTTCGTTTCTGAAACTTTTCTTTGAATTGGGTGTATCGAATCTTTTGAAACTTTGCAATGATTGCAAATTGCAATTGAATATGGAGGCTGTAAGGAAGGTCCTGAAACCCATGAAATTTAATTTTTAATAAACAAAAATTGTTTAAATACTCATGAACAAATTTCATGGGTGTCAGGACCTTCTTTATTATCTCCATATTCACGTTTTAAAGAATTAAACGATTTGAGAAACCCAGTTCATAAAAAAGTTTTATAAACGATTGAGCTTTCGAATGCCACTTTCACATCCCCTTAAGCAAAGACCCATAGAAAGATCGATATGATGTCTGATATTCGCGGTGTAAGGATTCCGTTTCACGATTAACTTCCGTTTGACAAATTTAATTTCTAATATTTGCGTGCCCCTTTAATTTTCAGTATGCCAGACCGAGCCGTCTTCGTCCCCTTCAAGAAGGTAGTCCTTGCATGGTGCACCACCTGACCCGAAACTGCGGCAGTATCAGCGACTTCCTCATCGTTCACGACACCTAGGATCCTGCTCTCTCAATACACGATGTAAGAGAGTAAAATAAGCCAGATGCAGATTTACAAGCAAGTTGTATAGAGACACGAGGGACTTCCGAAAACCGCCAACCCCGCAATGGTTGGTTCTGGGAGACGGCGAAGTCTGAGGTTATCTCTTCAAAGGGAATGGCTCGTGGAAGAGTAGCATAAACCATTCCCATAATTGCGATCGAAGGTGCAAAAGCCGCGATCCAACGTTCAAAGGTAGAAAGAATCGATATCTAATAATTATGCCGAAGGATCCTACGAACCCTGGCCCAACTATCGGGACCAAGGGTTCGAACAGTCCTAATACAGTCATCGAGATTATCCAAGGACAATAAGGATCTAAGGACTATCCAGCCATTGCAATCAAGGATTCGGAAGATCCTCTACCATCGTGACGGTGCAACAGACCCTTGCTCGGCGTCATAATCCAGGATCCATAAGGTCTTTTGTTCGCATCATCGTCAAGGATCACCCGGGCACCATACAAGCTGTTGGTGATCCCAAATCAACTCGGCGACCTTGATTGTAGAGTCTATCGTGCAAGAGGAGGATTCCCGGTTCTGGGATCCTCTGGCCAAGGACCTAAAAACGAGGAGCGGGGTCCTTTACGGTTTGTCCTGGAGGTTGCGGCTCCACACTCTGGTCTCGACCCAACCGGTGATGTACCTTCGGCTGATATAATCAAAAACGTCGGTATGTATAGTAGTTTAAGATGCTAAAGGCTATGAAAAGGACACGTCGCCTGTGGCGGGCGAAGTGTGCATTTTACTGAAGTTTACGAACTTCAACGTGCGAGGACGAGAACCTGACCTGCTCTTGTAAGCCGGGGAGACTTCGGTGCATTGAGATGCATCTCGGGGTGCACGTATGTATGGACCCTGTTTCCTCTTTCAAAAGGGGTTCACGTGTCTTCTAAGCCAGGAGATAGCATGGAGTAGGGCTCTTCGAGGAGTCTCGAGGCACCGTGTCGTAATACAAGGGAATCTAGGGAACGAAGCATCGTAACAACAGGCTATAAAACAGTCCTATATCATTCAAAAGTGTACCATTTATTCCGTGTAGATGGATGTGTCCGTGTAAGCTCGTCGGGGTGTTACGAATCATCCATAAGGTACGACGAATTTCTCTTGGAAAAGCCGAACGCGCCATTGAGGGTTCAGCTTCCAAAACGGGGCTGTTGGAAAATGTGAATTGGAATTTCATGAAAACCGCGATTGGAGGGGGTTTTAATTTGAAATTAATCATTTCGTCTTATACTTGGTGATGGCCTTAGAATCTATGTTGTTCCCTTTATGGAAGTTAAGAACAAGGGGATAATTGAAAACGGTGATAAACTTGATAAACCTGTACTTTTTATTGTGTTGCATTCGACGATACAACCTTCGAATTGGTGTGTTCATTTGAACAAAAGTAGCTTATTTTATTGTCACGAAAGCTTTGTTTATTTGTTTTATTTATAGACCCGCCTATGAAGGTGGAGCGGAATAATTTATCGGAATTTTTTAAACCGTAGTAATCGATATGAAATTATAATTTTTCCAATTCATTCCTATGGTGAAGAAACAGATATAGAGTCGATAGAGAGAATCGAAATGGACTGTAAAGCCTTTGACTAAACATTTCATGTTCCATATACATAATTAATGTACACGTTAATGTACATCTGTGTGAACATCTCCACACGACACCTATACGAGAGTCTACTTTCCTGATATTTTATTTTTCTTTTTTACAACAACGTTTGTAGAAAACATTTGAAAAATTCACTCGCGCTTTAGAAGCAAATCTCTCTTCGAAATTTCCACAAATCTCGATATTTACATCTGTAACTTTCGTCTAAACTCTGTAAGCTTAGTTGAATCGAGTTTACTTATTAACTTTACATTATTATAAGATAGTTTACTGCTTGCAGTTGATCACAAACCACTATTTTCGGTTTCAAAACTTGTCTTGAATTTCTTTTTGAATTTATAGTGGGCTCAGGTATTATTATTGTGACGAGCCTGTTCATTTTATTTAAACGAATCTCCTTATTGACTTTACCTACATTACATGGATTTTTTTTCCATTATCGCTAACAAATCGATAAGAATGCCTGGAGAATTTATGACAGGTGCATCGGTGCACGGAGATCGTTATGTATGTACAATCGGGTACCTGTATCAATGACAATTTATTATTTTAACTATTAATGACTTTTTCAAAGTGCTATATGTACAAAGAGCAGAGTTAGGTTTATATACATGATACGAGACATTTTGCGATTGCACTGAGAAGAGGATAATTAATTAATATTTCAAGATATGTATGTGTTTACGAGGAGATAAATATTGATTATATTTTGTAAACATTTAACGACGAAAATTTACATAAGTGCATCGGTGAAATTCTATGGAGGATAAAGTTGAAAGATTTATGCGTTATTGTCACATAAAGGTGGAAAGGAACAAAATATTTGTGAACTGCGAATTGTTATTTTTTTTATTATTTTTAATCCGTTCAACTGAGTCGTTTAATGTTATCCTGAATAAAATCAGGAGAATGAACCTATTTTTATAGATAACACTTGTTTCATCGATGTCAATGGATACTATTAAAAAGTATTATTTATTTTGACATTTTTATCTACCATATTTGAATACGTAGTTGCTAATATTAATTAAATATCCTTTCCTGAATGTACGATTAGCACAACAGTGAGAGATCGATTTGCTTTTTTTATATAACAAAAAAAGGCTAATCTAAAACGATTTATCATCTTTGTACTAATAATATTTGATTTACCACCATAAGTTGGTATCTAGTAGTTTGACTAATATTTAATAATTGTGGCCCGATTACGGCTCGGTAATATTGGAACAGTATTTTTCTCTTAACTTGGATTTCTTTTAGATATAGCCATTGGCTATTGCCACTGTAGGTGAGATCAATCTCATTGTCTCGAACAATCTTCACAAACGGCTGTACCTGGACTATAATTCATTTAAATATTTACTAATTGTAAGTAAGTACGAGACCGTATCTCTATTTGAGGACTGGGTGTAGCCGTAAGTACGGCGGACTAAGATTAGTCCTTTAAGGAAAATCGAGGCTTGACAAAGTGTCATAATTCTTTCCATGACATTATTCTGTCACTGCAAATGTATTTTCATTTGTTTAAAAAGAATCTAGAGAAGATAAGTCTGTTAGATCTCGAGAAGTACCGAGAAATTTCGTTGGGAGACCCATAATACAAAAACGATTTGGTCAACTACTTTCCGCGAAACAGATCTGGGAAGATTCTGAAATTTTCATCTTAGGTGCATAAAGCGCATCTCTAATCGATTTACTGATGAACTCCTCTGACTTATTTACTTGGCGACACCCAATAATTAATATGCTCAGATGATGATGACCTGCGAAATAAAATTTGGATAAAAATCTCTTTATACGTCTAAAGAGAGAGAGTCGATTTCTCTTCGATTAAATTTGCCTGGTAGCCTTGGAAAATATTTATCTTTATAAATTATTGCACTTAATATTCAGCGAGACTTGGTCATTTCTTTATCGGAATTTTTTTGGGGGGAAAATCTATTTTAAGAAATAGGGCTACCCGTTCAATTTTCCATTATGGGAATTAAATTACGTCGGGTCAGGAGAAGAAACAAGATCTCTACCTGTGATCGATCAATTATCAGTATTAGGGTTAGCTGTACCGCAACTCGTGAGGAGCGGGCGAAATCTGAAGAAACTTTTACCTCCGTGCCGCTGAGAATCGACGCCACGTGAGAAATCGGCGAGGGCGTGAAACTATTTCCTGGATAAAAGTTGGCTCTCTCTTTTGCGTGTCTGCCGGTAAATTTAGTTACGCCAGCTGCGATAACAGTCGAACATGCCGTAGAATCTCCTTCTCGGGGGAAAGGGTGTGAGTTTCAACTTTTGAAAGCTTTTAAAACAATCGCCAGTTGCCTACTTGCCGCTCGCCGAGAACGTACACTGGGAGACATCAATGCCCTCCCATCCTGCACAGGCGATGTCGTACCTGCAGGGCAGGCATTCATGTCCACAATGTACACTGGGAGACATCAATGCCCTCCCATCCTGCACAGGCGATGTCGTTTCTGCAGGGGAGGCATTCATGTCCGCCATTGTACCTCGATTAGAGCCGAGGATTAAGGTGATATAAAAGTGTCATGTATATATATACCAAAACGTCAAAGTGTACATAAGACTAGACACCCTAAGGAAGAACGCGACGCTCATGAAATCTCATTTTTCAACCAAAAATTCTCTATGGATCCCATACAAGAACCAAGGGCACCTATATATTTTTTTTTGTGAAAAATGAAATTTCATGAGCATCGCGTTCTTCCTTATGGCCTCCGTAATCACGTGTTAAAGTCTTTAACGATTCGGTGCACCCAGGGAGGAGAAAAGTTTCATAAATATTTTGACGCTTTATATATATATATATATATATAATGATTCTTTCATATCACCTTAAGGTGAAGATTTTTGCCATACAAAGTTCAAATCCGTCGTACTTACAGGGCACCCAGTATATGTACATCACGGACAAGCAGTATGTTACTTAACTATAGTTTATACGCCATTTCAGTACAACAAGATCGATAATGTTTGCTTAATGCAATATATTACTTGGTTACTTCGTTCAGTACAATGCACTTATATTTTGTGATTGCGTTTGAGGTACTAGTACCAATTACTTTCGATAATGTAATATCGTAATATTATTTGATTCCCGCGCGTTCCCATCCTTCCGACGAAGGCACCTCGCAGTATTGTTTAACGTCTTATTATTAAAGCTACTATTTTATTATTAATAATGCGGAGAGGCTTAGCTTTATTTTATATACTTGCAGGGATAAGAATCTTTAAGGAAGAGTTAATAATTCGCTTGCGAAAATATTTATTCATCCATCGAAATGCTGTAAATACTCCTAGACTCGGTTACAGCTGTAACAGCTATAAATACAGAATCGGGTAAATCCAGTAATATATAATTATAATTAACCGTCCGAAAGTGACATGAACTATGAGGATCATTTACTAATTTCGGAGGTCGAGTTTATTCAAAATTGAATATTGCACTAATACATTTTTCATGTATCTTCTTTCTATTTATCTGGTGAAAGTAGAAAGTGAAGTACCATTACGGCCTATGATATGGCATACAATTCAATAGATGTAAAATTGTACATCTTCATGAAATAATCGTGGCTAGAAAAAAATCAGGTTCAGAACTTGTAATGGACGTGTTTAATTAAATTTCAATCTACTTTAGGACGGGAAATATAACAAGATAATCTTAATTTTTCCTATTTCTTGAGTGTCGTGGGAGAATTCTTGCCGTTCGTGTATTAATACGCGTATTAGTACTTGTTGATTGAATTTTGTTCTAAAAATGATATTTCACGAGCATCGCGTTCCTCAGGGCCTCCATAATCTCCTGATGAAGTTTCTAATGATTCGATGTACCCGATTTGGAGAAAAGTTTTATATATAATAATAATATTTGGACTTTCTGGTATGCATATATGACACTTTCATATCACCTTAAAGATTTTTAAAATGTTAACCGAGTCTAGTGGGTGGCGTCTTACTTTCTCCGGTGGATTTTTCCAAAATACGGCAATTATTGATGTTGCGAGAGGAAACGGGACGATTTTCTCTGAAGCCGTGCGATCTCCACGTGTGTAGGGTGTGTCAAAAAATTGGATCGGGACGAGTTTTTATTTGGGTCGATTTCTTACGCGGGACGTAGGGGCTTCGGTATAAAATGGGGTCGGTTTTTTACAGCGACCGGACCAAAGGTCCTCCTCCACTTTTTTGTCTCACCCTCCTGTAAGCTCTACAAATATTTTTACGTACTTGCCAATGGCATGTATGTATGAACTATTGCGGACATGAATGCCTCCCCTGCAGATGCGGCATCGCCTGTGCAGGATCGGAGGGCATTGATGTCTCCCAGCGTACCTACACTCGATATGCGTTCTTCCTCTACGGACGTCTATATCAGTTCTTTTTTCGTTCTCGCAAAATTCTTAGGTTTTGTGATACGATGAATGAGCTTTTCGGAAGCTTTGTAGACGTCTGTAGTATCGACTGTATTAATCCTGGTAAGAAACATTCGGAGATAGGTGGACACTGTAATGACTCTTTTAAATACACACGTTATCGGTGATTCGATTAAATAGGAATCGGTAAAGTATCTCTTATCTGCTCACAGGATAGTAATAAAGCATCTTTTCGACGAAGAGACATAATGCAGCTAACAATTTGTTTATATCATATTTTCCTCTGGAAATCGAGATTTTTTTCTAAAATCTTTTTGTAACGAGGTAAGAGATATTTTAGCCATCCTGTTAATTAAATCACCTGTAATCATGCTCCGATCTTACAGTCTCACGAATGAAACATTAAGAGGCGAATTGTATATCTCGTAAAGAAATCTATATTGTACCATATATACATACTAATATACATATTATATATATATAAACATATATTTAACATGCAAAAGCCTGGATAAGTATCGCAAGAAGCAACTGAGAGAAAGAGAAAGGAAAAGCGATAGAGAGAAACAGTGCGAAATGTGTGCGTCAGAGAGAAAGAACGAGAATAAAGCTATTCAATGTTAATCGCTGTAACTATTACCGTATAAGTGTTTCAATGTGACGTAGATAGCGAATTGTCGATAAACACGGTGGGTTCGATTGTGAGAAAAATTAGGCTGGGAGCGAAAGAAGCAAAGAAAATGTCTCGACTGACCCTCTTCGGTGTCCAATTGTTAGTTCTCCCGAAATTGCCTCGAATTCGAGTCACCGAAATTTCAAGAACGCGTTCGCTCTTTTGGCCTGATTGATTAATTTTAATTATTTTCGATTGTGAGAAAAATTTGTTCGGATCGATTGGGAGAAAAATTAGACCAGTAGCGAAAGAAGCGAAGAAAATATCTCGACTGCCCCTCTTTGATGTCCAAATGTTAGTTCTCCGAAAATTTCCTCGAAATTTGAAGAAGTTCGCTCTTTCGGCCTGATTAGTTCATTTTAATTATTTTTTATTGTAAGAAAAATTTCTTCGGCCCGATTGGGAGAAAAATTGGTTTGGCTCGGTTGGGAGAAAAATTAGTTCGGATCGATTGGGAGAAAAATTGGTTCGGCTCGATTGTGAGAAAAATTGGTTCCGCTTGATTATGAGAAAAATTGGTTTGGCTCGATTGGGAGAAAAATTCGGCAAGTAGCGAAAGAAGCGAAGAAAATATCTTGTCTGCCCCTCTTTGATGTCTAAATGTTAATTCTCCCAAAATTGCCTCGAATTCGAGTAACCGAAATTTGAAGAGCGCGTTCGCTCTTCAAATTCTGTCTGATTAGTTACTTTAAATTATTTTCGTAAAATCGCTCGATTCAATTAACCTCGAGGCGAAGATGGAGAAGTGTGCCGATTTAGGACACGCGATTTAGGATATGCGAATCGCGCGACAGTCGGTTATTCTTACAAATCTTCCAAAATCGGAAGTGGCCAAAGCTGTGCAGAGCCAAATAGGGAACTAGCCAAAAACGAGGATTCGGAAATGAACTCGAAGTTGATTTCTTGAAGTGCAGGCAGGGAATCTCAGTTTTCTAGTACTTGGGGTAAAACGCTACCTCGATTCGCAAAGGATACCATACCTCGTCTGCGATAAGGCTTACGATAAGGTTCATTTTCCTGATAATAAGCTACAGGATTGTGACCCTTATTACGAAGAGAGTAGAACGGGTTCTTAAACGACTCTTTTCAATTGATCTCGTCCTCTCGTGACATTCGATTCTCTTATCAAATTTTCACGCTGGATAAAGTTTCCCAGTAAAATAGGTAGATATCTATTTTAAAAAGTTTTTCTTAAACACGAGTCAGAATTGGAGACAGTTTTGAATTTCATGATATTTTTTCAAGTTATCATCGCACGGAATAAAGTACTTAAATGATAAGAAATAACGTGCAATGACGCCGTCATGGTCATTTGCGGATAAATGAACGATTTCATATTTTTATTAAATATGATTCAATTTTATTTGTGCATTCAAATTACATTTAAATAAATCAAGCGATACTACCATGGGTTGTCAATTATACGATTTCATTTACATTCATTGATCGAACTTTATTTTAATCAACTTAAGTTCTCCCGATTCGCACAATCTTAATTGAACTTTTCAAGTTTAGTAGATATAACAACTCGAAAACATTGTAGCTGATTGAATGAACTTTTATTAAATTCTGTGCTCCGGTTCTTTTTACAGACAAAACGATCGCACATACGTTAATTTTACTATATAATTACTGACACAATTATCAATAATTTACCTGTAAGTTAAACCCGTTAAATTAAAATTATCCCGTCCCTAATATAAGAGATATATTTATAAAAGCACTTCCCCGGACATTCTTTTTCTAATAACTTTTTCCCAAAATATCCGCGATTTTTCGTTTACATTTTTTACATTACATTACATACACAAAGCTCGAAGCCGCGCAAAAATTGGGAAAAGAAGCTTTCCTCGTAATTGGAACGCGTCTTTCGCGGAAGAACAATTAATATTTATTATCTTAGTATTTTCTTTCCCATTCACGAGGACTTCTCCCCTTAAGAGCACCTTGAAGTACAATTACTACTTGTAAGCGCCCGTGCAAATAATCACTTTACGTTTCCGTTCTAACAACGTTTTCCTCACTTTTGTCAGTATTTAACTACGCAAACTGATAATGTAGTAAGTCAAATTGATTAAATCAATTGATTTAACTTAATTTATTCAAGAAATGTCGACGCACCTGCATTTACCCCACAAAATTTCCATCCAAATAAGTTGCTGCCGTACCTCAAGAAATTGACTTGAATTATTTTCTCTTCTTGATCCGTTTCATTAAGCGTACGCAAATATAAAAGTTAAATTAAAAAAAAAAATTAAAAACTTCACGGTGGAGGTATAACGTGAACTAATCGGTCGTCGAATTTTGACTCGTCTAGGTTATCGAAAAGATAAATATTACTCATCTATGCCAGGTGAGATGTTCATTTTAAGCGATTACATGTTCATACGTATTCTTTAGAGTTGGATGAGAAAAGAAAATCACGAGTCGACGGGATTGTCAATCGTTGTACATTAAGCTTACTTGCGTTAAGCTTATGGAAAGACAGCACTATCGTTGCATCGTTATTTATTGTGTTGTGACAATGGATATGCTGATACATCGGAAAAATAAACTGATTACTGTACCGAAAAGTAATTTGGAGAAACGTTGATTTCATGTTGCGTTCCCCTTAACGTTCTTTTTCATTTGCAAAATCGCTTGAACATTTCCTTTATTCTTAAGTTAATCAATAAATTGCTTTAAACAAAGCACCCTGAGTATACCAAGTTAACAATAGGAAATGAAAACACAGGTGAGTATTTTGTCCGGTTCAATGTTTACATACCTCATAATATTGTAATTAAATATCATTTAATCGTCATTGTACAACCGTAATCAGAATCACATTATAAAGAAAGATAAGTTTCAAAACTATATATCACACCTCACGCATAAATGACTAATAAGTTACCGTTTTTTTATCCTACGAAAATTTTACAAGACAACGTTAATAAAATACCCCAGACTAATACGCATAAATTACTAATAAGTTATCGTTTTTTCATCCTAAGAAAATTTGACAAGACAACGTTAATAAAATACCCCAGACTAATACGCATAAATTATTAATAAGTTATCGTTTTTTCATCCTAAGAAAGTTTGACAAGACAACGTTAATAAAATACCCCAGACTAATACGCATAAATGACTAATAAGTTACCGTTTTTTCTTCCTACGAAAATTTGACAAGACAACGTTAATAAAATACCCCAGACTAATACGCATAAATTATTCATAAGTTATCGTTTTTTCATCCTAAGAAAGTTTGACAAGACAACGTTAATAAAATACCCCAGACTAATACGCATAAATGACTAATAAGTTACCGTTTTTTCTTCCTACGAAAATTTGACAAGACAACGTTAATAAAATACCCCAGACTAATACGCATAAATTATTCATAAGTTATCGTTTTTTCATCCTAAGAAAGTTTGACAAGACAACGTTAATAAAATCCCCCAGACTGTGAATGCGTCTCAGCGAACGGAATTGAAACAAATACTTCAAAGGGAGGCATGTCTTGGAATTATGCATTCCAGAACGTTACGGGTTTCGAAGTCGGATTGCATTATCGAGTCAAGATACATGATATATTAGGCTTTGCAAATCCCGCATGCACAATTCATACGTGACTCAGATCAGAATCTCGATGACGTCCGTCGACGTATATTCCTCTCTTATGTTGCATTTCAATGCATTTTAACACCCATTCTTGCTGTGCAGTTTGCCTCCTCCCTTTTTTCTTTTTAAATTAATCCACATTGAACGGATGAACGTATCCTGGTCATTGTGTGTCGACAGAAAAGTTTATTACCAAGGAAAATCAACTCGTTACACCCCCTGGGCTCATTTATATTCATATGCACCCTACAGCTGCAGGGTGCATATGAATGGATGCATATGATAGTAGGGCATGTTTCCTGTCAGAAACAAACGTCTAACTATTAGATTCCTGCAATTTGCCACATCTGACTCACGACTGGCGGTCATTTTTAATGCCGATTACAATTCGGTATAACTTATATTGAAATTACGTTCGATCATAAGACAAAGTTACTCCTTCCTATTCGCTGTTATCTATAATACTATGTTTTCCGCTATAAGTTTCCTATTTGCATTAAATTCTATTCCCGTTTCAATCGATATTTTTGAGTAAATCGTTATACGAGGTGTAATGTTTTGTTACGATATAGCCCCTTGATATCTACTCACGTGATAAGAGAAATGAATAATATCCTGGAAACGCTCAATTTCCGACTTATTTCTCCATTCTATTTTTCATCGCACTGAGTATTGTTTATCTAATCATTTCTCCGATAGATCGATATTTTTTAGTACATCGTTATACGAGGTGTAATGTTTTGTTCCGATATATCCCCTTGATATCTACTCACGTGATAAGAGAAATGAATAATATTCTGGAGACGCTCAATTTCCGACTTATTTCTCCATTCTATTTTTCATCGCCCTGAGTATTGTTTATCTAATCATTTTTCCGATAGATCGATATTTTTTAGTACATCGTTATACGAGATGTAATGTTTTGTTGCGATATATCCCCTTGATATCTACTCACGTGATAAGAGAAATTAATAATATCCTGGAGACGCTCAATTTCCGACTTATTTCTCCATTCTATTTTTCATCGCCCTGAGTACAGTTTATCTAATCATTTTTCCGATAGATGTGCCCAGATATGCTTAATGATTTAACATCGTATTGAATTTCAGTCATTTACGTATTTCCAGGCTTTTACGTCCACTCCCTATTATGTTTACCGTGTAAATAATGACGTATAATTTTCTAGGTAATTTCTTTCCAGCGTTCCGAGTGCACAGAGATATACGAGCTGTCGAATGCCCGTAAATGAGGTTTGCGAGATCGACAGGACAAGAATATTATCGACCGGGTGTACACTGGGAGACATCAATGCCCTCCCAACCTGCACAGGCGATGTCGCATCTGCAGGGGCGGCATTCATGTCCGCCACTGTACGTGCGTCACGACTTCTATCTGCAATCGACTCCATTGAAAAGCGGCGTAATCGATAGCGACGTATCGAACGCTACTTCCCCGATAAGCACGTACGTACGTATACAGCGTACATGACGAACCTTCCATGTTTACAGACCCCCCGCAAAGTGCCGCCTCGTATCCCCAAAACGCTCCGTTTATTTCGAACGTATTTCTTTTTATTCCTTGCTCCCCTTTTGCAGCGCTTCGTGACGTGAGTTCCAGTGAAAGGTAAAGCTTGGAATAAATTAAAAACATTTACTTTCCTCCCTAGTCAGGACAAATGTTTCTTTACATGCGATTGGCTGTATTTTGTGGAATCGGTGAAGTAAGGATCACTCGAACGGTCGATAAAAGTGCAGAACTGTTATTAATCTTTCAAGTTTCTTTCGCTTTGATAATGTATTGACAAGACTGATAAGTATCATTGATTGGCATAAGAGTCTTTAATTAGGCCTTCAAGCAACGAAGCGACTCTGCAATGTCCGCAATCAACGTCACGTGGGGTAATTGCCGTACTAACCGCAAGCTCAATTATCTCCAGATTCTTCGGATACAATAATTGCTATTGCGTCGATTAATACAAATTGTCAAGAAATCTCTTCGCGAGTTAACTTCTAATGGGAAAGTTTCCTTGTCAATCAGAATCTCGACGTAACATATTTCCGATACGCGCTACATCACAATCGCATTTAATAAAGAATAATAAACAATAGCGTTACGCAGAGATTTATTTTAACGTCCTCGGGTACATTAATCGCTGTATAGTGGAGTGATACAGATCACTTCGTGACGATATATAACTTCGTAACGATAACGAAGATATAAACAAAGGACGTTAATCAAAATGGCGCCCTCACGCTTTAGCGAAATACGTTACGCCACGCTTGGCGGTCATGTCGCTGATTATTCCTGATACAAGGTCTCTTAATTAGATAGCGATGCACCGGCTCCGCAATGTCGACAATCAATGTCGAGTGGGGTAATCGGCATACCAGCCGAAAGCTCCATTGGCACCAGTATGTGCTCCGAAGTCAACGTAGTCTAAGATTTGTGATGGCGACCTTTCGAACCTCGGAGGGCCGGCTTCTACTTCTTCGGTCCTATGAATGGCGGAAATGGAGACAGGAACGTAGGTTTCGGCTTGTCGAGCGATTCTAGCTGGGTGTTGAATCCCCGGAATTGCGGGCATGGCTTGTGCTATTGGGTTCAGCTCGATTACATCGATTTCGTTTATTGGAATGGCGATGTATCTCGACCCGGCTCTTACAGAAGAAACGCCGATTAACACCACCAAGGCGAGCCACTGAAATTCAGATATTTCGTTAAATTAGGGATAAAAAGTATAAAACGGGATGTACAAACGGTTACTGATGTTGCAATCATTAAGTAGGATAAGGAGACACAACGCTAATGACCGGCTACACCGAAAGAGTGATTTCAGATTTTCGCTGATCTGACGACGCAAGCGCCACTTGCGGGAAATGGGGGAACTCCAAACCAAAATGGAATCCTTATTTTGAAAAGAAATTGATTTAGTTATCATTGATAATATACATGGATAAGATACACGAAAATTTATAGTCTTTATTTTTATTCTGTTACACAAAACTCCCCCCTTAAAATGGGCCATAAGAAGTGATGAAGGAAATAATCAATGAGAAACGGTCGCAAGCCTGAGGATCTTTTCATTTCCTCAAGCCCTTGACCTTGCGCTAATTCTGGGATTACGCTGTAAAGGTGACTCGAGATAAATCGAGAAAATACTCGAAGTAGAAGCTTTTTCCATAGCCTCGCTTTGTAACGATAACAATAACGATTTCGAGGAAGAGCTAAACTCATGTCCTCGACGAAACGGGTCAAGGGAGATACAGGGAGGATGCTGTATTTGATCAAGACTGAACGCAATGTTTGAAGTACGCAGTTCGGGATGAAATGCGACATTTCACGGAATAATACCGCCGGGGTTGAACTTTGACCATTGGAAACAATGTAACAATCAAGGACGTCACCCAAGCACGTATATTTCCACCCCTTACTTTTGAATAATATTACAATCATGTGGATGTACAGTCATCCCGTGGAATAGCGCAATTGCGGAGCAGAACTGGGTCAAAGGAAATGCTTTAAGCGGTTTTAAAGTCGACGCCAATGTAGCATCAGCACGTTTTTAGGACTAGAAAGAAGAAGATATTAGATTGGTTTGATCTACGATCAAGAAATGGGAATAAACCTTTAACGTTACGTACGACGGGTTTATTGCCGACTTCTGTGTAGGCGATAAAGTTCCCCGTCTCTCGTACGTTTCTTACGTATATTGGATGGCATTGACGCAGCAATGCAAAATGCAGAGGAAAGATCCTCGGAGAGGCTGACGCGTCTCTACACCCTGACGCCCCTGCGTACGTAAGCAACCTTCTAGCCTCGAGGACTGCGTAGGCGTTGCTCGTTCGATATTCAACCCCAAAGTGGCCACCCCACCTAGCGCCATGCGGACGCGCGGTTAACTAATTGACGTACTTTGGCTCTGGCGTCTGGCTAAACTACATCACCTACCAAGGGCTCATGAATAATCGACGAGCTCGTTCACTTAACCGATCACTAAGCTTTTTATTTCCCTCGTCCAGGCTCCGATTTACGGGATTCTGAACGAAAGGAAGAAGTATCCTGGGCCCTTGCGATGTAATGAAAAAACATGCAATATCGACGACGTAGGGTATGGAATATCGTCTATTTTTTATTTACAAGAAGACCCAGAGTAGAATTTAGCCCATACTCGTGTCTCACTTTTGGCGTTAAAATAATTATTTTAGAGTAGTGTTAAAGGCCACTTATGCTTTTACATTACCTTTTATAGAAAGTCCTTGCAACAAGCTAGGAATGACGTATTTTAAGAGTAATACCTACTCGTGCCCTCTTTTAAACCGCTTTTAGCAGTCAAAATTATACATCAAAGTTTGGCAACTTTTAGTTGTCGTGAAATAAATACCAGACTTTTGAAACTATGTCGTTCTTGGCCAAGAAATTGGGCTTGTATCAAGTATACGTCCGCGCATCGAAGCGTTAAGAAGTTAACAAAAAATGTCTCCCTATACTTAAAAAAATGAATAACATCGTCGAGACTGCAGTGTCGAATACTTCCAAAAAGTGACGATTCAATTTTGTCACCAACAGAACTATTGTCGAGGAAAATCGGAGCCAGAAATTGCCTGCCGCGGTCGGTAAAACAGTACGTCCTGTCAACCGATAGCACCGATCTACCTGGATGTGTCGATTTACCAGGGAATCCATCTCGAAGTAGCCGGTGGATGTCGAAGAGTTCTAACTGAGGAGAGAGGCTGAGCCAACAAGATTTTATACGGTTTCGCCAGGCCGCAGCTTTCTCGCCTTGGCGAGTACCAACCACCAAGTACCACCAGTCATCGCCAGGTCGGCCGATTATTTCTGGTACTTCTTACGGCAAACTCTTGCCATCACTAATCGCCTAAACGTGCAAGTTATACAAGCAACAATGACGGAGAAGCGGCGAGATCTTGCGGTGCCATTCCAACACTGAACGGCTAGCTCTGCCCAAGACTTCCGATCACGTTTGGAACTTTTTAATCGTCGCCGATTCTCGGTCTGCGGTTTACTTTTACCTTAGGACGATATCGATCAACCTAAACCCCCTTAAAAACAACAAACTCGCGTCGCAGCGCTTCTTAAGGTGAAGTGAGACACGTCGAGGAACTTGGTCGACGTCAAAGAAGATTTTTCTAAATGCCTACGTTGCTGACATTGGTTTTTATATTGACAGCTGGGTCGAATTATATTGGATATTGTACCAAATGGCATACTCCACCTGTCGTTTTCGTACAATAAATATCAAGAAATCGAAGTAAAACTCCAGAAATCCTCTCGATTCGTGCTTTCTGGGGCCCTAATTGACTGCAGAGGGACCCCCTGCGCCATCTGTGATTTCTAGGTTAATTAAATTTTCACTCCGAGACCTCGTATTCCCATCGCTTTGGCATAGAAGCGCATACAACACTTTGTTTGCCTTTGTCCCATTCAAATGCGAGTTTATCGATTACCAGAGTGCTCTAAATTGTCGTAAAATTGTCCTGACCCTTTCGTTTCTCATATCAGAGCCTTCGATAATTGTATATTGATCGAAATACGAGAGCCCGACGCCATTTTGGTTTTGGTCTGGGCTAGGTTAAAAGATTTTTTGCTAAAAATCCAAATTTTCAATGTGTCAGGACAATTCTTACATGATCACGATGTGTCAAAGTTTCGGACAGTTTGGTCTAATACCCTTAAAAAAAAGTGTATTCGAATTGATTGATTTGAAGGGTGTTTCACTTCACCTTAAATGCGGCGCACCAAACACTTTGGCACGGTCTCGTTGTTATCCAATCTAAAACCTTATTGCTTTAATCGCCGTACACGGAGAAAGAAACAATGAACCTTCGTCGAAACGCTTTTCTCAGCTCTCCGTTACAAGAAATGCTAAATTAATAAAACGCCCCAACGGATTTGACAATGGAAGAAAACTGGCTCAGGGTTTCGACGAAGTGGCGTTGCTATTATAACATTACACTTTTTACTTTTCCAACGAAAAATACACATTTAGGATTTATGCGCTGACTTATGGCTAATTCGTTTATGGAGTATGACGTACATTGTTGTTAATGAATACCTTAGCGTTACGGAACGATGACGGAAGTTAGGTCTCGGGGTATAAAATACTGGGAATGAATTGATCAGCGTTATGATAAAGGTTTGTCGGTACGTGTACCTATATTAGTATCACGTAATTGTGCCGAACGTAACGATCGATTGCGATCGATGATACAGCGGTTTAGAGTGCCTCTTGAGATTGCCAGAGAACCCGGAATAATGTAACTAATTTCACAATATTTTATACACTTTTTACATTTACATACAACCATAACAAGGTGTCGCGTCTGAAATACATCCCACGTTATTTCTGTACGTTTGTGTGACTTTTAAATCGATGCTACTCACTGTTTATCTCATCAATGACTGATTTATATGTTACAGGTTGAATTCTATATATATATACTTTTCGCGTGCAACAGAGTTTTGAATGAATACAGATTTTGTTTGTGATTTCCATGGTTTAATGATAAACAAGTAAGAATAATTTATATCAGTGCTATCGCTTATTTTTTTCTAGTTTTGAAATTTACATTGAAAAGTATCTGAGAATTATACAAAAATAGAATAATATTTATACATATGATCATGCAATTTTTCAACAGTCGTCCATTTCATATGATTAGAACAGTACGTAATGTATTCGAAATGAACTGCAATATTGTTTGGAAACTCACCACGACTATTACTGATAGTTGCAGTTAACTAGCATCGGATAAACGAACAAAATAGATCATTCCTACTGTGCACACCTTTGGACTTAATCTAGTCTACAGTATTAGCGTGGAACCTTCGTGCAATTCCATGCGATTTTTTTTTCTGTTTTTTTTTGTTGAAAAAATATACACCGACGATATAGCTTTTGTATTGGCACTGTGACTTGCCGCGTTATGGCGTGACGAGCTGCACTTAGGCCACTTAGGTTTCAGTTCAGCAGCTTCGGATACGCTATTAAACAGGAAGCAAAGTTTCACTTTCAAGGCACAAGTACGTTTAATCCTGAATGATCTCGCGGATGATAATTTTAACAGTCGATATAATGGTTGGTCGCCGTTGTTAAAGTACATATCCATAAAACGAAGAAAAATAAGAAGTTAGGACAAATTACCCACGAGCACGACGCGAAGCAACGCTCCCTGTTCCCTTTCAAAATCATCGTACTGGAAGAGATTGGCATAACGGGGAACAAACTCGGCATTGCGCACTCCGGCAATTAACGTTAGACTTTAATCTCAGGGACTGAGAATCCATTTAATGGAAGAAAATGAAAATGAAAATACTTTCAAAGTCAGGGACCGATTTCGTTTGAATTTCTCACACCAATCCGGCGATCGTGCCTTAGAACAGTAGTCTAATAAATGCTTAAGAAGTAGACAAAATATCAGATAACTAATTGTTAGAGTACGGCTGATATCTTCCAGACGAATTAATAACATATTGGCGGGTAAAAAGCTTCCCGGGAAAAATCGATCCGCCGGGAAATACAACCACAGTAGCAGCAATAAAATAACAGCTTTCATTTCCTTCAGTTTCCTTCGAGGAAAGCAGGAAATGAAGGTAGAAAACAAAAACCCCTTCATGGCTCAACATCAATAGTTACCGAATAATCCTACATTCTACTACAAAAATATATCCATCTGTGACAACTCGCATCATAGCCCAGCTTTAACCAACCGTTTGATTCTGTATCTTTTTCTTTTTCTTTTTCATTGTGCTCGTAACGCATCCTTTTTCCTTGAATTTAGAACATCTCTAATTCATCCGAATCCCCAGAAAGATCGCTTTCGTATCCTGCCGGTGCCATTGTTACGCCTTTACTCAGTCGAAGGTCCCTTTTCTGTTTCGCTGAATTTCCGTCGTACATATAACCCTCACTTCCGTTTTCATTTACTGATCTCTTTTCGGATTCAATGAAGCGGTTCGTCTGCTCTCGTACCGGTGTCACCAGATCAATTTCTTCGACGTGATCACTGGTTGGTTTCTAAAAAAAGCAACAAAAAAAAAATATATATATTTAGTAATACAATCTTTACCTTAACTTCTGTATTGAAAATATAGTACCTGTACCACTAATTGGGATACAAAGGCTAATTCCTATACCTCAAACATTCCCTCTATGCAAACTCATAACATTTTGAGTAACGATAACATTTTCCCTCCTTGGAAATATAAATATGTATATATCTGTCGCGCAACCCTACTGTGATTTATGATTAATTTAGTTATTAGATTACCTTCGGGGTCGTTATGTCGATTACCGGAACTGGCTTGGATGTTAATGAGGCATTTGCCGACAAATTAGAAGAGTTGGGGGTTGAAGTTGCAGACACTTCAGGGCTGACGGCTCGTACTGATAAGGGAGGGGTGGAAGATGGCGTGGATGGTCCAGTGACATCGTGGTTTTTCTTTGATATAGACATTGTCGAACTGGCGGCTGACCGAGAACCCTCGTCCGGATCGGCGAAGCCTTCGTGTATTAACTCCTTGCCTATATTAATTTCCTGCAATTAAGATGACCTTATTAGACAATAAAAGAGTCTGATACTTGAGAATAAAACACAAATGAGCGCCACGGTTAAAATTTTTCATAAGAAGTGAAATAGATTGTTCTTATCAAGACTGCAATTTTTTTTTCTAGGTCGTTAGCGTTACCGTCCGACGCCGTCGAAAGAATGAAATACACTATAATGATGATAATAAATATAATTAAAATAATAATTTATTATGAGGTACTTCTTGAGGTACCTGCTAACATTGCGCTCTCGGTTCTTTTAAAAACTCCGGGAAAATCCTACACGGTGTCATCGCTTTTGAAAGTAATCGCCTCGTGAAAGTTAAAGGATCGTACTTGTAAACACTTTAAATAAACTTTCACTTTTCTTAGGGTGCTTGGACTGAAACTAAAAGAACTCCTTCCGAATGAACTACGGTGATGACTACATACGAAGCAAATTTTCCTAGGGACCCTAGCGTGAATCAAATTCATATGCAAAGAATACTTAAAAAAAAAAAATAATAGAATTTCTTCAAGACCTTTTTCGAAGTACCTTTATCTCTTGTATATTTTATTAGCGATACTTTCACATAGCTGTGATTAAAGCGCACGTGAAAAACGATTCACGGAGACTAATGGTCTCACCTTGTCGTCGATCTTGTCGTAAAGTTCAATACAAGGTATGGGAGAGCCTTCACGACGTGATCTGCCTTGGCCAAGAAGTCGCTCTTTATATCCTCTAACTTTGGCAATTAAGACTTTCCATTGAGCTGCCCAAGTAAGGTCATAGAATTTATTGCATGCATCCAACGTCCATTCTCCACCTCTGTAACAGATTAATTATAGAAATATCAGAAATCTTGACAGAGTCTAAACACACTCTAATCGTATAAATTCTCATAAACATAAACTTATTATTTTCTTTCATATGCTCTGACCTTTTCTTTTTGCAAATCAGTAGATATTTATATTGCGATATCTATGGTATAGTGATGTACATTGTATATTGATAATATTAAGGAATGACAAACTGGATTACTAATATCATCACCAAACATGTTGCTTAACTTCTGTCCACGTGCATGACTTGACAATTTGAAATTCTTACTCTTTGCCAAATATCAAAATAAGATTATCGCGCGGTATGTTCATGCGCCAATAAGCGTGGAAAATAACCTTGTAAAATATCTCGAGCGTGGAAATATTGTTTCGATATGTCCAGAATAATTTGTGTCTCCTCTATAAAAAGAAAATAATCGAGGCAGATATACCCTGCTCGGCAAAAAAAAAATAAATACCATGATATCTAAAACATGAAGTTGCACACATGTGATAACCATATACGTATTTTAGCATAATGAGAGACTATACTATTCAACAATATGATCTTTTCTGTTAAGTGTTGAAAAAAATTACCAGCACGATTAATGTTGTAAGATCCAGTCTTTAACACTATTTCTACCAGGATTTTGTGTATACCTATTTCGACCAAAAGATTTTGATAAGCTGGAGGAAAATGATACCGCTAAATAAATTTAACAATTATTATACGAAACCTCAAAACATTAATTGAGAAAAAATGATACCGCTAAATAAATTTAACAATTATTATACGAAACCTCAAAACATTAATTGAGAAAAAATTATTAAACTTTGAAAATAATTTCATGTTAAAATTTTAAAAGGTGTCTTTTNACAATTATTATACGAAACCTCAAAACATTAATTGAGAAAAAATGATACCGCTAAATAAATTTAACAATTATTATACGAAACCTCAAAACATTAATTAAGAAAAAATGATACCGCTAAATACATTTAACAATTATTATACGAAACCTCAAAACATTAATTGAGAAAAAATGATACCGCTAAATAAATTTGACAATTATTATACGAAACCTCAAAACATTAATTGAGAAAAAATTATTAAGCTTTGAAAATAATTTCAAGTCAAAATTTTAAAAGGTGTCATGTGACACCTTTGGTAGAAATAGTGTTAAGCCAACATGTTTAGTAAAGTTAAGGGACCGCTGCGATGCGCCATATAAATTCCACATCACGAAGGAGTTACAAACAAGCTAACTACTTCCGAGACGCTGTTCCATTTATAAACGATAGTCGTTAAAGTGTGCTAGGGATTCTTGTGTCGAGAGGACGGACTTGCCGAGGAGGAAGAGCCCGAAAGTCTCAGTCGTACAGTGATCTCCCTACGTCGATACATCGCTTACTAAACAGACATAAATGAAGTGCTCCTCAAATAGTCATAAAATCCTCCTAATTCTAAAAAGGCGAATTTGCAACTTTTCACCTGTATCCTAAACGAGATTTTATTGTCTCAGGGAAACCCAAGGTCTTATATATTTCACGAGCTTTCTGAACCGATGCAGGAGTAACAATGCGTACTCGATAATAAACTCTGGTAATTATGAATTTAAAACAACTCATTTTTTCATCACTCAGATGTTTCCAATGAAACGTTCTATTCTTTCCCGGGGAAGAAAAAAAATTGAGCGATTGATATTCTTCCTTGGTCTGTACATTGATTATCAATGCAAATGTGATAAAGAGGGTTTTAATTAAAAGAAAAATCTAAATCATTTCTGAACGTCTTGCTTAAGATGCCAACAACGTATCAGTGATTGCACCGAAGTTAAATGAAAACCCAGTGACAAAAAGTGAAATGTCCCCACGAGTTATCGACATTTGTTTTGTCGTATCTTTTTTATTAAAGAACTTTCGGCTCTCTGCGCCATAATTGGAGAATACGTATGAGAACACCGGAGTGTCTTTGTTACTCGAAAGTAAGTACTTTAATTTAATTTACAAGTCCAATTAGGAAAACAAGTCCTCGAATTAATGATGCTTCAACGGAGATTCATTTATTGGACGTCCGACATAATTCGAAGCAATAAATTTCCGATTATTTCCAGAATTGCCTCGTTGGGTCGCCGGTTGATTTTCTGGACTCCAAGGCAAGGCGTGCGAACTAATTGAACCCTTAATTGCTTTCAAACAGACTGCGCACAGTTTAAAGCAATAAACCATTCAAACCTCCCAGCGATTATTCACGATTAGAAATTCTAATTCGCCAGAAAATGGAAATCGACCGCGGACGCGAAATGATCAAGCAATCCAAAAGTGAATATCCCGAACTGTCCATACTTTAATTTCTTGCATTTAAAAAACACATATTAGAAGGGATGAAGTAGTGACATAGAAATGTTCAGCCCCACTTCTGTCGAGTTTTCAAAAGAGACATTTCAATTTCCATGCGGCACTGACTTTCTACACATATACACCCATTATACCAATTTTCTTGCTCGTCAACAGCCGAGGGCTTCAATTAAAGACCCCTTCACGGAATTATTCTGTTTGTCAATTTGCCACCGACAGACTGCCTCAAGTTCAATTTTAAGCCCCCCTCCTGTGCCATCGACCTTCTCGATTTGTTCTTAAATAACAACAAATGCGTCCAATTTACGTCCCAATTTTCCGACGAAGGACGCCTCTTGCGTATCATCGCCAATTTAGAAGTCGCAAATCTTGAAAGCATTTGAAATGATATTAGAAAAAATTAGGTACATTCCTCTTAGGAGTAACCTTTCTCGCTCATGAGTTTCGTATGATGCAGCACGTGCCCAAGAAGTGGGTGTCGCGTGAACCAGAAGTGTGGCCCTGGGAAATTGCAACTTCGAAAAGCACCAACTTCACCGCAAAGCTGCGGATTTGTTCTTAAATAACAACAAATGCGTCCAATTTTCGGCACAATTTTCCGGCGAAGGACGCTCGAAGTTCGCCTCTTGCGTATCATCGCCAATTTAGAAGTCGCAAGTCTTGAAAGCATTTTAAATGATATTAGAAAAAATTAGGTACATTCCTCTTAGGAGTAACCTTTCTCGCTCATGAGTTTCGTATGATGCAGCACGTGCCCAAGAAGTGGGTGTCGCGTGAACCAGAAGTGTGGCCCTGGGAAATTGCAACTTCGAAAAGCACCAACCTCACCGCAAGGCTGCGGGGATCGAAGGGAGTGATTAGCTGTTGCAAGACACGCGATGCAAGGGAGCTCGATTAAATAAATCCCCAGTCCCTGACCCCCGAAGAGGCAAACCGATGATTTACCGGAATTAGCCCTTTCCCTCCGAAAGGCTCCCCTGTGAAAGTATTCCGATACTTTAATCCATCCCCTTATGCAAGGGTGATTTCTTTGCTCTAAGGCAGGATTCCCCAAAATTTTTTCCTGCAATGGAATATTTCGCAAACCCGCAAATTTTCCCGGAACACTTAGTTTATTTCTTAGGCTGGGTAATTCCTCCTAGTAAAAATAAAAAAAAGAACGTGTTATTAAAATACATTATTCATTTAGTAATTATTTTTATATATTAAACTATAATACAATGTGAATAAATAAAGCACTTAATGACTTGTACCAAAAAGAAAAAAGAAAAAATGTCTCTACGGAGGAATCAATTTGTATCATTGTACTCAGGGGGCTATCTTTGATTAACCAAGAAACGCAAATCCAAGTTCTGAGACCTGTTGAAGAGTTCCATACAATGTTTACAGTCACAACACCGTGGGCTACTGCGACGAGGAACGCGGAAATCAAAGAAACCGCATTTAAGCAAGTGCTGGTTAGAAATGTTAATGGACAAACGTGGCCGTGCGGTTTCCTCCCGTTAGTTTCTCCAACCGAGGCTTTAACCAGAAATCCCGAGTAATTTTACGGGTGAAAGAGCTTTTCCTTTTCCCCTCCTCTCGCTCTTTTTCTAAACAACAAAAACCTAAACGCAAGTTTAAGCGAGGTAAAGCCCGCTAATTCGCAGAAAACAACAAAAACCAGCAACAAATGTAACAGACAGCACAGATGCGCGGATTTCAAACATTAAACAAATTTAAATCTCACCAGTTTCCTCTCGGTTTACCGCATACAAATTTAAGTTAATCGATACAAAACGTTTGCCTTTTGTCCTTAAAAAAAAAAAAACATGTACAAATGCACATAACGTGAATTTGTGGCGACGTGAAATTCTCTAATAAAAAAAAAAAAAAATCGACAAAGGGGATGTGCACATAATTATGAAAGTGGTCTAAGTCAAAATTAAAAAAAAAAATGAGTTTATCAGTTATTTCACGCCAAATTATTTCAAACGAAATTAATTCAATGTAATTTCGAAACAAAAAATATATGACTTAGACCACTTTCATAATTATGGGCACATATCTTGCATTTGTCCAAAGTTCAGGTATGCAGATAACGAGCTATGAAGGAATAACATAAACTGTAAATTAATCCTACAACGGCCAGAAAATTGGAGTCTCCCTACACGCGAAGGTAGACGAAGCATTATACAGTGGAAGGCACGGAGAGCGGCGTTGATTAACCCGAGAGTTGGCGTACCCTAATAATAAACCAGAAATACAACTAGATTTGGAACGCGAGATAGTCGAAGGCAATGCCACGGAGTAACGTGACTGGTAGTTTTGGTAATACTGCACATATATAGTAATGGAATTCCTCACATAAGATCTAATGCTTGATGTGACATACTGAGAATCTATGCGCCCACCTTAAATTACATTAATTACGAAACAACGACAATAATGATCCTAGGCAATTTCTTTAACTTTTTAAGATACAAGTAAAATATTTTAATGCGGCAACTCGCATAGTAGCACATACTGTAATTACGTGACATACATGCGAAGATAAGCAGGCTGTCCTTTATTGATACAGAAAGATACGGTATCGATAAAAAATATAGGAATTAAAAATCACCCTCTTTCCTATCAAACTAAATAGATATTCATTTTTTTTTTTCTTTTTATAAAATATGTCCCTTTCATAACAGTTTATCCAGTTACGTTAAATTTTAAACGAAGTATTACATGTAATATTTTTCCCGTAAAATAATCTAATGTAACATATGTGTAGCGGACATGAAAGTGCCTTCTATAGATACGGGACAATGTACAATATCGATAAGGAGGGAGATAAAATTAACTCCTTCATTACAGGACGGAACATATCTTCGATAATAAAAAGTCGGCTTCTTTATAAACTTATAAAGACCGATAAATATACACTGCATTAATGCTCATAATTAAATATAGTTGATTTCTCGAAACTCGACCCTGGATTAACTTAACTTTACACTAATAATTTCAACCCCCAATTGCGCTTATCATAAGACTGGGTTTAATATCTGTTGCTCTGGAATTAAATTCTTATTATCATTTTCCAGAGAGCGGACGAACCTTCTTAGTGAAAAAGAACAAGGATGGAGCTCTTGGTACCAACTATCTCGGATATTGTTTTCAAGTACACTTGGCCGCTACCTGATTATAAAAAGATTATCAAAAAGAAAAACTTATTGGACAGTCCGTCTTTTGACTTGAACGTTAATGGAATCCACAGCTCATGGAATCTGTCCATCAGATTTTGGAAAGGACCAGAGGGTAGTTTTTCCATAATTTGTTAGAATTAATGATAATAACCGTAATTAATGAAACATAAGCAACCTTTCTTCCCGTATATTACGTAAAAATATCATACTCTACTTGCTTTAGTCGCAGTTTAATACCACAAATTACTTTTCAGGTAAAAAGATTACGAACCCTGTTGTTCTGTGTCTGAACATTCTCAATTGTTGCATAGAGGAGGCGGACCAGGTGAAAATTCGATTTCAGTTTGCTGTTTTTAATGCAGATATCAAACACTGGGAGTACTGCCAAGTTAGCAGAACAGTGCTTGAATTAAAAACTACTTCGGATATCATATCAGTGGGTTACAGAGATCTAAGTATCGTCGACAGACATTTCAAGAAAAATGGAGAGGTTGTCGTTATGGTGAAGTTGCAGATAATTCAATATGAAAATGAAAAACATACACTATCTCAGGTAAAAAAAAAAAAACAACTTCGATTAGTATGGATTATGAGACGAAATATGAAAAGGTGAAGTTTAATGAGTATTGTATAAGGCAACTATTTTAAATGTATACCGTTTTAAAATGTTTATGAATGTGATTTCTAAAGGATATGGGAAGATTATTGAAACATCCGCGTACAGCAGATACCAAATTGATATGTGGAGGTATAAACATCACGGAAATTCCTGTACACAGTTGTATTATATCTGCGCGTAGTCCTGTACTTGCTGAAATGATAACACCATATCAACGAAACCCAAAATCTGAAAGAACGGACTTAAATGAAAATGAAACCGGAGGAGAACTTCAAGAAAATACTGCAACTGGTGTAAAAAAAATTCACGAAATAAATAATACCTCAATAACCGACGTGAGAAGCACACCCGAAGAAAACGGATATACTGAAGTACGTTTTAAGCCAGCTCTTAAGTTTACTACTAACTGTTAATTCTTAATAATAATTGAATTTATTTATCGAGTTGAATTCCTCATAATACTGTTCTTATGTCCTATGTATATTTCAAATCGTATGCACGTGCAGTGTATCCCTTTTTAAAGTAACCAGATTAACCCTAATGTGTGCCCTGTTTATTTTTCATGAATTCGATACTTCGGCTAGGGTAAGAAGATTATGTGAAGTATAATAATATATTAGTACTTTGAATTTATTTAAGCAAAATGCGATTCAAAGGTTTACTTAGTTATGTGTTTCCAGACTTATGCATTTGAGGTGGACTTAACAGACCTTTCTGTTGAAGTAACTCAGGAACTGTTACGCTACATTTACACTGATCGTGTCGACAATTTAGATACTCTAGCATCTCAACTTTTATCATTGGCGGAACGTTTGCATTTAAAAGGTATATAATAATAAATTAGTGTACACAAATTAGAATGAAAAAAAAAGTGTTTAAAGTGTTTTTATATAGTAATAGTTATTGTTTCTAGGCTTGAAAGAACAATGTGAACGTAATTTAATTGAAACAATTACCCCTGGAAATGTAGCAACATTACTTTTAATAGCTGATGAATTCTCTTGTGAGTCCCTAAAAAGGGCGGGTCTGGCATATTGCGAGGAAAATGTATTGAATATACATAAAAATTTTGCTTGGAAGATAATGGAACAAGTAAACCCTGAACTATTCAACGAAGTTTGTGAAGCTGGTTTAGGAAGCTCCAAGTCAAGTAATATGGATGATAGTGAACTCAGTGATTAATCGAGTACGATACTCTTATTGTATAAGGTCGCATGATAAGAATTAGTAAATTTATCACACAAATAAGAATTAACACATGACATGTTTACTTACCGTGGTTTAATGTTAGCCAGGGAGCACTCCACAGCTTGCAATCGCAAGCTCAAGAAATCAGTACGCAGTTCAAACAAATCGTCAGCTGTTTTCACATCATCATCACCATAATCAATGAAGTATATGCCATACATGCCCTCTTCATTTATTGAAATAATTTCTGCTCGATACCATCGTTTGTCGAAACTGAATTTGGCGGCTATAATTTGGCCAACTGTTACCTTCAACCAAGAAAAAAAGAAAATCAGAAGGTACATATTCCATAGTACCCGAGTATTATAATGGAATATAACTGAAAAACTAACATCAGACAAACAATGTAACTCCCTATTTTTTTTGTCTTCATAGTAAAGTGTCATTTCAGTAACCAGATCGTCAAGTGCTACTGTCCCAGGCCCTACGACTTGAACCCAGAATTGACTTGGGTTATTTGCAGCACTGACATAAACTTCCATCCGGCTGTCATAAGCTGGATACAAGAAAACGTAGGAACATTATTCTTTTACATTCTTTACTAAATAAAACTTCTAGAATCAGTGGCTTACCTTGCGTTAGTAATTCATTGGATCGTAACGTATTATCAGATACAGATACAGATGTGTTGCGGGGAGATACTTTTCCACGGGGTGATCTGAGAGCATGGCTAGCTTCCAATTTTTCTCGAATCATCTTTGCATCGTGAACTTTATTTTCTATTTGGGATAAAGCAGCTGCTATTTGCTCTGCAGTGCCTTTTATTGTTATTTTCGTTTTAGCATCTATAAATTGTATTGATAATTGTTATTAATTAGTGATTAAACATGTCATAACTCATGAAATCAACATAAAATCTAATAAGTGATATGTAAAGATTTGTATACAACACTTACTGAGGTCATTAGAGTAGTTACTGTGATCTATGATAATTTTTGCATTGGAAGAATTTTGTATTTGTTTAATAGATTCCCCCCCTGTTCCTATTATTTTACTGCATGTAAACTGAGGTACAAATGTATCATAAGTTTCGACTACGGGTTGAGTGGCTATTAGATTCTTTATCATAGCCTCCGCTAATCGGATACTTTCGGGCTTTCCTTTTATAAAACAAATACGTTCTGCGTTTTCAATGTTATCTGATTCAAAGCTAATGTCGGTATCTGTGCTTGATTGAAGCTGTTTAACCATCATTCCGGCTCGTCCAATGATTAATGGAACGAACTGTCGTGGGATTTTCATTTGAAATACATTCTGTTGAGATGTTTCCACAGTTGTCTTCCTTGAATTGATTTCATCATCATTATCCTATGAATAGAAAAGAAATTAATAAACACTAGAGTAAAATTTACATCATTCTATAATATTATAAAAACATTCAGTACTTTAATAAATTTAAATAATTATTCTTAGATATGTACTTGTTACACAACACATGAATAAAATACATTACTGGTTCAAATTTCAACTAATTTAAAATATTTATGATGTAGATATAGCAATTTTTAAATTTACTTCCATTTTAAATCAGTAACTGCATTTCAAAAGAAAATAAGATAGTTAAGATAAATAATGTAAAATCCTATGACTGACATTATTAATTTCAGCATAATTTCCATTCCTTTATAAATTACACGCAATGAATCATATCAAACTTACTTTCTTAAATAACAGATATAACAATGTTGCCCCAATTCCTGTTAATGAAAAACCAATAAGAACTGGCAGTAAGATTTGGTGAGAAATCCACTTCATTTTGTCTCTGAAAAATTTCATTCAATTAATTTTTAAACTACCGGCATACATTTCCTTTCTAATTACAACTATAAACCTATTCAAGCTTGAAGTCTCATATAACAATGACATAATCTTAACCGTTCATAACCTAAAGAATTCGTTATTGTATCGTGCAGCGATACGTTTCCAGTGGGATCGCTTAAACAATAACAAATAGACGCTGCATTTATATATACCCACGATTAAGCTCTTATAACAATTTCCAAAAAATAGATGCCCAAATGACCCACAAATTTACATTCGTTGATTACAACATACTTTCAAAATCACAAACCGGTCAGGTTTGCCCAATGTTGCCAACTTCAGTTCTGTTTACTTTAATCGAACAAAGAAGAGCACAGAAATGAATTGGGAGATTGCTCACGGGCAGGGTGGCGCAACTGCGTTCTGTGCTGTCCTCGGTGGAGGATGCGGACGGCTAATGCACTTGCCACCTGTTAAAATGTCTTAAAAGACCTAAAAATGTCTTAAAACGCCTGAAAATACCCAAGAACGCCTAAAACGCTTAAAAATACCTCGAAACGCCTACAAGCGCCTCAAAACGCCAAAAACGCATATCTCCTCTGAAAAAAATCCCAGCCACTCGCTCGAGAGATCAATTTAAAGAGAAAAACCTTCCCCGTCGAGCTACTGTGGTCGCAGGTGCGGAAAAAATTCACCAGGGGTTGGGCAGCCCGAAAACCAGCTGAAAGTCATGGATCCCTCAAAAAAGCTTTAATCCCTCTGCTGTAATCTCAATCATCCACACGTAACAACTTTATTTGGTATTTGTAGTCTTCTTTCCCAAACTATGTTGACCCTGATACTAAAAACGGGAAGGCGATAACTTCATTCTATCTATACTGTGTTGTATTTGAAATCTGCAGACGCGATTTTCTTTACCGATAGAGAACATTTCCTCCGTTTGAAATAAGTTCCACGGTGCTAAGGAGCCATGCCTCACTTTCGATAATGGTATGAAACATCTCCCTGCTCATCTTGTATTTGTCTATGGTTAAAATTAGCCCGATAGCAATGTATCGATACTGAAGAAATTGAGTCGATACTCATCTGTATCGTTATTACAAATATCGAATCACATCACGCATCCTACTGTTTGTGTGCATGTGCATACTTCCATTCTCTGGAAGGTTATGCGAGGATTCATTTGTCACCTTAAATCAGGTATATTTCGTGTGAGTGTGTTACTATTTACTAATCAATCTTTGCAATTTAAAAATTAGATTACAATTAATTTGATGTGACAAGATGACAGTACTTTTTATAACTTTTCAGGGATTATGGATTAACAATAGGCTCCTTTTATAACTATGAACTGTACAGTAATTAAGTCTTTCTTAAGAATCCCCAAAATTTGGACATGATGTCGTTTCGATTAGGACCATGGTGGACAACATGTACAAGAACGATGTCAAATAGATCTTTTATTCCTAAAGGTCAAACACATTATGAGACTCTAGAAGTAAAACGTTCAGCGACACAAGATCAAATCAAAGCAGCTTATTACAAGTTAACTATGAAGTATCACCCTGACAGAAATAAAAGCGAATCTGCTAAACAAAAGTTTCGGGATGTTGCAGACGCGTATAACATTTTAGGAAATTACACTAGCCGAAAAAAATATGATCGAGGTACATTGGTGACGGCATATCAGAAGGATCTAAAGCATGATGCTGAGATAAAGAGTGAGCATCCCCATCAGCGCTTCTATCAATCTCGGATGAGTACTAATGAACATACAGCGAAAAATGAAAAAAAGGATAGTCATAACTTTGAAACTTGGACACACGATCATTATGAAAAATTATTTGCTCAAAGAATGGAATTAAAAGCAAAAAGGGACCTAAAGGACAAAATGAAGGAATCAGATGATCAAGTGTCTGTCAAAGTTGTCATTACTGTCGCTTGTATTTGTCTTATAATAATAGGGGTTGGTATGTTCACACGTCAAATCAGTGATACTGACAAAGTATATGTAAGAACTAAAGACACTGATTCCTTGGATAAAAATACTGTGTCTGTGGAAGACACAAAATAATGCTAGTATTCTAGTGGCATAAAAATATGTAGCAAATATAATGGTATAGTACATTGTTAATTATCCAAGATATTATTTATTAAAAAAAATGGTTATTTACATTACAAATGGGAATATAAAATGTAAATTACAACAAGATAAATAAAATATCTTTAATTAAATGTACATTGAATGTTTTTATAAATTTATTCTATTGTGGTAATTGCAGTTTTATATAATTTGTCTTGTTGCGAAAGAAAAAAAGAAATAGAACACCGAGTGTCATTAAGCTTATATAAATTTCAATCGGTGGTTCGTTATCAAAAAAATGTTTATTATTAACAGATTAACACGTTTTGTTCCTTAGATTCCCTAGCATGGTAACCAGTGACATTATCTGAAAAAACATGCCTGTTCTTGTTAAGCATTTGTCATCATATTTTTATTTAGTTTTTTGCATGGTTATTATATCGAGAATAATTCCTTTGTGTAGTCAATCATACATTTGAAAATTGAACTTAAACTAAATCTATATATTTATGATTACATGTATGCATACATTCGCATGTACTACTTGAAAAATGCCAATGCCATTAATATAGTTCCGCATAGTAATAGCATTGGTTTTATTAAGAATGTAATGAAATCTTGATATTGGATTGTTTCCAAAGTCCTATGAGGAAATTTGTTACTGAGTAAATTGCGTTTAGCATTCCAATAATAGATAGATCCTTTCCTTCATGTAACTGAATGTCAGAATTAAAATTAGCAACTACTAGGGTCTATACATTGGCATTATTGGCATTGGCATTGACACAGGACCAGTTGGATAAGGTACCGATGGCCCAATACCAGGAAAATTGTTAGTCATTGGATAACCTGGGTTTGCATGCATCATTGGTTTTCTTACAAGCTCCCGCATTTTATCAACTTTCACTTTACGCAAATGCATTAATTTGCGGCGTGATAGAAATTGTTCGAGGAACTCGTCAACTTCAACATCACCAGCCATGAATTTTTCTGCCAATTTCTGGAAGTATACAATCGTTAACAAATGAATAAGTGGACAATTTTAAACATTAAAATCTGTAAAAAGTTTTAAAACATAATGATTAGCTTCAACTCATTTTAATCTCATTACGTTCACTATTCAAAAAATTTGTCAGAATTTGATAAGCAACGTAAGTTCAAAACTATCTGTCAACTTTTTTGTACTAGCTGCCTTTGTCTAAACGTTAATATTTAATTAACAGCAATTGCAATAAGACTTTGTTTTTGAAACATTAAATCTTACTATATGTGTAAATAAAAAAAATTTATGTGGAAAAATATGGTCAGACAAAATAAACAATAGCAAATGATAAACAAAGTGGTATACCTCAGATTCTTCTTCAATTTCTGCAGCAGCTGCTTGCAGAAGTTCCAAAGCCGATTCAACCGTCATTGCACCAGATTTATTAGCTGGAAATATATTGCTTTAAAATGTTATGACATTAATAATTACTTATGACAATAGGTTCAAAAAAGCCATAGGAAGCAAGTTTAACATACCGACATCAGCCAGCTTCTCTTGAACACTAGAACACAATTGATTTCCCTTCTCGCTAAGTTCACGTATTATTTGTTTACTTTCATCCAATTGGGGTTGCTTTGACAGATTAAACTCAGCAAGCGATCTGTTACTAGCAATTAACATTTCTTTCTCGGTTTCTAAGTCTTTAAACTGAAAGTAGTTAATAATAATACATCCATTTCAGATTTTTTGTAATTAAAAACTAACCTGTTTGTTATCTTTCACAATGTCCTCGAATTTGTCATCATTGTTCAATAACTCTTTCAGTTCTTCATTGTTCAAATGAGAAAGAAGACCCAGTGCAGCTGGAATATCAGGCTCATCTTTTGAAATGGGATTGTACATTTTTCTTGCAGAAACTTATTAAATAACCAATAATCACAAAATTTTATATACGCAACGTTTATAACAAGAGCAATGATTAAGGCCAATATTTCATTAGCGCTGTAGCGACAAGCTATGAAGCGATGAAACCAGAATAAGAGGTTTTGATTGACTGCAAATGGGGAAATTTCTGCCGTACGTTCTCTGCAGCCAATCAGAACCTCTTATTCGCGTTTAGTCGCTCCATCACTTGTCACTGTAGCGCTAATGAAACATTGGCCTTAGGCCTAGTTCAGAGGATCGATTCTATAACTCGAACCTAGTGAAAATTCTACAAGTGAGTACCTCCCGCGATTTTGTAACTTTCACTATGGTAAAAATGTGAGCTCACTTCGCGTGAAACAGAGAATTATATGTCTATGCTACGCTTTATAAATACTCAAGCTTAAACTGGAATCATATATATCTCTGTCACGAACTGTGTACACACATAAATCATGTGTCCAAAAGAGTATCTAGACCAGAAACCAAATGTCCAATATTGCGAGCTGACCGCACCGCCGCCATCTTTGCGCCGTGTCCAATTTGGACCCTTCTATTAATTGACCGACATTTAGCATTCTAGAGACGCTTGATTTCATCGACCGAAAGTACAATGACATTTTACAATCATCATCTCGAGTTAAAGATCTGTTTAAGTTGACGAATGCACAAAACAGGAGATCCGTAAATCGCGTTGATTTTTCGATTACTAAGGAAGAACGTAGGCAGTCAATTTTCCGGAAACGGAGCGCTTACGGTGCTTGCAACGATCGAACAATCTGGCAGGGCGGCAGTGCGTAGGTGGGCCCTTGAGAAGAAGTAAACATTTTAAAAGTGACGCGTCTTAGGCCCTTGAGTGGGATGTTAACGAGCCAGCCAACTGACTCTCAATTACGCGGTTAATTGACGGGATTCCGGCGTATAATCTCGGATTCAGCCACGATCGCCGTTCACTCCCTCTGTGGCCTAACCTCGAAGACAACCTGTGACAATGGGTGAGCTTACGTACCACTTTAAATTTTATCATATCATTCGAGTTTATCGTATAGATAAGTTCCTCCAAATACGATAAACGTTTCTTTCACGCCATCTACCTGCCACGCCGAAACTAATTCTTACGTTAATTGTAGTTAATGACTCTTGCGATTAGTCACCAATACTTCTTCGATGAGACACCCTATTATTCTGTAAGCTTAATCATTCCACTTTCCCCAAGTACAATTAGACGTTTTTACGGGCAGTTGTTTCATGTTGATTATCTCTCGTTTGATTGTGGTATTCCAATTAATTCTTTTAACGTAGTTTATCTACGTTAAGTGTAATCTAGATATTTTTCAGTTATTGATATGCCATTGGAGAAGTATTTAGTTTACCTGTAATTTGTTAGTTATGGTCAGGCAAAATTGTTTCCATAAGTCAGAGGAGGCTACAGTTGTAGTTCCTTTAAGGCGAAGATTAGGGAATTCGACTAGTGTAGATAGGTTTTCTAAATATGGTTTTGATGGATATTACTTTGAAGATAAATCATGGGGTAAGTTTTGTTATATCAAATATAATTAGGTAGACATGATGATATTATAATTGTTGCATTTAAAGTAGAGTTATCAAATAAATGATATATTCCGAGTTAATTGGCACAGAAAAAGTTTAGTATAATTTGAGTGTAAAATTGATTTATGCATAGAATATTTAATGTTTTTTTACACAGCACTATAATCCATCTGTCATATATTTTAACATCCACTGTTTATAGAAAGAAAACAAAACAATAATAATTTAAATCTTCTTAGGTAATATGTGCAATGATTGTATGGCCAGAGTGCCATACGCTACGCTTATTGCAACAATAATGTGCTGCTTAGGGGTTGGTATATTTTGTGGAACGATGTATAAGGGTGCCACACTTTCTGCACTAATGATGGATCAGGTACAGCTTTACAGTTTATAATTCGTAACAAACAACCTATATAATCAAAACTACGTATATTAATGGTCAATTTTTTTAAATGTATAATTTTATTATTTTATAAAGGTATTCCACTTACGTCTGGGATGGCTAGAAGCAGTACAACTGATATTTGCCACCGTCGGTGCAAGTATGGCAGCTTTAGGATTCATGATATTGTGCGTAGGATGTCTGGCTACAGGAGCTACTAGACACAAAGTATATCGAGCTTGGCGATCTAGAGTTGGTGGCCGTATTTCTTGTGCTGTTGTAAGTATTTTTATTAACGTCTACACAATAATGATGTTAGAAATTACAATTGCTTAATTATGTAAATCGCATGTATTTCAAATATTCTTTCAGTTCATGACAATCACATATATACTACAATTAGCCTGGCTCTTAATATTTGCATTCCTCGTCATAACAACACTCATCTTTACGATCTTCTGGGGTTTGTGCAGTAATCCTCGTGTTCAGTCCCTTGACCAGTGTATCGATTTCACGCAATTTGGTAAGTTTAAATACAATTGACTCAGTACGTAACTCTAAAAATATATGGTGGTTAAACAACATGCCTTTTGTTTCTCAAGATTTCATGTTCCCAAATAATACAAGGACTGAAGATATGAAAGTATGTGGTTCGCAAGAAGTGAAATTATTCTGCAAAGATTACGTTGAGAAAGCGGAGATGATGTTCATTTTGGCGACAGTAGCTTCTATGTTAGTTGTTCTCAGCCTAATCCATTACTTGATGTGCCTCTCGGCGAATTATGCGCATATTCGTGATCACGAAAAATTTCAAGAACTACAAGAGCTTCAGTATCTCCAAGATCCTGGTGATCCAGACTCACCACAACCAGGAATAGGAACCTTGGGATCTCATCATCGTGCTAAGGATAGATATTAGAATGCACTTCGTAAGATTTTCGTTATGAATTCGTTATAAAGAATGAATTCAGGCTCATGGATGTTCATCAGGAATATTCATCAGGCTTGAAAGGATTGTCTTGAAATGTTGGGTGTCATTCGATATCACATATTTACCTTTATATACATACATTCCTTCTAAGCTCTATTCATTTATCACTAACCACCGCAGCAGTTCATGTAAGAAAGGATCTTGCGGGAACACTCTATGCCGTCCACAAACTGCGACTATCATATAAAATATTTACATTATAGTATTAAGAAAGATAATGCACATTAGACATTGTGTGATCGTTAAATATCATTGTTAAAACGATTACATACTAGTATTAATCTTTAAATGTAGATTTCTTGAATTTACTTGCAGTGTGGAATTTTATGGACTCAGCACATACATATACAACTCTTATTCTTACGAGTCTTTTCAACATCGAGCTAAATTTCTTAGAATATATTTTTATTTATGTAGGGATTAGTGGATTTAGGTTCGATTCCTACTTCCAGTCAGGGGCCAATTGTACAAAGACGGGACAACACGGTTTACATCCCTTCTTAAAAATATAAGTGAACTTTCGGCTGTATAAATTTACAACTAATTTCGCCTCGACAATGGCTTTGTACTATTACAAAAAAGTGTAAAAATTGACTCATATTGATCTGGTGATCTAACAACGAAAGAAATTGATTTTTATAGATTACCACTTTATATTTTTACACTTCATGCCCTTACGGTTCTTCATTATGTAGGATAATTGAATGTTCTACATTGTGCAAATGTTCGCTAATGTTGCTGTGTACATACTGTTAAGTGTGTGCGATGACATTGGTTTGATCCATAGAAGACCGATCTTTTATATTTGTTTTTATTTTGGTGTACAGAAAGTTTGTACATTTAATCAATGTACAAAAATTTTGTATATTTAAATTACACAGACAGCGATACGCTATATTTTTTATTAATACGTTGGTATAAATATATTATTAAGTCTTTTTAACATATTTTTATGCGATTTACATATATTTATCTTTTGTATTCGGTTTTATATGGTAAGCGAAGGACGACAATGATATCTTTGGAACGTTAATTCAAAAAAGATAGTTCATTTATTCCTTTTACACAGGTGACGTTTTTTAATACATACTTTACGTTCCCCTCTTTTTGTAATTATTGTAACCTTAAGTATTGTGTTCTGCAGGTACTTGTCTATCATTTTGACAAATCGTTAAAAATATGACAATTATTGTCAATAATGAATACGATTAAGTGTTAAGTCGTTTAAGTAGACGTTAAAGAAATACAGAAATATATATATACATATAAAACTCAGAAAGTTTAAGAAAATGACAACATATAGAGAAACTAAATCGCAAACACAAAGACGCACAATTAAAGTGTGCCAAACCTAAGTGCATCTCTATTCTATATATTATAGAATTGTTGAAAAATTGATTATAGTATTTCATTCAAATTAAAAATGTAATGTTTTCGTTACTTTGCATACAATTTCATTGCATTTTGTTTACTTAAAATTTTTTATATGCAGAAATATGGATAAATGCGAATAAAATGTATCATTATAGCCTATCCAAAAATATGTTGCTTTCGCTCTTCTGTGTGTAAGAAAAAAAATGGTATTTTAACGTGACAAGATATACCATGTTTAGCGGAATTGCACTTAGAACTATCGTCGATTTATTTATAATTGAATATATATATATATTTATGTATGTATATGTATAAACGTATGTATTTATATATATACATATATTTAATATAATGAAGAACTAACATATCGCTAGATTGACACATTCCATCATTACTGTAATACATGCATTTTTACGCATGACAAGGAAGCGTCTTTCAAGTCGCTCAATTCTAGGTACAAATCCTGATAATTGAGTTTAACTTCCAAAACTGTAATTTGGATGGTGACTGAGTAAATAAAAGTAATCCTTAAGTACACATTTCTTAATCTTACTAAATCTTTTTCATTGATTTTCTTCATCAATAATCTGAATGTCGAATTTAATGTTTGTAAAAGGATTTATTAAATAACATACATTCATATTTGGAAGATTAATTATATTAACTTTGTACAATATAGAACTAATTTACATTTGTACAATATGTATTATGAAAATGTATTCAATCATCTTCAAATTGAAGATCCAACTCTAAATCAAGAGTACTGACTTCCTGAAGAGTATTTATGAAGGTGTATCGCGAAAAAATCATGTACAGTTTTCTGTACCAAACATACTGAGACTTATGAGCCGCCATAGCATTCTGGAAAAACAGTTTTATTAATGAATAGCTTATCTAACAAAATACGTATTTATTGTACAATGTATCCGAATGGAATTAAGATGTAGGTTCCAAAAATATGGGTTAACTTGTACTTTGCTAATAGCAATTAGCATTAGAGAACATGAAAAATAAAACGAAAAATTTAATTATTGTACATTTATAAATAGTTTTATGTAATGTAAACAAGATGGTACGATTGTAATCTTATAGAAAGAAATAGTTTACATTCAGCACAGACGCATTCTATTTAATAATGCTTTTCAAATATTTTCTTTCGCTAGTTTATATAGACAATAGAGTGAACAGGATTAAAAACAAACCCTTATATTTTTTCGTTGTTCATGAGTAATGAGGTACCAATTTGAAGCCAAGAGCAGGCTAATCGGCAAATCTAATAACTGGATGTACTTTCTAACAATATTCACGGACTCTAAGACATAGAATTTGCAATCTGAAAATGTAATTTAATTGTAGTTTAATTTGTCAATGTAAAGAAACAAGACACGTGGAATTGATACTGACATGGCGGTACCTTTTTTTCCATGCATAATGATGCTATTCCATAAAAAAGAGAAATATGATTTTTATGACCGCTTATACCATATTTGTCAAAGGTCACAACAGCATTAATTTTATAACTTTCTACATGTTGTAGAATGTTCCCAGCTACGACATCTTCGGACCATAATACCTTAGAATCATCTGGCAAATCGGTATCCCTAAAGTTACACTGTTTTCAGAAAATAACATACTTTTAACAATAATAATCTGCATTTCCATAAATTGCACAACCTGTGTCCTCACATTAATATTGTTATATTAGATTCTGGAATGCCCAATACATTTGCACAATTCCATAATTCTTCCTTCCGTTGTTTATTTCCCCCTGCAAGCATAATTGTGTTATAAACAATGATAATCTACATCATTTAATAATGTCTGTTTTGATGTTAATGTCATTAAAATATTGCACAATTAGTTACAGGTAGTTATTGCCTTAGCAGTATTTTGTATTGCTTAACAGAAGTGTGATCATTCCTGAATTAATTAATCGACCCGCTTAGCAAGATGTATCGAGTTCAGAAAATTATTTATTATTTAAGTTTGTAATGTAATACTTTTGGATAGCAATATATAATAAGACATATACATATACCTATTGTCAAGCAGAGAAGATAGATTTCACTAGCTTTTTGTTTAATGACCGAATATAAGAATGGGCCAAAGAACATGACTTCGTCATCAGGATGAGCGGTCACTAACAGAATTCTAGCCGGTGGACCTGCGAGTTGCCACGCTTCATGGCTAACTCTTTTAAGGATAGCATAAAGAAATATACAAACGCAAACGTAGGCAACGATAGCAATAAGAACTTGCAAAGAGATCTCTTTTATGTACCACCACCACCACGAAATAATTTCATCTAATTCCGTACTGAGATACCAAAGCACAGATTCGAAGTCAATCATGATTATTATTGCTTAATAATCGAATAGAAAATACTGTTTCTCATACTGAGATCAAATTACGCCACATTTGATAAAAATGTACCAAATTGTCTTGAATCGAGGTTATGTGACATGCCGCACGAGAAAACAGAGTAATATCATACTTTAAAGTTTTCTACATGTTGCTCATATAGTCACTTAAAACTTTATAAGCAATGGAAAGTTACATTAACTTGATACAATGACTTCAATTTATTGTGTATTTAAAATAATTCTTTCCTATAAGTACATAAATAACTACATTCTAAAGATGTGACCATAGGTCTGAGAAGAAATAGATGGAACTTTGGTCATTGACTATAAACCATAGACGAAGTTGGACGAGCCCAACTCAGAGGGGCAAGTGCTGGAGTAAGTAAGGGGGAAACCCTTACTGTTCATGCATGAACCCCTTATGTTCATGCATAAATTTCTAAACAATTTTGAACACAAGCGCCAAAATTCCTTAAAAATATTCGCATGTTTACACATGCGTTAAAAGATGTTTATAACCTAACGGATACTGTATATCGTACTTAGCCTCATAAATGAGCCTGTCTGAATTAGGCCTAAGGCCCTGCTCCACAACGCGAGTTAACGGGAGTTTAATTGGTTTACAGCTGGTTTAAACTAGTGAAAGTGTGAACTAGTTAAACTTTAGTTAACTCGAGTTATGGTGTAAAACCTCGTTTACACTTCACTTAACACTAGTATTTATAAATCCGGCGTTAGGTAGCTTGTGTAAATGTACTCAATGATCACCTTTGAATGCATGTCATTACTGGTGGAGTTATTTTAAAAATGGCCACTACCATCATGCAGTTGAGATCTCAATACAATTGGCTACTCATTATCGTTAATTAAAGTAAGGAAGATAATGATGTGAAGAATACAAGACCTTCGTTTTGCGTGAATGAATGGGCAATGCTTAAGCATTGACCATTCGAATCGTGTCAAAGTCAAGTTTATAATCTTACATCATTCATCAGTTTAAATTATCGGTAAGTTACCAATATTTAATGTAATTTTAGGACATTAGGGACTAATGTCAGCATAATCACCTTTAGTAATAAATGTAATCTTATCGATGCCTTAATGTCATGCTTCAGGAATGCCGGAACAGTTGGAACTGCAACATTTAGTTGACGGGGACGAAGAGAGTGAAATTGCTATTCATAACAGGAATTCTGTGTTACCTATTCGGCGATCATGTCCTTACCTTGGTTTGATTCTAGCTACGTTATCATCTCTATTCTTTTCTTTATGCAGCGTAATCGTGAAAGGATTAGTTGACGTACATCCTATGGAACTAGCAGCATTTCGATTTGTTGGGGTACTACTCCCAACAATACCAATTATTATATATAAGGGAGAAGATCCCTTTCCTAAGGGACGTAGGCTCATGTTAATATTACGAAGTTTTGTAGGCACTACTGGTCTTATGCTAAGTTTTTACGCGTTCAGGCATATGCCATTGGCAGATGCATCGGTAATAGTTTTTTCTGTACCTGTGTTTGTAGCAATATTTGCAAGGATTTTCTTAAAAGAACCTTGTGGATTGTTTAATGTCATTACGATATGCTTAACACTAATTGGAGTCATCTTGATTACTAGGCCTCCTATAATTTTTGGGCATAGCGTAGGGTCATTTGCAAACAGCAATGCAGAAAGAGAACATACTGACGTTAAAGGTGCTGTTTCAGCTTTTGCTGCAACATTATTCGGAGCAAATGTATATATTTTACTTAGAGCTTTAAAGGGACTTCATTTTTCAGTAATTATGACGAATTTTGGTTCCTTTGCTTTAGTACAAACTATAACTGTAACGTGGGCAATCGGTGCCCTTTGCTTGCCTCGGTGTGGTATGGAAAGACTTTTAATCGTAGCATTAGCTTTGTTCAGTTTTGGAGGACAAATCTTACTAACTCTAGCTTTGAAAATGGAACAGGCAGGTCCTGTAGCTATAGCGAGATCTGCAGATATATTGTTTGCCTTTTTTTGGCAAATCTTGTTTTTTAATGAAATACCAAACCGTTATTCGGTAGGTGGTGCAATCCTAGTCACAAGTTCCGTTTTACTTACAGGCTTAAGAAAATGGGCTGTTTCGTTGCCTGAAACTTCGAATGTTAAGAAATGGCTTGGTATTTTAGCAGTGTAAATTATTGTTTGAATATTCTTTATTTTTCTTTATTATGATAGATTTATTTGGAATGTTCGAGGTGCCAGTTTCAAGACTGTGTTTAACATGATGAAAGTATCATCAGGACTTCTACTTTACACATTACTAGCTAAGAAATTCAGAAAAGAACTTTTCTAAATTATAAGAATATGTAGATTTCCAATGTGGTTAGTACTTCAAATCGAGAAGACGATACAAATGAATTGAACATTTAGACAGAGAAGAAATAAGTAATAATGTCAGAACCAAATTCACGTGCATAGTTCACATAGTACTGCACGATGTATGTATGTAAATATACTTAAAATTTTGCAAAATTCCAGACTGAATATAGAATAAGCAAAATGCTAGCCAGACAACTTCCTCTATCCAGTATGGTTCGAAGCAATAACTTTTGATACTTAGATGTCACATTTTTTTCATATGGGACAAAAACTATTAATGCTAAACAGAAAGTTATATAAGAATTTCTTAACATATTGCGCTCAAAGAAAATAGACAATATTTCTCTGTGTTACCTTTTGAAATTAGTTATCGCCAAAGAACATTACTCTTCTGAGATGTTAAAAAAAAAGAAAACTAGTTTCTAATTCCAATTATGTAAAATGTTGAATTTTAGTTTAGATTTATAAAATAGAGGGTGTCCTGTAATTGATCATTCCGTTCAAAGATTATAATACAAATAAATAAGTGGAGTAATAAATTACGGGGCACTTTGTATAATGCTATAGACATATATCATATTTATTTGGTAACCAAAGTTGCTACTCCTTCAATAATAGGTAAATTTGAAGGGTAATAGCTCTGTAAGTGACTAAATTGTTTAGAACTCGCTTAATAAGTACTATGTTTGTGATATGTCAGTGTACCAAATATTACGTAATTGTGCCATAGGTTAAACGTAATAATATTAGAATGTTATGCTTCGATTTTATTAAACGAATTAAATCTCTAAAGAAAATTTCATAGCACATGCATCAATGTTTTCAAGTAATAACTACTAAATAATTATCGTTTATATAAATACCTAACTTGCTAATTTTCTATCGACGCTACTTTTGACAATATATAAGATTTATTATGGTCTATCAGCTTCAAATGTCTTCGCGCAGATAAATTTAAACATAAATTATTATGTTATATTAATATAACTCTTTTATGGTTTTGATTCGATTAGGATATATATCTTTATACTCAGAATTTCTGTTTGGAATCAAATTTTTATAATACATTACTTTGTTACCATTCACCCAGTCAGGTATATAAAATAGTAATAATTTTTGCTAGAAATGTATTTTTAATAAAATTCGTAAAATGATTAAAATAATATTTAGTTATTGGAATGCATCATACAAATAATGTTTATTTTTCACACCGAAGACAGTCATTGAAAATGTAGAAGGTATCGGGAATAGGTACAGGCATAAAAGCCTCCACTTGAATACTTGTAAACCTTAATATGTAATCATTTCTTTATCGCACATTTCTTATATGCCCAAGAGTAGAATATTATAAATATATTTATGAACGAATATTTTCCTGCGTTTTCACTGCCTAATTATGCAACTGAATGCGTGAAGTTTATTACTATTAATTATAGCTTCATACCTCCAATCTATACGGTTGTTCACATAAATATAATTTTTAGTTTAAACACTCATGGTAATTTTACTCTTGACCTTTGACTACATATTAACGGTATCAGTTTTTATAAAACAAGTAAAAGAAGTTCATCTTTCGAACTTTAATTATATCTTGCGCGAAGAGATATACATTTCAAAGATAAAGAAATAAATTTGAACATCTTACGATTGTAAATAAATACTTAATTTATTTGTTTTGCAGTAAATACTTACGTTCGTTCGCTTATTCTACTTTTCTCAATTCACTAATTTAATTAATTTACATTATTTAAAGATTGTCCTAGAAAAAATTTTGAGCGTGTCTACGCTCGACCAAATTGGTACTAATTAATGCAACTGACCCACAACTCAGAATCAGCTGACTCAGCAATCTCTGTAGCAATGCAAATGTACACAAAGACGACCTCGCAGTCAGTTACTTCGTATCTGTTCGTATCTTTCTTGCAGTAAATCTCCCCGAATATGAACAGCATGTAAGAGGTTCGGTCGTCAGTCGCCCTTATCAGAATTTATCTGTATCTGATATCAGTGTTTCTCGAGCAAACAATGCAGACATTTTTATTCACGGTTCCACTTTAAGAGAGGTGCTTGTTTCCGACCTATCATTGATCGGTCGAGCGTATTTTAATTAGACATGTGCATTTTGTTTATTTACCGCGATCCAAGTGCCGATACTGGCTCGTATCGTTTGATTATCGCTGCGAATCGTGATGAATTTTATAATCGACCGGCTACCTCGGCGCATTGGTGGGAAAAACATCCAATGTGCCTAGGAGGTATGTTGCATGTGAATTTTATTTCCTAAATGTAATTTTAAGAGAGATGGTAGACGTCACAACTTAATTAGTGACATTTTAAATAAATCTATCGTCTCATGTAAGTTGCAGCTCGGTGAAAAGATAATTTTAGAGATAACAGGAGGTAGTTTCGATTGTAAATGTTGTTCGATTTAATTGTGATTAATAAGGGTATTTACTATCATTTTAATAATATCGTTAGGATTGGACATGGAACCTGGAAGAGAAGGTGGTACCTGGCTGGCGTTGTCGTCGGAAGGTCGTGCTGGAATTGTTTTAAATCGTACCGGGGAAAGTAAGGCATCTAATACAAAAGGTCGAGGATATCTCATTACCGATTATATTACTTCGAATGAACCAATGACGTCGTACTTGAATAGGCTGCACAAAATAAATCAAGATGGCCAGCCGTACAATCCTTACAATTTAGTTCTTCTTGAATTTCAGTATGTAAATACATGATTATATAAACTCAAGTAAACTTGTTATCTATATCAGTGAATATTGAATTTGTGATATATTCACTATATTATTCTCAAGTCGAACCTTTCATTTCTTTTAGAGATGCCAGTATTAACGGGCTAAGCAGTTCGGATAATTCTCCCGGTCCTCAAACATTTCAAGACCGTGTTCTTGGTTTTGGTAACAGTAGCTTCGAACATCCTTTTAAAAAAGTTGAAGTAGGAAAGGAGAAGTTCAGTAACATTGTTGATAATGCAACTGTATTGGAGCAGGATGTACTGATCAAGGACTTGTTACATTTTTTAAAGTCTAAAGAGAGGTCAGTTTAGCAAGGGGTTAGTATTTTAATTATATTATTACTTAAGACTATATCACACAAACACATGCAAATCTTTAGATGTTTACCTGATCCTGAGTTACAACGAAGAGCTCCAAATGGGTTTAACGAGTTGAGCTCAATTTTCGTTGACACAGGAGCTGCTGGGTACGGCACTAGAACACATTCGATAATACTGGTTGACGGAGCAAATCAAGTTACATTTGTAGAAGAAACTCTTATGCCAGATCAAACATGGAAATTGCAATCTTTTAAATTTCCTCTTAAACGATGAAACTTCAAGTAAGAAAACAAACCTTTTAGATAATATCACGATTCTAGTTATTTTTTATTGGTTCGCATGGATGTTACCGAAATAACACTATTATGTACCAAAGTTAAAAAATGTTACGAGTTCTAGAAATATGCTGAAAGCAACGACAGTATCTTTTATGTTTCTATTTCGATTTATTTATGTATAGGCGGTAATTTTAATCGGAATCTAATCCTTCGTGGATATCACTTTCAGATTCACTGCCTAGAATTTCGGATGACATATTTTCACTAGTGTCTTCTGTTGATAAATCAGTTGCTCTCGTTGGTTCTTCGGAAGATTCGCTCTGCAACAGAGATAAAAATGTTATTAACATATGATGGATATTGATTAGTCTTACAAGGAATATGAGCGTGCAGGGAAATGAAGGAAAAGGATTTTATTGGAGAGCACCACTGTAGCTGCCATTAATTATAAAAATCCAAAAATAATTTATACGCCAGCCATGAATGTGGCCCGCACCTATAGAGATTCCTTATGTGTATTGGAAATTTTAAGATAAAAACGGCACAAAGAAAAAGAAGGGTTAAATGGAAAATTTGAGGAGAAAAGGATTAATATAACAGGAGATTACTCACAAAAAGTAAGAGCGCTCTTATACCGTTTATGTGAAGAATCCTTCCACGAAAATTTCAATAATGAATGTTAGTTTAAACAATTTAGAATAATGTTTAAATAATAAAAGAAACACTAATAAGAGAACTACAAAAATAAGTAAAGGTGCTAAAGGCCAAAGTGTATACGCACGCTTGTTGAAACGGTTTGCAATACAATGCGCGTAATGTACAGAATATAAAATAATTATTTTAAGCCATTGTTTGTTTCTTTTACTAACCTGTGATAGTATCTCACAACCATCCAAGTTCTTATTAACTAAGTTGCCCATCCAAAAAGCACCTGAACTATTGTTTAGAACTAGCATCCCTTTTACACGGAAGAGTAACTGTTCTGCTAGTGATTTAGCAGCCGGTATGTGTTTTGTTAATGCTGTATCCTTTTGTTCCCTACTATGGCAACAGACTGTGTTTAAGTATTTTGTACCCCCTGTAAAATACAAGATGCGGTAAAGGATTATACAAATCGGGTTATGATTTATTATACAATAGAATACGTATGATACCTTGTATCGATTTTAATATTCCCTTAATTTCCTCTGTTTGATATTTTAAATTGTATTCAAGGATCGGGATACCAGAACTAATGAATAGTTTGAGCAATATCGGAATGTATTTAAGGTACAATAGCAAATTAGACCTGGTTTTCAGAGTTTTGCAAATGTCGATTATTTTTCGTAAATTCTCCGAAGCTGTCTGCCATATTTTTATTCTTTGCGGATCGCTGAAAAAATACATAATATATATTGTATGATCAGAAAGGATAATTCATATGTTCAGAATTTACAAAAGAATGTGAACTTACGTTTTTGCCGTTAGCAATGCTGCTTTTACACCTTTGATTAATCCATCGAATATCTTTTTGAACAATAGATGAAAATTATTTCTGTTTACCGTTGGCAGTGTTTTCAAACTATCCTGCGGTTTTTCCAGTTTTTCGATTTCTTCCGGTAGCCATTCTAGTAACTTCGTTACTGTAGCTAATAGATTTGGCTCATAGTCGATCCAACAGTTTAATAACCCATTGACAGCAATTTTGTAACTAGAAGTAGTATGTTTTTCTTCAGGCCATTCAAGATTTAGAAATCCAAATGCCATGTTTGCTAAAATTACGAAGTAATAATATTTTTATGTGTTGATTGATCATTGAAAGGTTATATGCAGTTACCGTTCTTATTTTGTGGCGAAAACAGAAAGACGTTATGGTGCATATAATACTCGAGTAAAATTGTATCTAATAAAAGTAACGAACGTTACCTAGTTTATCTTTATGCTGTTGTGTGAAGGTTTCAGAATGTTTCATTAGAGATTGACATAAATGGACAAGTGCAAGTGCTACCGATATTTGCGTAGCGATATCAACCAGTGATTCGCAATATTTAAATGATTCCGCAACAAGCTCTTTGCTAGAACGTAACTGTGCTTTCGATTCATCCATCTGACTTGCTATTGTTCTTAGTGCCTCTAAAAGCGATATTTAATTATAGTAATATACATTGAACGTCACTCGGTAGAGGTGTCATTATTTACAGAATAAATACTAACCGCGTAGCATTGCATTATACATTGTACTTTCAAACCCTTTCCATTTGAAGATTGTTGTCAACAAACGAGCAATTAATCGCACAGCTTCTCTGTTTTGAGCGTCTTGTGTGACTCGAAGTTCCGAGACTATGTGTTGTAGTTTACTGCAAATCTTTGGTAACAGATGAACTAGATCTCGCATAAACGTCTCCGTTGAATCAGCTTCCAACATTCCTGAGAGTTCCTTTACGATAAAGCATACTTGAGCTATGGAAATATTCTGTCGATTTTCCAGCGACACTTGAGATAAATGTAAATCCATCTTCATGTCCAAAAGATGGACGACCTATAAATAGTCGTTGCAAAATATAAGCCGAGGGCAGAACAAATTTTCCTTGTTACCTTCTGCTAAAATCTAGAATTATTTCAATCCGTTCGCATTGATAAAAATTTAATTCTATACCATACCTTCGCGTCGAGGCGTCGAAAATAGATAGGATTCTTCATGGTTAATTCAGAACCTATTTCCCAGGATTCCCATTCCGGTAAAATATTAGTCCTTTCTAAATTACCCTTTTTGCCTTGTTTACTAATCTTCTTCTCAATTTTAACAAACGGCGGTATCGGAAAACGGTGAAAATATGTCGGCGGTGGCTGATAGTTCACGTCACAAAGCCTCAACATAGTATTCAATTCTCCTTGCATACGCATTAAATCGTCAAGACGTTGCAGGACTTGCTTCTTCAACAAGGCGTCAGTTTGTGTAACAAAGCCACTAATTATTTCTCGAAACCTATTGAAGTAACGAGAATTACTTTGACTTCATTTGTAAAATATTAAGGTGATATGAAAGAGTCAGCCTATATATATATTTATTATATTTATAATATATTTATTATAATGTATATATATGTATCTGAGAAGTCAAATCGTTGGGGAAAATATTCTCCTAATTGGGTCTATCGAGTCGATTAGATGAATTTTATTTTATCACCTCGATTCAATTTCTCAGCGCCTTTCATATCCTCTTAAGTATACGTAAGAAAAGAAAATCAGGTATTCCAGTTGTAAATTGTATCGTCACAACCAATCAACGATATCCCTTACATTTTATCATTTATTGTTTAGAAATATATAGAGATATAAGACAGAATGTCAGTTTTGTTATCGTTAGTTCAGAACTTACCAATTTATGCAGTACATCATTTGATCGAGTACAGATGCTTCAGGGATTTCTAAATCCGGTGGCATTAAAATGGCACATCCTAAGAGGGCATTGATATCATTTAAGTTCCCATCTTCACTTAAACACAGATTACATATTCGAACGGCCCGAAATAAAGCTGGTAAAACTGATCCGGTTTTTCCATCTCCAAAAGACAACAGATTAATGTCGGGCTCTTTTTCAGCTTCATTCAAGCCAAACCGAGGTACGAGGTTTCCTCTGTAAAAGCAATAAAAGTAATTTAGAAATTTGCTAAAAATGCGCGTATTCATGTATCAGTAATATATACTTGTAATCTTCTTGACTGATCATGAACTTATTTATAAGCTCTTGTTCGAATTCTTCTTTAAACGCTTGGATGAAATTGATATCAAAATTTGTTGTATTTGTAATGACTTGTGCTATCTGATCATAAAATAGAGCTTGCGATCTTGGACAATTTTTTACACCGATAAGTACATTTCCTAAAAAAAATTAGTAATTTGTATTAGTGCTAGGGAAGTGAACAAATTTAATACGTCTATTTACATATTCGATTGTCATTAAAATATTATCTTATATGATTCTTTTTATAATATAGATTCCTTACTGAATCTATCGACAGCAGTTTCTTGGTTTTCTGGTTTTCCAGCTAAGTGTTTTATAGCCATAACAGCTCCTAAAACTCCTTTACTTTTTATCCTAAAACCAAATTAGTCGTTGATTTAAGGTAATTATTAATTGTATACACATAAATTTATATTCTTTTAAACCTTACAGAGGTTTGGCGTTAGACAATTGCTTTTGCATTAGCATAACTAGATCGTCCTGTAAAGCATTTGATGCCGAAAAAGAATTCGTGCACAAGCCGTGTAACAAATCATTCAAAGTAGCAATTTCTTCAAGATCAAGATTGTCAATCATTTCTAGTAAAATCTTTAAATGATTACAATGCGCTTGTAAATAAATTCGTTCGTCATCATTGAGTGCCATCTTGCAAAGGACTGCAAGGGCGTTTTTGGACGTGCGATTGTTGTTGCCTATAACAAACAGGATCTTCTCTAAAATTTCTCTTTGTTTATACGGCGTATCTGCTTGACTGACGAACTGATAACGAAACCATTCTATGGCGAATTCTACATAAAGTGGATCGTCTGCTTTTAAGAGAGTACTCGCCAATATTATTGCTGCGGGCTGTAAATTACGGGCTACCTGTAAAAGTTCATTTTATTTATAACTCAGAATTATATTTCTACGTACTATTAAGCAAAATTAAAATAGCACAAGTGTTATCAAACAACATAAAAAACAAAGTAAAGGAACGGTTTATTGATACATCTGTTAATTTAATTAACTTGGAACATATAAGTGGAATTAGTCGTTTTAGATATGGTTATATAAAAATCAATTATATAATAAGAAATAGAAACAAATCGAATTACCTCTTTGTATTCATTGTATAGTATGTTTAACAAGTTGGTTCTATAAAGCCCGGAACGAACATGCTGCTTAAGTATCGATTCGGCACTTTTTCTCTTTGCTGTTCCACCAGAAAAGATCAGTAAAATAATGATTATATCCAGTGGTTTAGGATCTTTTTTTACGTTTTTCACAACCATCATTGCAGTCTTCGCCACTTCTTTCGATACAGCAATGCTTGTCTTTAGAGCATTGACGACCAATACTTGATTTGTAAAACACTCATTCATGTTTGTTTTAATAAGTTGTTGCATCTCGAGTGCACGAAGAGAGTTCAAGGTCTTCATACACGTATTTACTGTTGAACAGTCAGTAAGAACAAAACTGAAAATTGACTGACATTAGTATTCCGCTATTTTTATATTTCATATAACTTCAATTAATGGGCTATATACATCTAGATTAAGAAAAATTACCTTACAACGGCAGGAAACGCACTCATGTGTAAGTTACTCTTGAGCATGTCCAATACTTTTTCTCTCAATTCGTCCATGAATTCTTTGCCAAGAGTTAAATTAATTAAACATTCAAGAACAACATTAGTCAAACTATTGTTTGTACTCATTAATTTACACAGTATTTCAGCAATCGTGTGGTGCTGTGCATCAGTAACAATGTCCGGAAGAAGAAATATCAGTTCACGTTGAAACCACTCCGGACATGATTCTAATAGTTCTTCGAGTCTATTTGTTAAATTTTCTGAATCACTTATCATCTCTAAAAACCGAAATTGTTGTAGTAACAAATTAGCCCAAGGAACATCATCTGCAGAATCACTGAAAAGAATGATATTAAAGAAATAAGTACAAGAATGTGATTCCTATAATTAATAAATTAATGATTTGTTTTTTAATGTTAAATGGTTCTTTTCACAATAAGCCTTACGCAAGTAAAATTGAATTGAGTAAATGTTGTAGTAAACAATTAATCATAGCAGTTTGTAGTGGTGGAACTTGCAACAAAATCCGCACTAAGGACATTTGATTCAAGCTACTGTAATTTCCATCATCTTTTGATATCTTAATGTTGTTAATTGCAACTTGAAGATTTTCAGTAACTTGAATATGTTCTTTCCATAAATCTATGATTTCCTCGGTCTCAAACTGCCCGGAATATAATAATTCTGATAATATTTCCTTTGTTGCTGGTGGATCATTGTCTAAAATAATATATAAATGTGTATTGTAAATACAAGGGCATAGAATTTTATTATCGTAGTAGTTTCTTACTAAGCAGGTAGCAGTGATCCTCGAGATCTGACATGATTCCGGCATCATTGAAGAAACTTATAAGTTTATTTTGCGTTTGTCCTTTTGTTAATTTTGTATGTTTCTTGTTTTTCGTATTTATTAAAGGAGGCGCAGGATTTGATTTTGTTGGTTTGGTGAATGCGTATTCCTTTTGAGTACTGGATATAATATTTGAATTTTTGAAAGGGCTTGACATAGAACTTCCGGAAACATTTAAATCATTAGGTTCTTTATCCATGTCTCTGGGCATACTTGTCTCATGCCAAATTTCTTTTTGGGATGGACCACTTATCCCTAAGGTACGGGGTATAGATTTTTCACGTTCTTTGGGTGTTCGTTGAGTCAAATCCAATTGACTTTTTTTTCTCTTAGGAGGTGGACTTACTACCGTTGAATATAATGGTTCTTCGTCACTGTTTATTGTTTTGGTATCCGGCTGTGATTTTTTTCTTTTATTTGGAGTAGAATTATCATTGCAACTTATTGTTCTTACAACGCAGTCTTCACTTTTTGAGGATAATTGGCTTAACAATGAATTTGTACCTTTAATTAAACCAAACTTTGATTTAATCTTTCGCTTATCCATAATACACTTTTACTTGACAAGCTACGCATTTGACCTTTTGGTAACAAACTTAAATTATTCATTCATTGTAAAATCTGAAAATAAATTTCATTAAAAGTAATTGGTTTACTAACATTAAAAATAGTAAGATAAGGTTTTTTACCATTATCAGATCTCAAGTCAATTTGGAGTATAATTTTAATTTATTTTTGCTGCGCAATAGACGTTTTTTGTCATCCCAAAAAACTTCTGCAGTCCAAAATTTAGCTTAAATATAAATTTCAAGTCTGTTTGACATCTAATAACAGAAAAAAAACCTAAAATAATTATCTCAATGAAAGATATAATTAAAAGAAAATGCAAAAGAGAATTATAATAATCGAAACCAAAAAAAAATATTAATTTTTATTTATTAAAGGCAGCGTTGACCTTTATAATCCTAGTAACGATGTAACAATTTTATCACTTGATTAAAAACTAGTACTTACACACATATATGTATTATAAATATTTTGAGTGGTTTAAAATTGTGTAGTAGCGTACAAATCTACCGGCACTAAGTTCAAACGATACATGTCAACTTTCTAACACACGAGTTATACAAAACACGTGACTGTTCTACAAATTATAAAAATAACAGTTTATAACCCGAGAATCGCGAACAAAATTGAAATACACACTCTAAATCATACCCATGTCTAATCTGTTTTTAAATAAAAAACACTCCACTACTCCAACAATACGTATGAATCGCGCAGCCCTGAACACATGGACATAGGGATATAGGGACTTTATCATAAATACCTAGACCTCGCATAGCAGTGGAAGGGGTAAACTCGAATATATATATTTATTTATCAATGAACTATCTATCTATATATATGACTAGCCGCAAGACAGAATTTTTAATGAGATAATCAGCTCGTCTCAGAACACTTCAAGGTCTAACAATGGGATATTGTTAATTTCTTCCCGTTCTTTGCTGAGTTGCATGTCGTCCATCTACAGCATTCTTCATATTGGAATTTACTGGTTTTCTACGATATTCAACGGTAAACTATTTTGTTTACGTAATATACGTGAAAAAGCTCTAAAAATGGGGAATTACCCAACCCTGATTATAATTGTCCGGATTATGCTATAGTTTTGGCTCGACTGTACTATAATTCACGGGGTTAGAGTTGGCAACACTGGCGCGGGGATATCCAATAGGAAAATGGCCGTCGTTCTGGGAAGAAAACACCGAGCCTTGCTACGGACCATCGGCAAGGCGAATTCACCCGGCTTCACCCCCACTCGGTAGGCTCCCTCACAGGAGAGCGGAGGAGAGACAATCGGGGACTCGCGCAAGTATACTGTGTGCCTCTTTTGCTTTTTGACTTTTCCTCCGGTTTTCCAGTCGTCCGCGCGCCCCTTGCCCTCCCCCGCGGTAAGAGCGGCACGGTAGATTAGCACTATGTTGCGAACGAAGGGAATGTTGCGTACTTGCAGACTCGTGGCCAAGTCTTCGGAGCGTCAGGATATCGGCAAGAGATGGCTGTGCAAACTGTTGGTAAGGAAACTCGAACCGACGAAAGAGTCCCACTCACGGATGCTCTCGGACAAGGGAATCATTTACGCGCTAAGCACGCACAATATACGTCCAGACTCTGTCGACAAGTACCTGGCGAATTAGTGAGTGAATTATAAACATGACCACTCCGGCACGCTCTTCAGCTTTTGCGAATCGGGTGCAGACATATGTCGGTACGACTCGAGGAGGAGGCGTTGAAAATCTATTAGGGGTTTCCCTATCGTAAGGAGATTAGGCTTTTGGATGGAAAGCATCGGTTGTCCTGGATGTGTCGAACGTTGCACGCTCTAGAGCCTGATCGCATCTCTGTCCTTTGTCTTGACAGATATCCATGCGATCAAGCTTTGCCCGGGTGCTTTCGGAGCGCTGGGGTTTTAAGATTTCTTGGTCTATGTTCGCAATCATCTGGATCTAATTGTTTTCGGTATTACAGCGAGCAATACGTGAATCTAATTCACTCGAAGAAACCTGAATTGAACTGTGAGCTGATCGGGTCATGGATGGTAGAAGTTGGAGATCTTGACCAAGCGTTTCATTTATGGCAATATACCGGTGGCTTCGAGCCCATCGACCGTGCACAGGCCGTGCTTGGAAAAGATGAGGTATGATTTGGTCAACTGGGTGGCGAATAGATATGCTGGATACAACTTGGAGTTTCGTTTTAGTCTCACCAGAAATTGGTCAAGGAGCAAGGGAATTACTTGAGGTCTCGGCATTTGCAACACCTATTGGCATTTAGTTATTGGCCTCAGCCGAAAAGTAGAAGTGGCTCGAATAAGTACGAAATTCGTAGTTACACTCTGAAGCCAGGTACGATGATAGAATGGGGTAACAATTGGGCAAGAGCTATAAATTATAGACGTAACAACGACGAAGCCTTTGCCGGTTTCTTTTCACAAATCGGACGACTCTATAATGTACATCATATTTGGTGTAAGTAATACCAGTGTTATGGAAATAGGTCTGAAAATTAGTGTTCGAACGTAGCAGGATCGGTCATTTCACAATCTTATATTGTAGGTTTCAAAGATCTTCAGGCTCGAAAAGAGATTCGAGAAAACGCTTGGAGAACGCCTGGCTGGGATAAATGCGTGGAATACACTGTACCATTAATACGTGAGATGCATTCTCATATATTGAATCCTACTTCTTTCTCTCCCACAAAGTAACGTTTCTCTGTGAGAAATCACTTTGCATTTGTATCATATAAGTATGCTATTGTAATACTGTAATACTATTGTAAAAAAAAAAACATTTACCATTATACTGTATATCTAGTAAGTGCAGAATGCAAAGTCCTAGAGAGACGAAAGTTTGATCGAGCGAATGTGTACATACATGTCTGGTCGTATGCAAGAAAAAGAAAGATACGATTAATCAGTTTTTGATTTAATTTTATCAGGAATGAGATCAAATTATTATGATTTGTAGGGAATTTGTCAACCAAAGCACAACATGAATGAAAATATAAATAGAGATCTCTATGAATAACAAGTGTTATTTCCTTCTCATCTCGGTTAATGGCGTCAACTGTACTGTGTTGATTTACCGGTACACAGTAATTGACGCTTGTAAATTTTTCCATATGGGGCATTAATGTGTGCATTACTTATCGATGTAATATTTTCAATTTTTATTATCTAATCAGCATAGTGGTTGTAAACAGTTTTTAGCTGTTCACGACGAACCAAAATTTTTGGTTCCAACTATAGCTTATGCTTGCTCTTTTCCAGCCAACGGTTTAGTTAAAAAATGTATTTTTATTCTACTTAAACTTAAANAGAAACAATGCAATTCGCTATATGTCGCCATAAGATTAAGGGAGACTGAGAGACGATTACAGCGCCGCCATCCGTTGGCTAACGTACTATTCGTCCAGCATCGAACGTCCGTATCCTTCTGGGCTTCTATGAAGACTTCTGAATTCTTTGACCTAGGCTAAGAATTCATAAGTCCCATGGAAGCCCAGATCCTATGTTAGCGCCTGATGCTCTAAAAGTTGGCCAACAAACCAGAAGTGGAGGGTAAAAGAGAGATCGCATGTGTTAGCCAACGATATCTCACACACGGGAGGAAGAGAGATGTATATAAAAAGGCGAGTATTGTGTATAATATAAAGAAACAATGCAATTCGCTATATGTCGCCATAAGATTAAGGGAGACTGAGAGACGATTACAGCGCCGCCATCCGTTGGCTAACGTACTATTCGTCCAGCATTGAACGTCCGTATCCTTCTGGGCTTCTATAAAGACTTCTGAATTCTTTAACCCAGGGCAGTTTATGTTTTGCTTTCAAAATTGCTCGCCCGAGGGCATGGGGAACGTCGGGGAACGAAAAATGAAAGCCCATCGAGGGAAGCCCGGGTTGTTTTGAGGTCCCTGCCGGGATTTAAATTTCATTGCAGCGTTTTAACTTGTGAATACCTCTCCATTACGGAGACTGCTATCTTTGGTTATACATGGTTAACACTAAACCTACCGACGATTTTTAATACCTCCATTACAAATACCATTTAAAACGGTCAATTTGACCCGCCGGGGGTAGGTTTAGTGTTAAAAGCATTCCCGGGACCTCGTAATAAATACATTACTCGCTGGGGATTGGAACAGCGCGGTGGCGGTATTATTCGAGCCACCTTGAGATTCTATACGAATGGTAAAAGAGCGGAAGTCCTTACTTCCGGTGAACTATAACTTCCCGGGATTAATCTTTCGCTTGCTGACACGAGCTCGACGTTGATTAAGGTGAAGTGAAACACGCCGAGGAACTTGTTCGACGTCGGTAAAAACGGCTTCTCTAGATATCTACGTTGCCGACGTTCGCTTTTATATTGACAATCCTGTCGAATTATATTGAGTATTATACTAAATGGCGTACTCCGTCTGTCGTTTTCGTACAATAATTATAAAAAAATCGAAGTAAAACTCCAGAAATCCTCTGGATTCGTCGTTTCCGAGGCCTTAATTGACTGCAGAGGGACACCCTGCGTCATCTGTGATTTTTTATATCAACCAAATTTTCACTCCGAGACTTCATATTACCATCGTTTCAGCATAGAAGCGCATAAGACACTTTTCTTGCCTTCATCCCGTTCAAATGGGAGTTTATCGATTACCAGAGTGTTCTAAATTTTCGTACAATCGTCCTGACACTTTCGTTTCTCATACAGAGCCTTCAATAATTGGATCTCGATCGAAATATGAGAGCTCGGCGCCATTTTGTTTCTGGTATGGGCTAAGTTAAAAAAGTTGTTTAAAAAATCCATATTTTGGAAATGTCAGGATAATTTCTAGGGGCTCACGAGTCACGTGCAAAAATTTCACAGTTCTATCCAAAACCCTTAAAAAAAAAAATGGGTTTTATTCGAATCGACCGATTTAAGGGGGGTTTCACTCCACCTTAACGAGAGAATTGTAAGTTAAAATCTCCTAAAATAGAAAAAATTAAATAGGATCATTTATATATAGTTTAAATTAATTGAACGTTGCCGTTGTCGAGTTGTGACGTTTTCGTTTGAGTGGCGATTCGTCGGCTGATCCAAGGGGGCGTTATCTCCTTAAACTACAACGCGATTGCACATTGATTTTCCTACTCTTACGCAAAACCTCATTGGAATGTTGACCACGCATAAAATGATTCATATTCCCACCATGATATCGATTATTTAATTTCAGAATACGCTGCGTATATTTTGCTTAGTCTAATAAAAGCCTCGAGGTAACTCGCTCATTGACGTAAAGTTACACTCTCCTATTAAGGTGAAGTGAAAGACACCGAGGGACTTGTTCGACGTCGGTAAGAAAGTTTCCTCTAAATACCTACGTTGCCTACGTATTCATTTGCAAATTGCGGGAATAATCGAAAGTCAACGTTTATTTCCAGTGACGTTCGAAAAGTCGCTTTGACGATTAACGCATCGCTACGACTTCCATCGTCGACGTCGGCCTTTGTTTTTTATTAGTAAATGTCACCTCCACGAAGACCTTGCGAAGAGGACGATTGCCGCCGAGAACGCGATTTCAGGATCAAAGTTTATCATCGGTCAATTCATCTAAGAAAAACATCGACTGATCGTTTAGCGTCACACCAAGAAAACGGAGATTCTCGGTAATTAATGAAATATTGCGAAACACAATAGCGGAATTAATAAACTGAGTCTGGCCATACACGGAAGGACTTTATGTCGGATCTTCTCCGAGATAAAATATCTGTCTCCGTGAGTGGTGATCGCCATTTTTAGTAGCGCATCATGCGATTTTTTTAGTAGCGCGTCATGCCACTGATTAAGAAACAATTATTACTAGATAAAGTTCCGATTGCACGCATTCGAAGCTTCGGAAAGACAAGAACCGCGTGAATTTCGTTTGCGTAACAGGTGCACGAAGATTTATTTGCATCGTCCACGCGAGGACTCCTTTGCCCGATACACAATTTAGACAACCGTGACAGCGTTTGTACTCTTAATCTTTATAGACCAATTAAATGGAGTATACCTTAGCCATATACCAATTAAATGTATTAGCTTAGAAAGCGTCGTCTGCGTAAAAACTGGCGAGAGTAATGCCATTAATTAGCTTTCGACCCAACGGGTATATGTACGTACAGAGAATGTTCATAAATCACGGTGAACAATTTAAGTTCGTACTCACGTGTAATGTCAAATATATGTACGCGATCGATAGGTTTCGCTTAAACTTAGGAAAATCACTGTGCAATTGACAGGAAAAAGTTTCCGACGATCAGTTGGCCCTCGAATCGATTAGTTACTCTTTTTTCTCATTTTTAGCGAGAAATGTTGCAAAACGCGAGGAGTAATTCCGCAACAAGTGAGCGTGTTGTTTTTTTTTTCTCGTTCGTATGATCATAGAGCCAGTGGTGTCAAAAAATGCAAATAAGCCCGGAGAAAATTCCTCGTTTCTATCGAGACATCCTCACTAAATGTCAGAGTAATTCCGCAACAAGTGAGCGTGTTTTTTTTTTTTCGTTCGTATGATCATAGAGCCAGTGGTGTCAAAAAATGCAAATAAACCCGGAGAAAATTCCTCGTTTCAATCGAGACACCCTCACTAAACGTCAGGAGTTACAAAATCGAGGGAAAATGACGTGCAGGTGCATCTCAGTCGAATTGGACGTTGTCATTTACATGTTGATAAGATATCACGTGATTACGGTTAACGCGCTACACGTAACAGGTGCTTCTAACAAGAGTTTCTTATAAATGTGCCCATAATCATGAAAGTGGTCTAAGTCAAAATTAAAACAAAAAAATGAGTTTATCAGTTATTTCACGCCATATTATTTCAAACGAAATTAATTCAATGTAATTTCGAGACAAAAAATATATGACTTAGACTTTCATAATTATGGGCACAAATGACGTCGACAGCGAATTCGCTCAATTTATACAGAATGCCGTAATCCCTTCATGTAGGACCAAATTTTTCGATTTCATGCCGTGTTCAGGAATGTTCGCAATCTTTGCGGGGGAAATTCATTGCGGTAGAATCTTGGAACGACAGCCGAAAAATTGATTTCCCATGTCCGAGTGTTGGGAATAATCCTACCCCGTCTTTTCCTTCGACATTTACAATTTTCGTACGAAACCTCCAGGCGCCATTAAAACAGGATTTTCCATACGATTTCCGATGCGTCAATTGTTGTAACAACCGTGATCGCAGAATCCGTGGAATGCATGCGCTTTTGGATAACAAAATAAACAATTTCAGATCTGGGAAAATCTGACAATTTCCCTTTCGCATTGTTTGCTCCTTAATAAACGAGGCTTAGCGAATTACCGACCGTAACTCCCATTGTTTTTCACTCATCGACCTTTAGAGCGATGCCTTTCAGATTTAAAGCTCCCTTGAACTGCGAAATTTAGATTTAAATTACACCCTCGAAATCGATAGTACTAATTTTTCCTAAACGTATTAATTTTCACAGAAAAAAAAAAAAAAAGAAAAAGTCAAGTGACTTTAAATGAACACCGTTCTCATGTAAGTTCCACTCTACCCTTTGCTTAGACACTCGAATCGTTAACGTAATTAATTAATATTGTTATCCATACATGATAGTTATTCATTGGAATCTCCCTTGAACTGCGAAATTTAGATTTAGATTATACCCTCGAAATCGATAGTACTAATTTTTCCTAAACGTATTAATTTTCACAGAAAAAAAAAAGTCAAGTGACTTTAAATGAACACCGTTCTCATGTAAGTTCCACTCTACCCTTTGCTTAGAAACTCGAATCGTTAACGTAATTAATTAATATTGTTATCCATACATGATATTCATTGGAATCTCCCTTGAACTGGGAAATTTAGATTTAGATTACACCCTCGAAATCGATAGTACTAATTTTTCCTAAACGTATTAATTTTCACAGAAAAAAAAAAAAAAGAAAAGTCAAGTGTCTTTAAATGAACACCGTTCTCATGTAAGTTCCACTCTACCCTTTGCTTAGAAACTCGAATCGTTAACGTAATTAATTAATATTGTTATGCATCCATGACAGTTATTCACTGGAAAGGATAAAACGGATAACAAGTGTAATTAGCATGAGCTTTAAATCGTACTATCGCCCATCGTACTATCTGTAAGCGTCCCTCAAAGTATGAGTAAAAAATGCAATGCGAAGTTTGTCAAATTCCTAATCCTCGGTTATCGAAAGACTGATTAGACGGGGTGCACTGTTATTATAAATCTAGGATCCGGTCTACGTAATTGCAAATCTACGTCGATATTGTTCAGCCAGTGGGGGCGAAAAGTGTCGCATGGGAAGCTTCAAACGAAACAACCTAAAACGAGGCTTCATCTCGTAATGACGGGTGTCCTTATAGCAGTACCATTATATAATTGCTACTTCATTCGCTTTAGTCATTACGCTTAGCGTGTCCGTGTATGTACAATGTCGCTTAACTACGAAATGTTGGTAAGGCGCGCAGTTGATTGTGACACTTTCGGGCGACATCGCATGTGTTTTTAACACAGATCGCCGTGTACCGTTGCACTCCTAGTGTACACCCTAGCAGTGTACATTTCGTTATCACAATAATTGAACACATAATTGAATTAATCTTTATAACGAACGTAGCGCGTCTAAAAGGGCGCATCTAATGGGTACGACGAATTTTTCGCTTGCGCGTCAAAACAAGGAAAAAAAACAAAAAAAACAAACAAGAAAATTAACGAAGCCCATGTAAACTATCTGATTTCTGATTTCATATCTTTTTCTTCTTTTTTTAAAGAGTAGTCATGCGTAGTCTATTTTTCTTTCGCCACTGTTGACTGATTCGGCCGTGATGACTTAGGAAATCGATTACAAAGAACGGGACAGTCAACGAGAAAGTACAAACTGATCTATTTTTATTGTATACCTTAGGTTATATATTTCTTAAGGAAAAGTTTGAAGATATTGCTTTTAGGATTTTCGTCAAAGGTCCCTGAATAACTCTGATGTTCGGTAGGAACCGTGAAATACTTCCTTGCGTTTAATCGAGGTGTAAGAACATTTCGGAAAGCTACATTGTTTGCCGTTTAAATATATTATTCGAAGCCTTTAGTAGCGTTTAACTCTATTAACATTTTAGCGACGAGACATGTTAAATGGCATTTGAAATAAATTTTACTTCAAGCGCCTTATCGATAAAGGGTTAAGGGCTTCGCTTCCCCTTTTAGGAAATCCTGCTTTTTCTTTACATAATTTATTAATTCAGAAATTAATCGGAAAATCCCGTCGCCTTCTCTAAATATTCTTAACAGTATTCCGGCAGAATTCATATTTTTTTTAGAGATGCCGAATGCAATATACTTTTTAAGAGTACCATTTACAGGGACGAAAGTAAGTTCTCCGAGAAATTACATCGCGATTCAAGCAAATATCGTGGTTTGTTCAATGTCTTTGATAATGTTCCATTGTTCAGAGTTATCCTGGGAACATGAGAAAATCTTTCGACAAATGAGGCGAAGATATTTCCCTAAAGAAATATCACATCACCGGAGATGTTATTACATGCAATCACATGCCAACGATAGAGTGCCTTCGATCAAATTATTCTCTTTATTAGAAATACGTATGAATTTCGATTTACGTGGAAGCTTGAGTTGCTACTCCGACTAAAAAGAAACCCTCCGATAAAAAATACGCGATCGTAATATATGTATTGCACTCAGCCTCTATCCCATTGTCCAACAGATGCTCTTTATATAATACACGATTTACTGTATTTGCGGTGTAATGTTACATTCGGTACAAGTACGATACATCGTCGCAACTTGTTCCCCCTCGTGATACAATAACTCGAAAATTGTCAACGTCCACACCTATCATGTATGGGATGCGATATGAATGTCTCCACAGCAATGTTGCATATTAATTACCGCGATAAGTAGACTATACGTATACAATCTTAACGCGGTGAGAGATTTAACGCGCAACGAAAATAAGAGTCTCTATGTACAATCAATTACAGGAAAGTTACGTTATCATAAGCGGCGAGTTCCTCATAACACGGAAGAAAGTTTAAACCCTCGTCGACGAGTTAGATTTTCATTTAAGATTTAGTGATAAGCTTTTGATAAAGGAGAGGAAGCGTCCGACCAACGAATCGACGCCCATTCTAAGTGCCATCGGCGGCATGACTGCGAATCATTTTCACCTGCAATTAAGGGTGTAACAAGAATGAAAATCACCTTGCCTTGCATGTACCATATCGAGCCGTTATCACATTGATTAAAACGAATGCGAGTTAGCCGTCGTATTCGTCGAATCAACCACTGGATATATTGCAACCTTAGGAAACTGTCACAATCACCTGGCATTCAATCCAATGTTTAATTATTACTGATATATATATGTAACAAAGACATCTTATATATATATATATTATACACATAAATATATATAATATATATATATCAAGATGCAGGAAACGAGGGAAAGAAGAGTCACAGTATGGTTTGAGAGCACGATCTCGGAATGTGTATTGGATAAAAGCGTAATCGGCGTTCGGAGGGAAAATAAAAAAAAAATAAAAAAGAATCAAAAGTTTCACTCGTTAGGACAAACCATTGTCGGTTTAGGAAATCGGAGCTTCTTTGGAAGACTATTACGATATAGCCATCGCATCTGTACCTAGACCCTTAAGGAGCTATACCACTGTGGACGTCGAAAAGATTATACATTGTTGACAATTTTTTTTCCCAAAAAGTACTGCATATAATGGCACAAATTTTATTTTTCTCCATGATAGGCCCGATATAGGGGAATACAGGATAATTTTCTTTTTGGAAAAAAATACATATTTATTACTTTGTTATAAATGTAGAGTGGTACAAAAATTGTTGGTGGCGCAGGTGATCGAAGCCCTCCTGGTGACCTGAAACAAGAAATTCAAAAAGATTCTTAAGCCGTCACTACCGCCCGTACCTCAATAATTAATTTATATCATAAACTAACAAAATGACCGTATCTTGGAAGCGTTAAAAAGAATACCTTTTTTGCGCTATAATTGAGGCAAAAGTATGAGTTAAAATTATCATTTTACCATAATCGAGGTACGGGCGGCCTCACAGATTAAGAATCTTTTTTCATTTTTTGTTTCAGATCACTAGGAGGGCTTCGATCACCTGCGCCAGCAACAATTCTTTTTTCACTAGTCTACGATTGTAATAATAAATAAATAAATATGTATTTTTCACCAAGAAGAAAAATCTTGTATTCTCCTACGTTAGACCTTTCACGGAGAAAAAAAAAGTTCGTGCCATTACATGTAGTATATTTTGAGGAAAAAAAAAGAAATTGTCAAAAACTTGTAATTTTTCCGACGTTAACAGTGATATAGCCCTTTAACGAGGCATCGTAACGAACGTTAGAACGGAAAACATGTAAAAGCAGTACAATAAAAGTATACATGGCATTTCATAGGCAGACCAAATCAGTGATAATAGCGATAGATCAATCGAAATACTCAATAGAAAAGCGAAGTACGCTGCAGTTGCAACGGTCATTTATCTTCGTCGAATGGAAATCACCTTCGGCTGATAAGCGATGGGTACGTTTTGCGTTGTCGTTAGAACGAGGATCTCGGCCTCGAGATAAAATCCGATAACACGATTGAAGAGTAGAAAAATGAACTAGTAAAATCATTTGGATCCTGGATAATAATCGGGATGTCTACGATACACATTTTTCATTTCGGATATATTAATACATCAACGAGGTCAAATGATTTTAACGTTTATTTTTCGTACCGGCGTCCCTCTCGGATCTGTACAGAAGTCCCGAGGAGGAGCAATGTGTACCGTCTAAGTGGCCATTACGTGGCCAAGAACCTTTGGACGCGACTAATCTCTTAAGTTAACCTCGGCCAGCTAGAAAAACAACCCGCGGTGACCTAAACGGCAGTCACCGATGTTTTTGCATGGCTCTCCTAACTTCCCCAGGGCGCTGTGCCTCGAAGGAGAGATAAAGGAATCTCTCCTCGCTCGTCCTAGGTCGCATCCTAACGTATATAACGTATATATAACGTATATATAACAGATATTCAGCGTCCAGAGGAACGTATAGTCTTCGCAAAACGAGGGGGCTACCCTACGTTCCCATCCAATACGCATTCCCGACAGACCTTTTCGACTTACATCCATGCGCGACAAGCCGGCCCGTATTTGATTATGCTAAAAAATAGCAACGCCGCGGGCCTCGTCAGCTCGTATATGCGCAGATCAACGACAGACATACAATATTATATTAACGATTAAGATTAAAGACTATTAGGGGGGAAGGATGTGGAGCTATTACTGTGGGCCAGACTTAACATCGAGCCGCTGAGGCTCTCGTCATCCGGATAAGACTCTTTCGATCCCTCGGCTATCGCCAGTGCACTGAAACAGGACGAAGATATCTTTATATAATCATGGTTCGCTCCACGGAAAGGATTCGTAATTGACTAAGAGGATATGAGAGTCAGCCTATATCGACGATGTATCGACGCAGGAGGACTCTATTTTGAAACCTTTTAAGGGGATGTGAAAGTGGCATCCGAAAGCTCAATCGTTCATAAGGCTTTTCATAGAACTGGGTGTCTCAAATCGTTTCATAGTTTAAAACGTGAATATGGAGACCCTAAGGTAGGTTCTGAAACTAATGAAATTTCATTTTTTATCCTACATTTATTTACTTATCATGGACTGGAACCAACATGGCGTGGGTCGTGCACGTTTTCGATGTTTTACGCTTCTTGGAGGAAGAAAATCGAGAATGGAGAGTTTCAGGACATAGCTCGAACAATTTAGAATAACGTAGAAATGGAATATTAAAGAGTCAGATGGGAAAATATGGAAAATACTTTCACCAACGATTATAAGAGAAAGCTGGCTTGTCCTGCGGCTAAGACGTGTTTTTAGAGTAAAAATTTAGTTGTAGCTAAACGTCACAGATGGCGACGTCGGTTCGTCAAAATATAAAGATTCGTGAATTCATGGGATTTCGGCAGTTTTACGTCGATCTTTTAATCATTACTTTACCGAAATGACATATAGAACCCTTCAGTTCGTATAATTCTCAACGTAGACAGTAAAAGACTTAAAAATAAATATAAATGTCGGTAAAGGGACGCGCCAGTTTATGTCACCATTTGAGTATTCAAAACGGCATTCCCACCAAAAAGGGTATAGATAAATTTTAATTTATCGACGTCGATTAAATTTCTTAGCGCCTTTCATATCCTCTTAAAGATTGAATTTTAAAAGAAGGAAGAGAGTACGATAAATGAGGACTAACGTTTCTACGAACAAAAATTGCCACACTAATGAGTATTTAGGATAATGCAAATATATTTAAAGATTACCTATTTTATAGATTATAATTAGATTGAGCTCCTTTTTTTTTCTGGGCAATTAAAATTAACAGACATAGGCCGGATAGCAAAAGATTTGTTTATAAAATGTGCGCTGCCAAAATGTGGTCCGTCCCTACCGTGGATATAGAAAAGCTCATTTAACTTTCTCTCTGTGTGTATGAAACTGTAAAAGCGTACTCTGTTCTTAGCAATGGAATGCAAGTGAAGGGCGAAATCAAAGCGGTGAAACGATCCTTGCTGGCATGTAATGGATGACTTGCACACAAATACAAAGGAGCAAGTCTTACGGGTAGTTTGCATTCCAATTGCAGGGCTATTTTGTATGCACGGCCTTGAGTAAACTCGAAGGTCACAAAATATATTACGAAGAAAAGTACGTGCTGCGATTTATTCTTTGTAAGTACCAACAGCGTAGGTATTCCGAAGCTTCATATAAATATTTATCATTCGTTGATCCCTGACCCTTACTTTTATTACTACATTTATTACATTTGCACGAAAATTAAAGCACTATTATATATTTCTATTACTCTCATTATTTCAGAGGTTTAACTCGTTTAGTTGTGTGAATCGTTATAATATTTATTCAGGGAGATCAACAATTTTAGATAAAGGTATCGCACTTTAGTCATCCATTTTGAATTAAGTCTTTAGTTCAAGATGCTTCGATTTGTTTTACTTCCACTATTATTGAATAAAATCTTATTTTCTGTATTAAAATGTAAGTATCTTGGATTACATTGGTCATCCTTTTGCAATGAAGAAGTACAACATTAAATTTGTACAAAATTGCATATAAATGAACGACCAGTATATCCTTTTTTTATGATTTTAGAATTTTCGAGTACTAGATGACTAAACGAATTGATTTTGGAATAAAAAAATTTTCTTGATAATTACAGCCTCGAAACGCGTTGAATCAGATAAAATGTTTGTACCTCATTTTTATAAAATTAAAAAATTTCAACTTTATCGTTGAAGGTATTTTCGTTAATCTTGACATAAGTGGTTTTAATGTTAGCGTAAAATATGGCGAAACAGAAATTTGTTGCAATGATCTTAAACTAATTTTACACATGCCGGATAAGATCGTCCTGCAGCGAATATCCGATTTTGCTTTTTAAAGCGTAGCTTTCGCACGTCTCTGACTTTTACCCGGTTTTATTGTTCACTATGTGCGCCAAATTCAGTTCGTACCAATGATTTGTGTTGTTTGCACCCCGACACGTTAAGGTGAAGTGAAACCCCCCTCAAGTCAGTCGATTCGAATAAAACACTTTTTTTTTAAGGGTATTGGATCGAACCGTCCGAAACTTTGACACATGAAAAAGTGTCTTATGCGCTTCAGCATTAAAACGAAGGTAACACGAGGTCCCGAAGAGAAAGTTTAGTTGAAACTAAAATCACAGATGGCGTATGGGGCACTCTGCAGTCATTTAGGGTATCAAAAGCCATGAATCCAGGAGATTTCCGGAGTTTTACTTCGATTTCTCTATAATTATTGTACGGAAACGACATATGGAGTACGCCATTTAGTTCAATACCCAATATAATTCGACACGACTATCGATATAAATATGAGCGTCGGCAACGTAGGTATTTAGAAGAATCTTTTTCACCGACCTCGATAAAATTTCTCGACGTGTTTCACTTCATCTTAAAACGTCGGATATCCGACGTTTGGTCTCGAGGTTTGTCCGGCAAGCCATCCGTCGTGTATCCGACGTCCGTCTGCCGGACATACGTGTGAATGCTGCAATGCTGTCCCATGCACATAGTAATCGGATATCCGATGCCGGACGGTTTTGCTCGGCACGTGTAAAACGAGGCTAATACGGCATAAAGCCAAACGGTTTAATGGTTGATACCTATAAGAAACGTAAAGTGACTTACCTAAACCCAATTCTTGCGCTCTCCTCGTCGAATTGTTGCAATTCGCGTTCTTGCCTTTCGTGTAACAGACGAATTCGTTCACTACGTTCCTGCAGAAACTCCTGCGTTTCGTGTTCCATCTTTTGTTCTAACAATGACTTCCTCACCGACACGCGATCCTCCAACTCACGTCTCTCGCGATTACGTTGAGCCTCGGCCTGCATTTTATTCTTCGACTGGTACGCCATAAGGATCTCTAATTCATAATTTAATCTCTCCTACGAGCAAGTAAAATTAAAGACCTAGTGTCATTATACACGCATGGGAGAATTAACGTAATCTGTGTTACCGGGATTAGCCGTCTACGAACCTTGAGATGATGGCATTCCACTTCTTGCGACTCGTCGAGCCGAATACTCTGCTTCTGCAGCATTTCTGCAATGCTTTGCTCGTACTGGTCTCCCAGAAGAGCAAGCTTCCGCCTTTGTTCCTCCTTCAACTTCTTAATTACTGCCTTTTGCTCGTCCTTAGGAGTAGTTTGTAATATTTGAGCTTTCAGTGCTTTATACTGACGCGTTTGTATTTTACACGTCTCCCTGAATTGTTTGCGTATTTGCATTTCCTTTTGCTGAGGAAGGAAAAACATGCATTTATAGAGTAGAGCAATGATCACAGCGTTACTACACGTACATATAAATTAAATTTTAGTTCCGCAGTTTGATCAGCAATTGCATGCGACCGTAGAGGGAATTTTTGTTACATTGGATTACCTTAAGGCTTTTCGGTTGTTGCTTAAGTTCAAGGGCATGCTTCTTGCGTAAATCTCGTTCAGCTCGTTGCATGTAATCCTGTTGATTACAAAGCTCCGTTGCGTGTTGCCGATGAACTTGTTCCTCCCGAAGAGCATGGACCGCTCTCTGTTGTCGGTACTCTAGTTCTTGAGTCTTTTCGTGTTGTCGCAACAGCATCGCATGCGCTTGTTCTAACTGCTGCTGCCTCTTATTCAGTTCCTAAATTTTCAGATAACATTCACAACTGAATAGATTTATCATAAAAGGACATATTAAGTAAGTGAATATCGTTATTTAGCGGCGCGATTTTCCTTCACAGCACTTCACCTTAATTTTCGTACAAATTGTAATTTATATTACGAAGTGAAGGTTTCTTTTTTTATTACGTTCGAAAAACTATATATTTGTGGATTAACCTTTGATGCATTTATTAAAATGAATTTGTACGAGATAGATCGTTAAGGTACGACAAATAACGACTGTCGGGGGATGGATCCAATGCAATTGATATTGTATCATTGAGAAATATACAAAAGGACTGGTTAAGAGAAACGTTTGAAATTTCATAAATTACTCTCACCTCTCGTAACAGCTCTTGTTCGAGACTGTGGAAGATGAGCAATTTTTTTCTGCGGAACTTGCGGATCTCGAGGTCTAAGTATTCACGTTGGCCTCTTGCCAGTCGTTGCTCCTCTTGGGCCTCCATCTGACGCAGATTGTCCTTCTGACTTTGAAGGGTTGCGTCCCGCTGGCGTTTTGGCGTTACTTCATCTTGCGATAACTCCTTCTTCCATCTTTCTTTATATGCCTGTTGTGAGGAATAAGACGTTAATTTGTCGTTTCTAGTTAAACGTAGCGATTACATAAAGGGATAACTTTAATAGAAATAAAAAATATAGTTGAGAAACGTACTTTTATTCTCATAAATTTATTTTACCTTGTACTCGCGTTTCTGCTGTGCCTCGAGAGCCTTGCGATCAGCCTCTTGCCTGTTCGTGATCTCTTTATGGAGTTTCTTCTCCGCATTTTGATTTTGCTTCAGTTTACGCTCCATCTCCTGATTGTGTCTGAGCTGCAATTTCTCCAGTTCTTTGCTAAACTGTTGCAGCAGAGTATCATATTCCTTATCCAAAAGCTGTTTATGGGATTCCACTTCCATTTTGCAACGTTCCTCCAGCTTGACCTGAATAAGAAAAATTCAGAATCCAATGTTAACACGTATCCTTTTAATTCGAGATTTAAAAGAAAAATACGTAATACTAGTTCGTAGCTCAGATAAAAATGCGTAAATAACATTGAACATTACCAAGGCTCCTTGATGTTCTCGTCTCATCCTCTTGTAGCCGCTCATCTGTTCGTGCATTTCTTCCTGCATGTGTTCCTTCTGTTGTTTGGTCACGATTGACGTAGTTCTAATCGTCGCAAAGTTATTGGCACCGTGTTCGAGGAGATTGGCAGTGACACCAGCCGATATTTTGTGTCGATTCCTGATCGATCCCGTGGAGTAATCGTTCGAGTCGGCATTCGGCAGTGGCAGGCTGTTGGTGGAGGAACTTTGTGAGCTTGCCGAGACACCCATGGAATGAATTGAATGCTCGGAAGTAATGGAATTGCTCTTGCTGCTGTCCCCACCCGTTTGCTCGTCCGGCGTATCTAAAAGGGATCGTTCGAAACCAATGTTATTATTTCGCACTCCCTCTATCATTGGACTTATAAGTCAATACGTCACGTTATCGACAGCCAAAACTTACCGTCGGCATCTCCAACGGTACTTTCGGTCTCACAGGAGTCTATCATTAAAATCTTCTTCATCTTCCGATAATTTAGATTATCTAAATCCCTAACGGCACCTTTCGTCCTTTGGATCAAGTCAATTAAGACATTCGGCGAGCGCGTCCTGGTTACGAATTGATGCTGTAAACATTTAAATGTCAGCGGTCTGCCACTAGCAATTCTATGTCAGGAAACAATACCGTAACAAAGATGCTCGTATAAAATATTCACCATTAATAATTTTCCCGACGTCGGTCTTTCGTTTGGACTCTTAGTAAGGCAAACTTCGACAAAATGGCGAAATACATCCGACCACTCTGGAGAGTTCAATATCGGCGTGTCGTTCTGGGCAATGTGGTACAAAGCGCTCATGGCGTTCATGTTGAAGTAAGGCGGCTTCCTCTCCGCTACAGGAAGTATAGATTCTTATCACTTCCGAGGACTTATAACGTACAGTGGAATAATAAGAATAATAAAATAACAAGATAACAATTCAGGGAACTATGCAAATCTGTACTTTAGGGAAATTATTTTGGATGATTTGATTTTATATATTATGGATTGCAGTTCTCAGTTATCGTTTACCTAATTCGATGCAAGTAATTCCTAATGACCACACGTCCACTTTGCCATCGTACTGTCCTTCGTCCATGGCCAATATGACTTCAGGGGCCATCCAGTACGGAGTTCCAACGAAACTGTTAGCTGGGCATTTGATACTAGCGGAACCAAAATCAGCCAGCTTGACCGTACCATTTTCGGTTAGTAGAATGTTTCCTGCTTTTATGTCTCTGTGAATTCTGCCTAGAGAGTGAAGGTAGTGCAAGCCATGTAAAACGCCTTCGCAGACTGCTGCTATTTCATCCTCCTTCAACGGTCGTTTGTGAACTTCTATTATATCTGACGCAGAGCCAAGGCAATACTCCATCACTAACTGCAACGTAATGCAAATATGATTTAAATATTCGAGTAGCTTATTGTCATAGTAATGCATTCATAAGAATGAATTTACTACAAAGGAGATTTGTTTTCACATTTTTTTGAGTTACACAGAACAAAGCTCTTGCAGTCTTAAAATCTCAATAAAATTAGCGGTAAAATCAATAAGAAACGGTTATAAAAACTATGCCGGAATAAAAATGAAGTTTAGAAATAAGGTATTATATATTAAATCAATCATTTATAGAAATGGTACGTAAATAGGATTTTTAGTACGTTACTAATTTACATTACCATTTTACATTACTTAAAAGCCAATGCAGATTTGATTGTTTATGCTTAAGTCAGAATTAGGCACCGCATTTATGTTAAACTAATTGCAATTACAGGGTAAAGTTTTTCTATTTTAAAGGTGGGTCACGACACGTACATGGATACAGGTAATTATATGGATGCATTATTTGCTACATGTTATTAGAAAAAACTGAGCTCTCATCCAAACGACTTACCCAGGCAGTGTGGTCCCTGAGATAACATCCTTTATACTCAATCGTATTAGGATGGTTGAGTTGCCTGAGGAAACGAATCTCTTTAAGAATATCTTGCCATTTCTCGACGGTTTGTTTCCCCAGGTAGGACATCTTCTTGATGGCAACGATTTCTTTGGTGACGAGACACCGAGCATAATACACAGCTCCAAAACTCCCATGGCCGATTTCCCGGAGGTCCTCGAATATCTTCTCCGGATCATTTTGCTCAAATAGCTCGGCGATTTCTGGGTCCTTGAGACTACCCGGTCTTGGAATAGCCGGCATAGTAGAGCAATTACCCTTTGAATGGCCGAAGCCTCTATCGCGCTCTACACCCTCCACTCTTCTTCGGTTTTCCTTGTCCAGGTCGGCCAACCTCGGCGTATCCTCTGTCAGTCCGTTGCCAAAGCCATACTTCTAGCTATCTGGAAGGTACCTTTCATAAGTTTCGTACATCGCACTCCAGACACCGTAATACATTTATCGATCGCCGTTCACCAAAGTCTGGCAACGAGTTTACACGTTTCGTAAGAATGCAAATCGAAAATGAACATACGCAAGGCTCAAACGTTCGTCCAATGAAAGCGTTGGCGCAAACCTTGTCTCGGCATAGCTTTAGTCTATCCCTCGAGAAATCAAGTCATGGTTTTACTCGCATCTAGGGGATCATCGGCTTATAAGACCACTAGGAGGAGGTATCAGTTTTTCAGCAGGGGAAACTCTAGGTGCCCGGACTCGAGAGGATACCCTCTCGGAGAGATAAACGCCCTCGCGGGTGCATCCAACCGCGCGTTGTTAGGTGTCGCTCACGTCATTCTCGGGAACGTGACACATATCCTGAGAGTGGCGAGAAAAGGCTCGGCACGTCGAGGAGGCGGAGGCAGTAGACGCGAGCTCGGCTCGGGCGGCTCGGGCGACGAGGGCGCGGGTCGCCCTCTCTTCGGGGACCTAGGCTGTCGGGAGGGTCGGACGAGGTCGCGGAGGCGAGAAATTCGGAGGACGGAAACGCGGGCGTAAGGAGGGTTGGGTCTCGAGGAAAGTGGGGCCGCGACGGGCCGCCGCCGAACGCGAGAAACTCGCCCGCTCCGAGGCGGCGGCCCCCTACCCGACGCGGTTTACCGTTTCCGGATCCGGACGTCCAGCGGGGAGCAGCCCGCGGTCGGGGCGGTCGCCGAGCACGCGGGGCGGGGAGAAAGAATAATATTCACCTCCAAAATGGCGAGGGTGCACAGAGGCATGCGCGCGACTCTCCGAGCACTCCTCAGAGAACGTTCTTCCTGCTGCCGAGTGTGGCCGATTCCGCGGGCATATATTACGGCCCGTTGGTTTCCCGATCTCGGCTCCCGTGTCCCGGTCACCGCTGCGCCTCGGTACGTGTCACTCGCGCACGCACCCACGCACACACCCGCGCACGAAACCGCGACGAGCCGCGCGGACGATGCAACGATACAGCACCCCGGACCAGGCCGAACACATACGGGAATTCGCTAAGTTTTGACGCCTTTTCGCCCTCGCGAGTACCGAGCGAGAGGCGAGCCGTGCATCGATACGGACGTGGCGTCGCTTCGCGGCCAGTTGTCGAACTCGATACTTGGCCCAGCCCAAACTTCGCGGTCGGTAAATGTCGATCGGTCGGTTATCGACGTGGGACTCGAGGAAGCGGTCGGTTAAATCGAGAGTGGCGAGTCCGTGAGGGCGGCTGTAGATTTTTCAGTTTAACGTTCTTTTGTCATTATCCAGAACATCTTTTCTAAATAGCTACGTTGCCGACTTTCATTTCTATATCGACAGCTGTGTCGAATTATATTCAGTATTGTACTAAATGGCGTCGTTTTCGTACAATGATCATAAAGATATCAAAATAAAACTCCAGCAATCCTCCGGATTCATGCTTTCTGAGGTCCTAATCGACTGCAGAGGGACACTGTGCGCTATCTGTGATTTTTCTGCCAACTAAATTTTCACCCCGAGACCTCATGTTATCATCGTTTTAGCACAGCAGTGCATAAGACACCTTTTTTGCTTTTATGTCGTTCAAATTCGAATTTCTCGATAATGAGAGTACAATTGTTGTGACACTTTCGTTTCTTATATTACGAGTCGTGTGTCAAAGTTTCAGCCAGTTCGGTGTAACAGACTTTAAAAAAAGTGTCTTATTCGATTTGAGAGGGGTTTCACTTAACCTTAGGTATTGTATTTAAGAATTTATTTAAGATTACGAATTACGATAATAAACTGGAATCTTACCTATTTCTTATCCTCAGTGTTCAGAATATCCTTTCGTAATTGGGTAAAAATATATAATGCGATTTTCCATGCAGGATTCGTACTTCAGTAGTCTTACACTTTACTCTTGAATTGCGGGCTGCGGATTGATATAATGCTGGAATTCGAACAGGAATTATTTTCCAACGAAATTATGATTAAGGTGGATAATTACAACTGGTTTTACTAGTTACCCGAATCTTGCGTGCGATTAGCATTCGAACACCTGTTTCGCGAGTGGCGAACCGATCGTGGTTAGCGTATCCGCATGAATAAACGAAGAAATAGCAGAGATGACTGGACTCGTAGTTATCATTACTCATAGACTTTCTACAGACTTAGACCCTAGCTTGCACCGTGGAGAAAACAAACACTAGCGTTTTTTCCTGGTGGAACGGTACACGAGGTAAAGCATTTCATATTCAATCGATCGCAGAAAATGCTTTGCGCCGTAAAACTCTCCACTGCGCGAACTTGCGCATTTTCAATCATAAAATGATAAAAGAATCTAATTTGAATTTTTCTTCATGAATATTGATGTTCAATTTCCTTTTTTATCTCAGCAATTCTAGAGTACGTGTGTAAAGTACAATTATAATTCTGGATTTCCGTATTAAGGTGAAGTGAAACATGTCGAGGAACTTGATCGACGTCGGTAAAAAAAGGTTCTTCTAAATGCCTACGTTTCGATCGTTCATTTTTATATTGACAGCTGTGTTGAGTTATGTTGAGTATTGTACGAAATGGAGTATTCCATCTGCCGTTTTCGTACAATAGTTATAAGGAAATCGGAGTAAAACTCCGGAAATCTCCTGGATTCATGGTTTTTGATACCCTAATTGACTGCAGAGTGCCTCCCTGCGCCATCTGTGATTTTAGTTTCAACTATATTTTCTCTTCGAGACCTCGTGTTACCTTCGTTTTAGCGCAGAAGCGCATAAGGCACTTTTTTTGCTTTCATTCCGTTCAAATGCGAGTTTCCCGATCACTAGAGTGTTTTAAATTGTTGCACAATTGTCCTGACACCTTTGTTTCTCATATCAGTGCTTTCAATACTTATATATCGAAATATAAGAGCGCGACGCCAATTTGGTTCTGGTCCCTTAAAAATCCCGGTAAAACCCTTAAAAAAAAGTGTTTTATTCGAATAGACTAACTTGAGGGGGTTTCACTTCACCTTAAAATGATATAAAAGTGTGATATACCCATACCAAAAAGTGAAAAGATTTATAAAATTTACTCCAAACTGTGTGCACGAAATTATCTAAAACTTTAACACGTGATTATGGAGGCCCATGAAATCTCATTTTTCCTGTATGCTTCACCATTCGCTTAAAAATATATGCCGAGCCAGTTCATGTGAATGGTCTCGCATTTTCACCACCAAAACCGTTCCGTAATACCACGAGCTACTCATTTTTCACATTTTCGCCCAATTTGGTTGACGTAATAAACCCCCTGAGACCGGCATGCCTTACAGTAGTACCCTACAGCACCTATCAGAAATTCGTGGCATCTTGCAGCAGCTCGCAGCAGCTGTCAGCGGTTGGCAGTGGTCTCGCGGATCGACAATCAGCAGCGGCCAGCAGCGGTCGGCGACAAGGCCCCCGGTGTCGGTAAGAGGCAGCGGTCCGGCCGCGCCGGGGGAAGGGGAGAGTGGGAACCGACAGTCAGGAGGTAGGAGGCGTAAAGACCGGCGAAAGGGAAAATGCCGCTCTGACTTTTTTTTGCCACTCTGCCCCGTTTTTTGACACGGCGATTCGATCGGGTTCCATTTGTCCACGGCACTCCAGCGACGACCACGCAGCCAGCTACTACGCGGCCACGAAAATGTACCTCGCTAGTCTGACTTGACCCGCCGCCCCTTCGCACCACCTGGCGGGTAGTTCCGGAACTTCGGGGGCGCCGAGCCTTTGCCGAAGCGCGCCGCGTTGACCAAGGACTTTCGCGCCGATTTCATTTAAACGTTTCCCCGAAGATACGCAGTGTCTCCTTGGTTTTAGCGCGAGTCCCTTTTCCGCGATAGTGCTGTGATTAACCGTGCAACGCGGAACGACGCGAAGTGACGTGGGATGCCTGCCAGATCGGATTAGACCAAGTCGCAAGGTGAGTTCGTTTTAAGGGTGGGTTCGACGATCTTTTCGGCATGGGTACCTCGACTGAACGGTGAAAGGGCACCCGGCGAATTTTTAGGGAATCTTAAAAGAATGTTTAAGGGAATGTATATGTATATGTATATGTAACCTGGATTCTTCTGTTAAGGGATGTTTATTTTTTGTACTCTATTCTGGGAAGTATATTATTGATTGACTAGATTTGAAATACCGAAGGAAGATGTAGGGTCCTATGAGCAGGGTTGGGTCATTCGCCATTTTTTTTTTTAGGTTTTTCACGTATATTACGTAACAAAGTAGTTTACCGGAGAAAATCGTAGAGAACCAGTAAATTACGTTCCCAATGTGAAGAATGCCGCAGATGGACGATATACGGCTTCTGCTAGGTGATAAACGTCTTTTAGCATATATGTAAACACGGAAATATTTTAAGGAATAATTAATTAATTTGGCGCTTGTATTCAAAATTCTTTAGAATTTTACGTTTTCGATATGGCGGATTCTCCAGATAAATGATATATGTATTCGCGAGGTTAACGTCTTTTAGCGCACATATAAAGACGTATAAATTTGTTAAGAAATAATTTATTTGATGTTTGGGTTTAACTTCTTTCGACTTAACCCTGTTTAAATTCAAATTTCTAATTGGATTTGTTATTTTCTATTTAAAAAGAGAAGGGCGTAATGTACTTTGCGCTCGCGTTGAAAACTAGGGAGTATTTTATGTTGTAATATGCATGTAGAAAACCCACGTATATTACATGACGTATTATTCTTACCCAAACCTGCATATGAGTGTTCTAAGATCTCTTGCAGTTGGATTTCAAAATGGCGGCCGACGAGGGTGAACGGTATTCATATTTTCTATAAATCTTAGTGGATTTATTGTATATTCGAAGTGCTCGTGCGTCTTAATTTGAGAATTATGATCGCAATCGTTATTCTAATCGTAATAGTAAAATACGCACATCATTGTTTGCATTTATGTTTGATTCGAATGTAACATACCACAGAACGTATCAAATTCTATGTCTAGTAAGCTTTCTTTACAATTCTGCAGTGTTCTTAATGATTATCCACGTCGAAATAGAAGAACTAAAAAAAAGTGATTCCACTCCTTTAAGTATAATTACACACGTATTTTTTAAACAACGAGAATGTTATGATAAAGTAATTTTTGTCTAATCTATTCGAGGGAGGAGGAGGGAGGGAAGAGGTGTAATTAATTTCTTTATTTGTGATACGCTGATTTTTTTTACAAATATTTTTAATCCATTTTGCATGAGGACCCTATATATATGCAGCGGTGATTTACTTTTTGGGAACGAAAAGACTGAGAAAATTAAGGAATTTAAATGTAAGAAGAATACTTTAACTAAATGGGTATATTGCTTGTAATTGTCAGGTATACTCCAGTAGGGCATGTTTACAAAGAAATCCGATTGGCTTTTAGTAACGGCTTTACGGGAAAATATTTCAACTTTCATAGCCGATCAATCACAAGAATAGAAAAAAAATATTTCCTTCAGGTCCTGCATTTAGCGACTAGGTTTTATCGAATTGTTCACCGAGCGAGTCCCTAGACAAGAAATCGCTAATATCGATTCGATGTAGAAATGATGTAAAGATCTTTAGGCTCTCGGTACAGTTCATTGTATGATCTGCTTTATAGACAAGAAAGTTCACTTTTGTGCGAATATTAGTAACGCGGTTTGGTCGAGTTGCTTTTTATCAAGTGTTACCAATATCGCTTGTTACTTGTACGGATGAATGACGTTGACAAGGCCCATTCTAATAAAAAAATTGTTTCCGTTCAGTTAGTCGATGCAGTTCATTATATGATTCATCTTATTATCGGCATGAAATTTATAATTTTTCTCCGCAATCTCCCAAAATTACAACACGGTGTTATAAAATTGTAAATTTACTTAGAATTTTATAATAAATGTATAATAATTTTACTGCAACCTTATGTACTAAAAGTGTATGAATTTTATGCATTTTTTTAATAGTGTGATGTCAATGAGGTCTACTTTAGAAGAAAAATGGTTAGTCTCACTTTTGGGGAAGATTATGAGATAGTAATTCACTTTATGTATTATTTTTTATT